GGAGTATCACCTTGGGCTACAGAAAAACAATAGTTGAGTCCAGTGGAGTCTTTCACTCATAAAAAGTTAATGCCATTCATTAGCAGTCCGGGCCATAACCATTTCTGGATACTTGATGACGTCACCAACATGGATGTCGTAGTGGGACATCGAGGAAACTCACTCATTACTTTATTCGAGCCCTAGCGACTTAGTTCCCCACCCATATCCCATGAAACCTTGCAAAATTACAGAAGACAAGCAATTACACACAACAAGCAAAGAACTGATGGTGGTCGCGATGAAAGAAGGAAAAATTCAGATGAAAAGTCGGGTGGAGGTCCATGATGCGAAGGGCTCGATCGAGGAATAACCTCTATTTAGTTGAGGTTTTCAGGTATGCAACATTTTTTTTGATTCCTGAAAAAAATCTTTTAAAAAACTAGAATAAATTTGCTTCCAATTTGTCAAAATTCCAATCGAGTGCACGAGGTTTTTGCTCGAGTGCACGAATGTTGAAAGTCTGTTAGTGTGCAAACTACCAGACGGATTCCTTTGTTCAGATCCATCGGAGTATCGTGTAAACCGTAAATTTTAACCATAGGTTGTGGCCGGCCAATTTAAAGTAAAAGGACAATTATTTATCGGACCTTTATAAGCCTACATTGTGAATTTCAGATCAAGCCAACAGCATGGATGAACACATTCAGTATCTCGAGACACTTTGTCGTCTTTGTGGCACAAATCTGCCACGGACCTGGGTCAGTGCTACAAACAAAGAATCTTTTAAATCGGAGCTCTGGATGAAATTTCGAATCAATGTCGATCTTGACATCAGAGAGATTCATTCAGCCAAGGCGAATGCACACTAAAAAATAATTTCAGGAAACCACGGATCTAACACATAAATGTGATTATCCAGCGAGTAAGTTCTCCTTCGGGCAAACATAAAACAAAGAGGTATTCGTTCACTGAGCTCTCACATCTTCAGGTATCGTATCCGGGAAATGTGCGATAAGAGCGGCATGAAGATGAAAATAAAGAAATCACATTGGTGGAAAGCCTTGCCGAAGTGTCTCTATTACAGCATTCCGGAAACAAAGGTTGGAGTTTAACTACACGAACTGATGAGAGTGAAATTTTCGTCTAAAACCACAAGGGACTTGTCTGTAATTGTGAAACTCGTTTAGAAACACCGCTCGTGCTTTCACATTTTGCGGTGATTACCTGAACAAACTTTCTATACAGGGTGTTCAAATCAAAGGGTAATTTTAAAGGACATATTATTGCTGACTAAAAGCTGTAGGACCGAATTTGTAGTGTTCTGAGACCTAGATTCTCCCGCGAATCGATCTATAGCGCGCAAAATACCTTGTATGATTCTCTTGCATTGAATTCGATCATGTGTATTCGTCTTAATATAGATTGTGACTACTTGATTTTATTTTATCCAACTCATGTATTTATTGGCGCTTATTTTCCAGGTATCATAATTTCAAGATCAAAGTTCCACATGGAACACCGCTTGTTATTCAAAGTGAAGACGACAACACGTATGACTCGCATGCACTGGCTTGTCTTCTTCCACGAGAAAATGGAACGCATTCCAGAGGCTCTACGAGAAGTCCAGATTTTCAGCAAATCACAGAGAAAGACATACACTTTAGGAGATGTCAAAGGGCAGCAGATCGGCACGGTTCAGCACTTTCTAAACATACAGCTGCATGCTTTGCTTCGATGTGGCAAAATAACCAGGAATTGAAGGGTAAGTTACTGTTTTCTTGCTTTACTGTTACTTTTTCGTAAAGGCTTGATGGACTGAAATTGATAATGCCTATTTAAAAATCGGAGAGAAGCAAGATATTGTCTTTCCTCGACCTATACTGGAGAGAAATGAAATTGTCCCGATTCCGCGATCTCACACCTCAATCGTCCCAGTTGTTATCAGGGCGCGTTATTTGGTTCAACCTTATTTAATTGGTTTTCTTGTAACCAAAAATAGGGAAATCAACGGAGAACGGACAGTAACATCGAGGCCAAGCTCTACCCAGAAGTTCTCCAGATACAAACAGGCTGGCGGAGGAGCTTTTATTCCTGTGACGCTCTTGATGGAAGGACCACAGCGTTACAAAGAATTTGTGCTAGAAAGAATCCGCTTTACTCTTCCAGAATGCGAGAATGTCGAGGACATGCATGTTGAATGTTTGAAATAAACGAATATTTTTAATGGTATCTTACGTCCAGTCCTTATTAGCGAATTTTGTTTCAGCTTACTACCGCATTACAACATGGCCGCCACAAAAACAAAAATGAGCTTCTTGTTTCCAGCACCTCTCGGCCAAATTTGCTTTGTTTTGGTTTTGATCTCACCCAATCACAAAGCTCGAAACCGATATCCAGAAATGGTTATGGCCCGAACTGATTAGTCCCTATATTCCTAACTTACTTCAGTCAAGGCCTCACGAAAAGCTTAGATATAAAGCAATGCATGTAAAATTAAATTATAAGTTTGTTTTTTTGCGACAAATGAACACTCTTATCCTCAGCCGGTTTTCACAGAAATAAAAGCCTGTGGGCAATGGAGAGGGAAACGAAAAAATAATGGAGATATGGAACACGGAAATCAGATAGTTGGAAAAGTAGTAAGTCGGTTGTTAAAAAGAAAATGGACAATCCTTTTTCTAAGAGGAATTCTCAATTTTCATTTTCCATGCCATGTCTGGTAACATTCTGTAATTTTTCCTAAACAGTTTTTAGGCTAAATTTAGAAATAGTAACTAACCACAGTATGTCACATTCATCATTTCCAGTCCCGAGCGATATCGCCACGTTTCACTGATAACAAAAACTAACATGCTCAGGAAGATAGTTTGTCCCAATTGTTGCGTCAAAATCATCGTCTTCCAAACCGATAGCTGGGCAGCAAAACACTGTAAATTAAAGGAATTTATTGTGAATTTAACGCAGCCTTTTAAAGTGAGCGTTTGATAGCCTTTTTTGGATACTGTTCCAAAAAAGTCTGTAAAGTTAGGCTTTTGGCTCAAAGGCTTGAAAAAGTAGGTTTTTTTCATGATTCATAAAAAACTTAAGGTAATAATTGAGGGATGAATCTCTTCAGTAGTGGTGAAATAAGCTTTCTATTCAATATAATACTTTGTCCATTCATGATTTATCAGATATTTTGGGGAATGATTTACGATCTTGGTCTGAGTTGTTGAAATATGTACCCCTTTATCAATTGTGAATTTTAATAACGCGAAAGTTCGACCGCATAAAGAACTCTAAGTGGTGAGAGGAGCAAGGCATGCCTTGCATGCTCTCTTTTCACATAAGAACGTCATATTTCAAGGCTGAGGCTACCTTTTTTATATATTTTTTACGATTTGAGCCTAAAAACGTCCTTAACAATTCTGCCACCAAAACTTTTTTTCTTCACTAAAATTGGGTGTTCGACCGGATTTAGAGGCCATAATGAGTCATAACCTCCAATATGGAAATGTGCATACAAATAACACCACAGACAATACATTTCCTCGTGAGACATTGTTTAGCCATTGACTAGAGAAAACACGGTTCAAGGACGTTTAATAACGTATTTTAAACATGGTTTAACCGTTGTTTATCGAGACAACGTCTAAACCGCGGCCCTGCCCTAAACACGATTTAACTTAGAGACTTTGTTTAAATAACCAGCCCCGTATGTATGTATGTATGTATTGCCAAAACTTGGTAAATATCGTTACCATTACATTATACTGACAAGATTCTTAACTTACCGAGAGAAATAGACCGTCAAACCTTCGTTCAAGACGTCCAAGATGTTTCCAGAACGTATTACTCCTCTGGAAGTTGAAATTTTCCGTTAAAACTTTCGCTTGCATTCACTGACTTTGCTTCGAGTATCGTAATCAAGATAATCAAGTACCAATTGTCAAGGGCTCGAAACCAAGCTGTTTTGAACTATTGTGACGAAAACCTAACAAAAGCAAAAGCAATGATCAGTGACGAAGTCATAAAAAGGAAGTAATTTATCACCAGCCAGTGCTGTTAGCAGTGCTAAAAAAAATGTAAAAGAAATAGACCTTATGTTTCTAATCTGTATAAATTACTTTTTGTTATTCTTCAATCAAGACAACTCGTGAACCTTCCATAACATGAATTAATCGAAAAGACGGAATTTTCACAACTTAGCAGTCTTCCGCGTCGTAACCTGTTTCCGTGCAAGAAGTCAATCAAATAATTATTAAAGGCAGAGGGTATAACCAGTTTAATATGGCCATATCTGTATTGGCTTATCTTTATCTCATTTTATACGTCGAGGTTCATTGGCGTTTATGAACTTTTGTAGTTAGCAGATTAAAATCAGTAACTGATTTTAAGTAATATGCAGTAACGAGTGCTCATAATTAATATTAATGCTTCACAGTTTTCGAAACTTATTGTTTCCTGTAATGCTTGTGCCTTTGTCAGCAGTTAACTTTATGTTAGAAACAGATAGTGAGAATGTGCGACTGATATCTGGGAGGCACGTACTGAAGAATTAGTTGGTAAAGGGCCATAAATTTTACGGTCAACGTCGAGGAGCAGGACGATCAACCGTGTCTTTAGGCCAATATTAACCCTCGAATCACAAATTCTGCGACATTGGATAACATCGTAACGAACAAACTCAATTGAGCGTGGTAATTAAATCTACTTTCGATCCTTTTTATTAAAGATATAAAATTCAGGAATTAAAAGAGAAGAATAGGGGGAAGGAAGTTATACGAATTGAAAAACGTTCTTCGAGGAGGTCGATACTTGGCTGTGAGAGATATATGGGTGAGTTTATTCGATGGATCAGCTTTTCAACAGCGTAGCATAATCCTTTTTTTTCCTTATTTTAAAGAGATCTAAGCGCAATTTTTTTTATTTAAAAAAATTATGACCTCTCAGCTTCCTGTCAGAGAAATATTTGGATAAACTTAAAATCAGGATGTTATAATTTGCGTTTCTAGAAAACCGCTCTGGCCACGGTAACGATGTTTACTGGTCCGATACAAGTCATCTTGGTCTTGTGGTTTGTAGCACCATGTGAGAGTGACGTTTGCAGCCAAAAAATCTGTCAATGTACCAAGTTCGGTAGGACTCGGCTAATAGTAAAATGTCGAGTTCATGGATACATATCAACCAGAATCCCAAACAATACAGTAGAACTGTAAGTGATTAAGAAACTTCGCCATCCTTTGTCCTGCAGGGTTTGTTTTGGTCTTCTTTATGTTCATATTCGTCAGGAAACTAATACTTTATAGACACCTCTTGGAAGAATGTGGTTTTGATGTTGCAAGCTTGCTAGGGAGTCTTGGTTAGTGCCAAGAAAGCACAAGAGGCAGAGATGATTTCCGAACAAACGATCAAGAAAGGAAAAAGGAAAAAACACATGATTTGAAATTAATCATAAGAAAAGTCATACAGACTGCGAAAAACACAACGATTCGTGGAATAAAATAGTTTCGTGTGCATTTAAACTAAAATACTCTTAATTTAGATAATCGCTTATTTATTTTTCGAACCTTACCTCCTCTAAAATTCAAATTTATGTCCATTACCATTTTCTAACAGTTCAATTTTTACCCAGATATCTTTCAAGGTGTTCGTTGGGCTCAATTACAGAAGACATCTTTAGGAACCTGGCTGTTTTAAAGAAATTGTAGGTCCTAAATGAAATTGAATTTTAAAAAAATAACCTTTAATTCTTAAGAAATGTAAAAAAATGTAATATCCGTTCATGAGAAATTCGTATTGAATCGAAAAGATTTGTCTTATAGCAAAGAACGTTTTTTTTTCAAAGTTAAAAGAAAGACAAAAGCAGTTTTTTAAAGACATGCATATAATGAAAGTAAGTTCGTGTCTGTACGTGAGGATAGTTTGGTGGCGGAGCAGAAAATTCGCACAGTCCTGCCAAACCTCATTAAACTAAAGGAAGCAGTGGTCAACATACTGCATGTATCTGGCATATTCAGAAAAAAAATATCAAGATTGTGAAAAGTTTGAAAATGGTCTTGAGATATCCCCGGGCCACCTACGAACGCGAAGAAATAAATAAGTTGACCATCTGATTACAAGTTATATCTGAGTACTCATTAATGGTTCAATAGTTGACTTACTTTCTATGAGCTGGTAGATTTCGACCGTATTTAGTGATCATTAGGATACTAATATCGTCCTTCTAACGATGAGTAAAACAGGAAAGGGCAAGTAATCTTATGTAAAGGGAACATTTTTCTTTTGGAAAATTTCATGTTTATTTTTTCGAGAATCAATTGATTTTTTTTGTGATGAATTATCTCTCTTTTCCTAGGGACTTATCAAATAATTCCCTGCGATACATTCCTCAAAACACTTTCCGCAATATGAAGAAACTGGAAATAATGTAAGGGAATTCCTAATGATTTAATTTTTAAAAATAATATGCAAAATGGTTGGAAAAAAACAAGTTGAAGAGCGTTTGCAATTTTTTTTTCCATTATCATCTCGTTAGGCTGATGACATCACTACCCTTGTAGAGTTTACCACCGTTTTTAATTATTTCGACTTTCATAAGCTTGGTAATGATAAATTAACAACTATTCACTTAACTGGGGGTGGCTAGAAGTGGATATTTACCGGGCTGTGAAGGGGCGAGGTAAATATCCATCACTAGCCACTGACACTAGGGTGAATATTTGTTTTAGCTAGTATGTAGTAAAACAGTGAGATAGTTAAGCGCATCATTTTTTTTGTCGATACGTGGGCGGGTGGTATTCTACAAATCCTGCAATCTGATTGGCTTATTCTCCCTTCCGGCCTGCTCACAGCGGGCGGTATCTTAACCGTTGCGTGTTCAGTCGCCTAGTACATCCATAGCTTAGTTCCAAATTTTCATAAATATATATATATTTTTTTTTTCGGCTGGGAAGCATTTTTAAGCAAAGACTTCGGTCACGGCCTTAAGCCGATCAATAACTTAATAACTTGAAAATTATCTTTCTCTCTCTCTCTCTCTCTCTCTCTCTCTCTCTCTCTCTCTCTCTCTCTCTCTCTCTCTCTCTCTCTCTCTCTCTCTCTCTCTCTCTTAAATCACTTTCGTTTTTCATGACATTTGTTATCATTTCTTCCCAGATATCTTTCCAACAACTCAATTTCAGGGAGTTTTTACCTTCCAGAAAACGTTTATCATCTGTGAGTTATATTTGATGAAGTGCTTCTCAAAGCTGTTTGCCACAGAATCAAAGTACATCTAGGCATAGTTAGTAGAGGAGACTAACTATGATCTAGGTTTACTACTAAAATATTGTTGTAAGCTTCTATTCTCCAAATATTATGAATAAAATGATGCTGAGCTGCTTACATTAGCAGCGTAGTATAAATGAGGCTGCTGAACCATTTTAGCCCACTGTCTAACACTTATAAGTTGATTTTGGATATTGCATTTGTTTAGGAAAATCAATCACAACTTACTATCAATTGCTGATGTGAAGGTCATTCTCAAAGGATTAAAGCAGCTTCGCACACTGTAAGTGTCATTTTTTTAAGATGAGTTGAAGATCACAAAAAATTATTTTCGAATGCTTTAAACATATAATCGTTCATCACATTTTTCATCAATAGTTCGTCACAGTTTATAAAGAATTAAAATTTCACACCTCATATCGGCCTATATGTAATTGGCAGATAGTTGCAACTCATTTCAAACGGTTTACTTTACAGAGACCTTAGTGGAAATCCACTTGGACCTTCCTTGCCATCAGACATCTTCACTGGGTTTAAAAATATGGCATATCTGTGAGTTCAGTGGCTCCACAAATCACCAACTAATGAGAAGTATCATATTGAACATTTGCTTCACAATGTAATGACATTCAAAGTAAATCCTGTAGCCATGTCCGAGAAAACTAGCTTGGTTGTTCATTTCAACAATTTAGGAACAGTTAGTTTTGGCCCGACAGAGAAGCGTACTGAAAAACTATAAAGGAATGTTCCGCTCTAACTGTCCAATTATAGTTACTCTGATAAATTTTTAGAGTGCATTCTTCAATCAGCCAATACCACCCTTGAAATTTTTGAACAACAGTCTCCATTAAACTTCTCTACCACGCTGACTTTTCAAATTACTTTTGTAGTTCCGTGACCGCTTGCAACTTGGAAAATATCGCCAATGGAACTTTTCGAGAAATGCGATACCTAAACGGACTGTAAGTGATGTTAATCATTTTTTCACTTTTTTCTAAGACATTTAAGCATAACACCCGGCATTTCTAGGAGAGGTTGTGTCTAAATAGCTGAGTAATTTCCTTTCCGCATCTAAGAAATGACAACAAAATTTTACCGCTTGTCATGTTTCTAAAAAGTACATCGACCGTTCATAAATTAGTAATAAATGCGCTAGGAATTCGACTATGCACGCCACTGTTTTAGAGATGACTTTGTAGCCAGGCCGCAATTGAACATGGGCTGGTTTTTAAAGGCAGAATCCTTATTGGTATTGAGAAAATTGATTTTTTGGAGGAGTAACTCCAAACTGTTTACACAGATCACCTAGAGATAGAAATGAAAATGAAGAGGAAGCTAAAAAATATTCAGATTTGGGGGTTCATCGTCGAAGTTTTAGCGAATTTGTTCAAAATTAGTAATGTTATTCTTTGTTATTCAAGTTACAATGTAATTCTAAGTCTGAGCTCAACAAAGGGAAAAGATCTGGTGATAGGTTTTGTAGCACGAACACTTAACTTGTCACATCCTTGACCTCGGACCATTACAGACAGGTTTATTTGCGGTGAGATCAACCTGGAATGAGCGGCATCACGTTATTGCATGAAATTTGTCCGTTTTCAGTGATCTGTCTTCCAATAAGCTAACTCATATACACCAGGGTACAGTGGAAGGACTTACGGACTGGCTCAAATATTTGTAAGTATGTTAGCTGTGCATTGCTGTTCTTTGCCTAGTACTAGGTAATGCGAGTTTGAAAGGAATAACTTAACATACCTTGGTTATTTTGTGGACAATGGAAATCTTCAGCGTACGTAAGGTCCAAACCACGGGTAACACCTCTCATAGTTCGCGTACTTTATTTTATTTTTTTATTGAAATGTTGGACTCACCACGACGGAGAGTTTTATCGACTTTCATTATACGTAAATATGTAAAACAACAGAAATGCCCTAACCCCCTTCCCACCCTTCTATGCCTCCCAAAAGATATCTCAATTTTCTTTACATTTGCTAATAGGTTCCTTCAAAGAAACGAGCTAGAGACAATAGGTGATGGCACTTTAAAACAATTTAAAAACCTCGACAGATGGTAAGTGATTTAAATATACTTGCATAAAACAGGTAGAATGGCAAAGATTTCGGCGAGGACCAGATTTAAATTGGCGCAAATAAAGAAAGATTTTCAAGTACAGCATAAAAAAAACTGTCACTCGTTGCAACACACCACTTTTATTTCAGATAACACATATGCGACTGCGGCTGCTATTACCCTTGATTAATTACGAGTTACGATGGAAAACAAATGAAAAGAAATTGACAAAGACAAATTCACTGAGGAAGTAAAAATTACAAGACAAAGAGAAAGAAGAAACGTTTGCGTATTGATCAAAGCTCATTATAACTCCTTTACATTTTTTCGTTTGCCTGGATCTTATAGCATGATATACAACAACAAGCTGACATCTGTACCAGATCTGACAGGCCCTAACTCTATTAATCTATTGTAAGTAGCTATTATACCTATTATACCTTTCATGACTGGAAATTATCCCTTCATAAAAAAAAAACAAAAACCTGCTGATTATACCAGCAGTCCTTCTTTTTATCAAAAGAGCAAAATTTTGCTAGTCTTTCCAAATAATGCCAAGAATTGTTTCAGCACAATCTACAAGGGATTGATGTACATATACTGGCTAATGTAATTTCCTCTCTTAGTTCTCAAAAGCTTCGTAGCTGTAATTTACCTCAGATGTCCTTTTATTTGAATTCATTATTAACTAAACAGCTCATTTTTAATCGTTTTACAAAATAAGCTAATTTCGTCCGTCTAATGATGTACATGCCTGTAACATTTTAAAAACCTTGAAAAAATCGTGAATATATCATTAGTTTTATCATTCCCATGTATCAATCTTTTTAGCAGTCATTAGTTTTATCATTCCCATGTATCAATCTCTTAGCAGTCACTGATACAGTTTCCATATGCTGATCTATCGATTGATCAGTTCCTCTATTTATCTATCAATCTCTCTAGAAGAATGACAATCTGAACTGAAATAATAACAGAAAAAAATGGGTGAGACAACTGAACGTCATACATGTAGCCTGTGATGCGTGGGTGTGGCCACCATATGGGTGATTTTTTTATCATTTTATTCAACGAAAATTTATATCACCACAAGAGAATATATTCTCTTGATCAGCATCAACAATTCGATCTTCACTTGCTTAGACTCTTACCTTCGTCTTAGACATTTACAACAAAATCGAATCGCAGATTTATCAAGAATTGTCAAATCTGGAATTGGACACGTGTTTCAAATGTAAGTATTTGATATATATATAAATTAATGTTTCATTTTAGGTTATTTGGCAAGAAACCAGCTTCTTTTCCTCTGGATGCCTTAGGTTATATTCAAGTGTGCTCCAGCTCTACTAACGTTTGAAAATGTTGTTTTTATCATGTAGACTGTTGGATAACAATGAGATCGATCACCTTCCACCAAACATATTTCAGGATATTTTCGTACTCGGAAACCTGTGAGTAACAGAAACTACAACTGTAACCGAAGACACTCGTAATTGTTTTCATCATTTATTTAGAGACATCCACACGCCTACAGTACTAAACATGAGCAGGAAAATGCAAATTAGAAAGCGAAAACTTACAAACAACGTAACAATTAAAAAAAATTACCCTAACGGTGTACAGCTTTACAGGCAAAAAACCAAAACGACGACGCTGCTCCTTAAAAAGTTGACATATACTTTACAGGACTAAATTTAGACACAAAACTGACAAACACTCAACATAATTACATATTATAGTAGAGTTCGCATATAACGCGCGCTGTCATTGGCTGAAAGAGCGTGCTCTATGAGAGTCTAGAGCATAGAGCTGAGCTAAAGCTGTCACGCCATCTGCCAAATTGGACTATGTCCGACCTTTTCCGGGACTTTTCTCTAGCTTTTTTTCGTTAATTGAAAGTGAAATTTCGATATAAGTGAGCCGGCAAGAAGCAACAGAACAACCAAACAAAGATTTATAAACATGCCAGGCGCAGTAATTTACGTTATTATAAGTGAGCATAGACGAATATCCTCAAAGAGAAAACAAAAATGGACAGTCCGAGTTTTGAAGGTTTTCACGCTCAGTTAGATTACAAGCTTACGAATGGTAATAAAAATCAAACACAGCTAACACTCGTATAGTATATAAAGTTCGGGTTCAAAAATAAAACAGAACAAAAAAAGGAATGACAAAAAATATAATCAAAATGGCAGAACTGTTATAATTCATAATAATCATGACGATGTCAGAGCGACTGCGATCATGCTGAGGTCTAACGTGGCTAGTTCGGAGATTGCTTGTGATGCAAGCCTCAGAAATTACATCTACCGCTCTTCGAGTAGACAACTAAGAGCTTGTTCTGATGTCCTTTCCGATGCGTTGAGTGGTGAAGGCCACATCAGTCACTGCAACCAAGTATTACGGCACTGTCATCCCGAGCAATCTTCATGTTCCTGTAAATTCGGTTGTCGATCATTTGTAAAACTCGCCTTCGGCAGTTTATTTGTTAACTATTTGTCATGTAAAAAAACTTGCGTGTTTTTGTAAGCCACAATTCGGCCGGATTTTACTGAACATTTCACCTCCACCTTCTGTATTAGACTTAAAAACTTCAGGCAAAAGTGTTAGATTCGACCTGCCAAACTATTTAAGTTTGATAACAATTGCCACAGAATGTGAACTTTGATGGTTTGACATTTTTGACAGCTTTAGTCTTGTATAGCCAATCAGAATATTTGAACTATCATATCAACAATTCTGATTGGCTTGTTGTAGCGTGCTTTATGAAAGTATAGAGCATGCTGACGACACTGTTGTTCGCTTTGGAATTAAAATTTATTTTGAAAATTGAAAGTAATGCGCGGGGAATTTAATGGATTCTTTGTTATAAAACAAATAGAGAAGCCTTTACTGTGCTCTGTTCTGTTATAAAGCACTTAGGAAGCGGTCAGAGCACTCAAAAAATGGGGAGAAACACCCGAATACGTCTCGTGTTTCCCCCTACACTTCTTTCGTGTTCTAACCGCTTCCTGCGTGCTTTACAACAGAACAGAGCACAGTCAAGGCTTCTCTATTTGTTAAATATTAGGCAACGGTACAAACATCAATTCCCAAGCACATAACACAAAAAATGAAACCTACAAACATTCACAGGTAACTCGTGAACACAATACGCAACAAACAGTACGACAATAAATTTTCCTATAATAACAACCGTGATGGAGCTGTGACTGTCTTGGAATAGTGTTACACAACAAAAGAAGTAGAACTTGATATATAGAAAAAATGAGTTTGATCTTTGAGTCATTTACCTTATTGAGGATGCTTCTTCTTTTATCCCATTAACCCTTAGCAGTGACCTGCAAATAATCTCTCTTCACGATATCAGCCCAGAATCAAACAGTAAGGTTGTGAGGTCAAGGAATTTAGCACTAATTGAAGGAGTTCTTAATTGTTAAAGGAATTCTCCATGTCAGCACCTTAAGAAATGTCTAGAGAACAGTATACTGTCAGGGGATAAAGGCTTAAGTGCGTCTCTCTTTGGGTTTTTTAGCGTCTATTTTCTCGTCTCTCCACAGTGATTTATCGTTCAACAAGTTGCAGTCATTACCTGATGACGTGTTTGCTAGACTAAATCAATTACACATTCTGTAAGTAAAAGGTGAAAACCAATGTAGCAAGTAATCGGTTCTCCTGTCCCAAATGGAAGAATACAATCAATAATTAATCAGGTCGAGATCGCCACCCCTCAAAACGTTTACCCTCTTAAACAACTTGAGTATGTGACCCAATGCGGAGTGAATTTCATAATTTTCTAAATTTTGAACAATCTTTGTCACTTGCCTCCGAGAAGTTTGAAATAAATGCAATTCTTTTTTTTCATAGGTAGGCTACTAGTGACATCTATTTTCCTGAACAACTTATTGCAATTTCCAAAGGATGAAAACACCTCTCTAAAATGACAATAACCCGCTCCTGTTCAATGCTTGATATCTCAGGAGTATAATATTTTCCCCTGTTTTTAGGATGCTAGCCTTCAACAGGATCACTCACATTAATAAACACACATTCAGAGGACTTTCCAGTTTGACCACACTGTAAGTGTCCTTTATATACTCTTCTTAAGAGTTGTAAGTCAGGGGTTTAAATAACGTTTTTCATAAGCAGCGTATTAGGTATAGTAAGTGTAAAGTTGTGTAGTAGGTGACTGTGCCCGGAGAAGAGGCCTTTTCTAGGCCTTGTCCCTAGGAAAAAAAATTTGAAACTTAGAGCTCAAAAATGTCATTTCCACCACCATGAGCATCAAAAAGTGTACTATTTTTGTTATTATTTTCATCGACACCTTTGTAATGTGCAAGCTATTCTTAACCAATCAGAACACTTCGTTGTGGAGCGTTCGTGGATAAACGAAGCAAATTCGGAAATCAATGTCTAGCGGGGAGGCTCTCGTCTCAAGACCTCTTCCCCCAACGGCTCGAAACTCACTCGTTTGAAAGCTCACGCGAAACCCAAACACGAGAGCCTGTCTGCAAGCTAATCAGACGGCGGTAAGAGGTAGTGGTAGATCACCAGTTAATTGCTTTTACTGAAAGCCTGTCAGTACGTCCACTGTAGCGTGGTAAACAAAAGAGTTGCTGTGCCGCACGTACAGGGCTTTTAGTCATTTTTATAAATGATTAAACCATCTTAACCTCCGATAACTTCTCTATTTAAAAAAACTTTACAACTAATTCAAACATTGCATTCTAGAGAAGTGTAAGTCAGGAGTTTCAATGACTTTTTCCATGAGCGATAATTCATCATATCATGCTCAACCTCACCCAATATTTGCTTAATATCAACAAAAGTAATAAGGATAGAACGTGCGTTCCTTTTGGTTAATGAGTGTGTATGCACGGTTGTAAACTTTTAAGATTCACGTGCGTTTCAAAAAAGTCATAAAGGACTTTCGCACCAATTAAAAAGTTTCTTTAGTGGAGAGTAGTAGCGGATTGAAAAAGAATCATTTGGCTAGTTAAATCGTTTATTCAATTGATAATACATTTACCTATGTAACGTTTACGAACTTTTCTTCTTTTCTCAATCAATCATTTTCTTCACAAGTTGGGAATTTTCTTTTTAATGTTATTACGAATCAATGCTAATCAAAAAAACCTTCCATTTAAAATGTATTACAGTTCACACGGCAACCAGGTGGACAATCAGACATGGTTTGGTGCTACTCTGGTTTACAGATTTAATGAATGTAACCGAAGAAGTTACAATTCATAGACCCAACGTTTCGACACTCCTGTCTAGTGCCTAGGGGTGATCTAAACGCTGCAACAAGAGGTCCTTTCATATGATCACTAATTAGCTGCCTTTTTTTTCTGACGAGGTGTAAATAGGCGTCAGCAAGTAAGCCACCATCATCACGATTTAAAGGAGCGCGGGCGGAGTTGATATGCCAAGCTTCCAAACAAAGGCGCTCGTGGTAACGCCGATTGGTGGTGATAATTTTAGACTTATCCCACACAATTTTATGGTTAGTTAGGCATGTGTGCTCCGATAAAGCTGAATTTTCTTTTTTGCAAAAGAAAACCGCCTTTTGATGATCTTTCAAACGTGTACCAAACTGACTTTTTGTGCTGTCCAATGTATTCGTTGTCACAGTCATTGCAAGGAAAAGAATAAATGGCGTCGGTTCGTTGTTCTTTCGTAACAGGATCCTTAGATTTTGCGAAAATATGCCCCAAAGTCTGAAAAAGGTTTTTGAGCAACTTTAACGTTGTGACTTTTCACGCTCAAGGGTGAATTGGATAGACGGCTCTACTGAATTCAAATGCGATAGGAGGCGCTCCGCTTCATTTCCGGATACCGCAAAAATAACATCATCGACATATCGTTTCCAGAAAAGGGTTTAACCGGTGAAATAGCTAAGGCCCTTTGTTCCACGTCTTCCATTACCATGTTGGCAATAACAGCAGAGACGGGCGGACCCATAGCTGTACCAAAAACTTGTTGATAGTTAGTGCCGTTATATACAAATTGCATGGTTTTGAGGCAAAAAGACAGCAGATGAATAATATCCTCCACAGGCAAAGAAGTTCTTTGTCATAGGGAAGCATCTTCTCTGAGTCTCTCCTCCGCGACCTTTACGGCAACATCAACTGGGATTTTAGTGAAGAGCGAAACAACGTCGAAAGATACTAATTCTTCACAAGCGTTAAGAGTCTTATCACTTATGAAATCCGCAAATTCGCACGAATTTTTGACATTGTAATCTGTATTCCCAACAACAGGCGACAAAATTCTCGCAAGATAACCAGAAATTGCATCAGTCGGAGAATTAACAAAAGAGACAATGGGTCTCAAAGGAATTCCCGGTTTATGAATTTTAGGTACTGTATAACATTTTGTACGTAGAGTCACTAATCTTACCAGCTTTTTTTCAAATCAAGCAACATTTTGTTTAACTTTCTTTGAGTTTTACAGATAGGATCAGAGTTTAAGACTGCATACGTACTCTTGTCATTAAGTAGAGACAAAGCTTTGTCGTGATATTGCTGTTTGTCCCTTACCACAACACAATTACCCTTGTCAGCAGATAACACGAGCCTGTCCGGATCCTTTTTAAGAGCTATAAGCGCATTGAAAACATCCTTTTGAATGTTTTTTGGGAGGAGGTTTAGCACGCCTGAGTATGCAGTTACTTTTGTTCTTACCAAGTTTCTACGTTCGTCGTTGAGTTGAGAGATGCTCTCCTCGACAGCGGCGACAATTTCAGCAGTCGGTATTTTGCGAGGAGCAATAGAAAACTTCAGACCCTTCTCGAAACCACTCCGTTCCAACGCGGATAACTCCTCGAAGGAAGGTTCATGACCCATTTATCTTTAAGAGATGAGCCTGAATTAACAGGAGACCTCTTACTGAACAAATGACGGAATTTTCTGTCGTGTTTCTCTCTCTGTTTGGTAACTTTTTCAAACTTCATCTAGCGCCTGATGAAGGCACTAGACAGGAGTGTCGAAACGTTGGGTCTATGAATTGTAACTTCTTCTTTTACATTCATTAAATCTGTAAACCAGAGTACATCAAACCATGTCTGAACCTTACATTTATTCCCAAAGACGCTTTGATGAAACTCCTCGCCTGGAATCATTGTAAGAATAAACTTTGGTTCAGACATCTTCCTCACATCTTAAAATGTTGTAACATGTGTATCGTAGTGTATCATTACAAGTTACAGGATAAGATATGAGTAGCTTCGGTCTCCAAGATGTATCCCGGTTGCAGTTAGTCAGTAAAAAGGTTACCTTTTCTTATTTTCTCAGTGAAAAATATTTTGATTGAGAGGAGAAGATCACCGAAACATATTTTTTTTCCGCAGGCTTCTTCACAGTAATGCAATTAAAACTATTGAAAGCAAGGCTTTTGACGGACTTGTACTGGAGCAGTTGTGAGTAAATTGACGAATCGACTGATTCCCTTTAAAGCTCTGGAGAGGAGATAAATTTCACGGGTTGAACGTCTTTTTTTTCTGATCGATGATATCGAGAGCTTTTGCAATGTCTATTAAATCGTTTCTTGTGTAATAAGTAGATATTTTATTTTCAGAACCATCTTTGATAATCCTTTCAACTCATTACCAGATGGAATTTTCGACAAAATGACAAACCATACCAAAGTGTAAGTCAAGCCGTATGGCTTAAACACATGTCTTACAGTATTTTACTAGAAACTGAAGTTAGAGGTGGACTCCTAGATTGTAGACACTCCAAAATGTACCTTATATATTCTCCAGTTAACCTGGAAAATTACTGCTAAATTCCATAAGTTATCATGATCATTTCCAAAAGTATTTTTAACATACCTAGGAACGCAAGACAAAATGATGTATATTTACGAGAAGACGACAGTACTCTTAACGCCGAAACAAACATATTACTATTATTATCATCATCATTATTATTGTCGTCGTCGTTGATATCTTCATCATTATCGTTACAGTTGTTGTGTTGTAGTTTTATTGGTCAGTAGTTCTCACTTTCGAGTAATTTGAGGGGAGGAGGCGAATTATCAGGTGTTGAACTGTTTTACAATCCGAGCGAAGAAGCAAAACCTCAAGTCACTTAAAGCTATGGAAACCTGAGTTTGCTTTGGCGACGTAGGTCTTTTGACTAATTGCTATTGCCACCATTCTCAAATGATCACGTTGCCTTTTTACATCCAATCAGTTTCAATTCGACTTATTCATAACCAAGTTGTTTACAGGTCACTGACGTGTGGAAATCTTCGTCAGCTGCCACTGGGAAAATATGTGTCACAAATGTAAGTAGGCTTTAAGTTTCGCTTTTATTTTTGTACACCCTATCGAATCAGCTTCAACATTTTCCACTGATGGACATCTATGCTATCGATTATGCGGCTTCTTTGAATTAAGAAGTTCAATATGTGTAGTAATGAAAAAGTTAGCCTTATGAGATAAAGTTTTTCTTGGTCTAGTTATGATACTCTGCAAGTCTTGAAAGTAGCTCAAGCGTCGTCTCCACAAGAGGACGTTGTCCAGTGCGAATTCATCCCCTGGCCTCTGTTACACCAAAATTTTCATAAATCTTAACCGCTTTCATGTTATTTTAATGAGGGTTTTAGTTTGATCTCAATCTTTTTGGGAATACTCACTTGGTTAAATTTATCAGTGCACACCTCGAAAGCGAGGCTTGGTGGGAGAAATCGAGTTCTACTACGTAAACATGCGTGGGACCTCTGGATTGGTCTGCAGGCCTAAGTACCTGAGTTCATATGGCATGTATCAAAAATATCATAATGGAAAATGTAAGAATTTTTAAAAGCATACATTTTAATTATTTGCACTTGTTAGACATGATCTCAAGGTTAGGGCAAGTTCGGTCCTGCGCTCCACTGGGTTTAAACCATCCTCAAATCCAGTGCGAGCTTACGGGTTTATTGTCGTCTCATTTACAGGTCTCTCTTCTTATGGGGAAACTTAAAATGTTTTTCCAAGCGAGTTTCTGATTTATTGTCATTATCCCTCAGTGAGTGTGCTCCCTCGACATCTATGCACGTCATTTTGGACAACGACCTAAGTTTCTTCAGATTTGGCTTTGAACGCTCAGGTTTTTTGTGCCGCGACTGTACAACCCATAAAAAACAAACTTTGTTCGTTCAGTGTAGAAACTGCAGTCTCTGTCCAGTTGGTACCTACACGCATACTGATGAAAACCGTTGTCTAGAGTGTCCTGCAGGTAATGAGAATAATCACCTATTTCATCTTTAATGTAAATAATGATATAAATAATAATGTAAAAGATTTAGATAGCACCGTTTCTACAAAGTATCCAACAGCGCTTTTCAAATATTGAAAATCATTTGATAAAATAATGAAGAATAGAATATCAGTTAAAATATATTTCAAAGAAAGGCCTAAGTCACATAATTAAAACTTTATAATGTGTCAACTAAAGATTCGTTTAAAATGAAAAGCCTTCGGCTTAAATTTAAAGGGGGTCATCGACCTCCAGCTCCTCATAACCTGTAAAAGAGAATTCCATAATACTGGTGCATTAATATGGCAAAAACATGCTGTTGTATTCGGCACGCGGGCAACGACTGCGCAATTGTATCCCGGTCGGGATACATTTGAATTTGATCAGGAGCACGTGACCAAGAATCAACCAATCACAGTGCTCGTTTGTTGAGTGAAAGTCTAGGTATATAACAAAGCTCTTTGACCATACAACTGAAGATTGTATCTTGGTGTTACAAGTTAAATTTACAAGAGGATTGCAAGGTCTTAAAGTACCTGTAAGTAAATAAGCGCCATATTATTTAACGATTTGAAAGTTAAAAGTAGAGTTTTATAATCACTCTGCTCGGCCACTGGAACGCAAGTGTATCTTTCTCAACTTTCTCAATATCATAACCAAAAGCAAGCAACAAATAACAACTTGAAACATTGCGTAAAAAATAACATTTATAAAAATGTTTCTACTCTGTAATTGTATTTAACAATTGAATCTCTCCCAACCCACTCGTGGAGCTAAATCCTTGTTTTATGATATGATATCTTCACAGGTGGCTTTTATCAGGATGAAATGGGACAAGTTGGATCTAAAAAATGCAGTAATGGTACATTTGTTTCTGAACAGCGAAGTCCTGGTACCAAAGCTACCGACTGCGTGGCATGTCCATATGGTAAGTGTAGTGTTCGATTTGGGCAAACTGCACCATTCTTCGATTAAAATATACCTTGGGTGACACTAAGTTTTAATAAAAGGATTGTCACAGCTATTTCTTTAACACATAGCAGTCACAGAACACAGTCAACTGTAGTGTACTGTCAGAAACCCTCTTTACAGAACAGAAAGATGAGCTGAGATTACTTGCTCAATTGTACTTTTTTTTTTTCGGTTGTTATTTATTTTTGGCGAAATTCAAAGATATCTCATTTTAAAGTATATCCATTTACTTCGCTGGTGAAGTCGTATTTCTTGGTTGATTCAAAGAGGAGAGTAAGTGGATTCATGGAAAAGCCCTTTTATGAATGCTTTATTATAATTGCTGAGAAAAGAAACATTCCTTCCCAGGTACGATCTCCAACGAGACTGCTGAATATCGTGCATGCAGATGCCTACACAACTTCTATCGGTTGGATCGTTTTGGCCCGTGCACAGCATGTCCGCCAAACGGTTTTGTTTGTGAGAAGGATATAGCAATACTTGCTCCTAACTATTTCTGGAAATGGGTAGACCATTCTGAAAAAGAACGTTTCAAGGGTTTTGTTAACAATATTCATTCTTTTGGACCACACTACAACAAGTCATATTCCACGTTCGATACTTCACTTCCAAAGCCACTCAAATGTCCCCATGCCAAGTCCTGCAAGGGTGGAATTGACTCAGAATGCCATCAAGGATATCAAGGGACTTTGTGTGCAACTTGCTCTGAAGGCTTCTATTTTCGCTTCAACTCTTGTTTGAAATGTCCCCAGTTACCTGTTACTATAACTTCATCCATCTTAGTAATTGCTCTATTTGTTGCTGTGTTTCTAATGGTTCTTTGGGGTGACTCCAAACGTGCAGAGAATAACCGGACAGTTGCGGATGTCGTCATGTCGTGCTTTAAGATTGTGATTGGTTTTTACCAAGTCATCTCTGGTATTTTCTCAGCATTGGCGAAAGTCCAGTGGCCAGCCATTTTGATCTCAACGGAGAAGGTTCTAAAAGTATTTGAAGGGAACATCTTGCAGTTTGCCCCTCTTAGTTGCATTCATACTTCTCTACGGCTTGATCAGCTTGGAAAGTTCACGATGATTGTTTTCATGAATGTCTCACTCGTTGGCTTGATTTTCTTGTATCTATTTCTTAAAAAACGCTACATCATGAATAAGGAGGACCTTGGCGAAGACCAGAGAGTGATGGAAGTTAAGAGTTTGAAGAAATCTTGCTATCGGAATATTTTTCTATTGTTGTTGACGACCTACCCCACGACGAGCAAATCGATTATTCAGATTCTACCTCTTCCTGGTGCATGTGTAGAGACTTGTTTCACAGACGACAAGAGCGACTGCATCTTCCTGCTAAGAGCTGACCACTCAATCCAGTGTTTCACTCCTCGCCACAGCTTGTATTGGCTCATGGCTTCTATTTTGGCATTGTATCCCGTGGGATTTCCACTTCTGGCTCTGTTTCTCACTTACAAGTATCGTGAGTCCCACGAAAACGAAGCGGTCTCTTTCGGACTCAGAGTGTTCTTTGAAAACTATAAGAAGAAATTTTGGTTCTGGGAAATCACAGAGATGTATCGCAAGCTGATTCTAACGTCATTGATTTTTCTTTTCGTATCAAAGAGCCTTTCTCAAATCGGTCTCACAGTTCTGACAGTCAGCGTCTTTGGAGTGGTCTACACCTTATTCCGACCAATAAAGAACAAGTTTGAAGACCGCTTACAAACATTTGTTCTTTGGATAATTTTCTTTGACGTTTGTCTTGGTGCAGTTTACACAAACTGGGATGAGAGTCAAGGAGAGGGCAAGAACGACTCCATCTTTGTAAATGTCCTGTTCGTGGTCCTTAACGCCTCTGTACTGTTGCTTTCCATTGGTAAGTCAACTTGCTGCTCTGTTTCATTAAATGTGCATTTCAGTCATTTGCCAAATAAATCAAGGGAAGGTACCGTGGATTGTGGTGGCTTTCTCAATCCCTCAGTTTTTCCGTTTTCCGCGCCATGAAAGTATTATGATAAAATCATTAAGTAGCCTTGTCCAGGTTATTTAGGATATTTGACTCTCTAAAACATTGGCTCACACAATTATAATCTTAAAGCAGATCGCGATGTTTGGTCAATTCTTCCCGCAGGTTAACTTTTCCTGTAAGTAGAACTTTGAGACCTTGTTACCTGACAGCTTTTTAGGATGTAGTTTACAAAATATAGCTGTTTCAACTTTAGGCAGTATTAGTAGAAGACAATAAACTGCGAAGTACAGTTGGAGTGTAATGAATATTGAGATCTTAGAAAAAAATCCAAATCATTGTGCGAACGAAATGTCAACACCCATTCTCAAAACGCTTCTTAGCAAGAGCGAGAACAAAGACAGATTTCAGAAAAAAGGGACTCCTTATTGTTTTTAACCCTTTCGTGTAAGATTACATGTATAAATGATGACCTCCATCTTTTTCTTTCTCCTACTTTACAGGAAAAGGAATTCTATATGTGAAGTCAATTTGGAAGTACATTACCTTCAACCCGATCCGATGTTTCAGCTTCCTTCGCCAAGGAGTATCACGTCTCAAAAGTAGAGTGGTCACAAGAACAGGAACATCCGATGAACTTTCACCCTTGATTGAAGAAAGAAACTGAAGAACTTCACTGAAATATTTGTCTTAAAACTTTTTTACCATGCCTCACGAAATATCTCGCTTTAGGTGGCTTAAACATTTAGAGCTTTCGTTGAAATCTCTTTGGCTATTGTGAGATTTCTTGATGACATTTTATTGCAACTAAAGGCACTAGCGACTCCCGCAAAGGCTGTGTTCTTCAAAACACAATGCGTGATGTTTTTGAGTCTTTGATACAAATTGAGACAATAAACGTTGAAAATTATATCAAGAATATTTTTAGTAAAAAAAGTAATTTTTTGGTCAGTTAAAAAGTAGGATCCTTAGCGCCTTCAAGCATTTATGACTTTGACGCACTATATATATATATATATACATATATATATATATATATATACATATATTTAAGCAATAAAGCACACTTTCTATCAGTTTGCCGGCGTAATTGCTACTGAATTAGTTGCTCTCTTTAAATGTTTTGGATAAAGTCAAACCTTTATTCGTTTGAAGCATATAAAAACTACAAATGGCGTATCACACGAAATTTGGACAAAGTATGGGCTGTACCATGGATACTAAATAAACACAGTATGATTTTAAAAGATCCAATTTTTAGATCAGTATTTGGACAAAGAACTATCATTTTCTCAACGTTGCCTTCTTTTACAAAGCTCTTCATTGCGATTATTTCTGTGCTTCTATAGACTATATTTGTTGATAGCTGCAAACAGTCTCTAGGTCTAGTTCAATTTTTTGCTTTAAAGTAGCTTACTGAGTGGCAGCTGGAGTTTTCAATTTACAGATCCAGACATGTTCTTCCTATCTCTTTAAGGAATTGTCTCTGGTGAACCTTTTCTGTCCGTTATCTCGTTGACTATTTAAACCCAGTGGAGGGTAAATATTTTGCTCCTTTTACAGCGAGCCAGATTTTCCCTTATGTCTTTACATCGCCAGCAGTACAGAAATGAGCTTAGGGATGAATTGAGGAATGTCACAGTCTCGGTTAGACGGTATAACAGATGATGATACAATGCACCTTTTTCAATCACCATGTCAGAAAGGGAGGTTGCCATGACTAACGAATTACAAAACACATAAGCATCTCGCGTGTTTTCAGCGTTTGCAGCTGTTGCGTGGTTCAGCTTTCCTTGTCACGCGCGTGAATCTCCATGTTCACTTTATTTTGCGCGTGTGAATGTGTCGTTCATTACGTCTTATTATCTTGTATATCCTGAAAAATAGTGCGATGTTTAACGCAAGGCTGAATCCAGTGAGACCGGAAGAAATTGGAGAAAAAAATCGTCGTTTTATACTTTCAATGCTCTGCAGTTATCATTAAGGATAAGACACAAAGCCCAAATTGTGGTGACGATTGCTATAAGTCAAGTTTTTGTCATGCAGTTGTGTAGTTGAGGGAATAGACAATTGCAAAGCACCAAGGCAATCAGGCGAAGCGTTATTTAAGCGACAACAAACTCTGTCTTGGTTTCACATCGTTCTTCCTTAAAAACAGAATGAAGTAAAATCAATTCACAGTGGGGAGGGAGGCAGGCAATAATGTGATGGATCAGCAGGTGGTTATGATTAAAAAGGAAAAAGCAAGAATGAAAACAAAACAAAACATTCATAAATCGCAACTCTTATGGTTACCGAAATTATTTCCCGTCCCTTTTGATGTTTTTGGTAAATGCTGGCACTTTAATGGTTTGTTTCACTCACAAAATGTTATTTCTGCGCGAAAGTCGTTAAATAAAAAGAAAGAAAAAGAAAATAGAATAAAACATGCATAATAATTACATACGCACAAAATATCGCAACTGTCGCGATACTTAAGCAAAATTATGTATGGTCCCTTTTTGTCAAAGGTCAATGCAAGCATTAAAATGTCTAAGTTCCTGTTGATTCACCTTCCACAAAATATTCCTCATGTGCGAAAGCCATTTCTTTAAGTGCAAGTTTTCATTCACGAGTGGATCGTTTCAAGCTTTTCCAAGTTAGTATTAACATACAAAACTCTATATTCTCTGGTAATTGAAAGCAAAAAAGTTCTAGATCATCTGTATCCATATTTAAACCCCATACACAACACCAACTTCACTCGTAATGTACAATTGCTAGTTATTATGTCCATTATTTAAATCAAACATATCACAACACAATCATATCGCAACAAAACTGGCATTGAAGAGGACTTCCTTCTCTTGAGTTAACGAGAAACTACTAGTCAGACTCTATGATGACTATTCACTAAAAACGAAACCAGTTGGTTCCTTTTGTGAAATTATATGGATCCGGGTATTGAAAAAGCTTATGATATAACTTAGACACAACATGCGCCAGGTTGGTCAAAAATCTGTCGTTTATTGTGCTGGTCTCCTAGAAAACTGGAACACCTTCATGTGCTCATAAATGGCGCTTCACGAGACGAATTCCCATATTTTAATTTGTTAAAGGCCTTTGGTTGGAGAAACGAAAAAGACGCTTTGACCACCGAAATCAACAATAAATATTTTATTTTTCTACCATTTAAGAAATTTTATGTTTAAAAGTAGTTTAACTAACTGGTTGCACCGTTTTAAGCCTTTATTTTTTGCTGCGCGGTAAAAGCGAAAGAACTTCAGAAATTCTTGATTAGATTTTCCCAAATTGCTCTCCAAGTAGAAAAAGGATCTTCCTCTGGTATACTAGCATTTTCTGGACTTTCTTTGTTAGCTGTAATTATAATATGAGGGATTATAATATTAATTCATTATTTTATAGTGAACTCCTTCAGTGGTGGGATGATTTTAGAAATGCTTTCTCTACTTTGCCTCTTACTGCGGAAAATAAAATTTGGAACAATAAGCTTATTAAAATAGACGGAAAGAGCATTTACTACCATAATTATGTTAAAGCAGGAATCCTATTAACTAATCAAATGCAATTCGATAAGGGAAGTTTAGAGTCATATAATATTGCAACAAATGCAGGATTGAAAAAATCAAACTTTTTAACGTAGGCAGGGATTCGAAGTGCAATTCCTGGCCACTTGAAATTTTTGGATGACAATAGCAGAAAAACTGTTGTACTAGAATTTTGCTGCGGGGAAAAAGTGTTTGATCCTGTGCTATGTAAAAGTAAACAATTTTTTACGAATTCCTCATTGCAAAAAAGGGAATAGTATCAAGGGGCTTCACTAAATTGAAAAATGACTTTGACTTAGATGATATTACTGTGTCAAAGGTTTTTCTCAATTTGCTGTCAGTTTCATCGGAAACCTTTATTAGAAGCTTTCAGTTAAAACTGTTGGATGATATCGTTTTTACTAATAAGCGACTAGCTAAGATAGGTTATGTTCTACACGATACCTGTACGTTCTGCAAAGTGGAAACAGAAACCATCTATCACTTATTCTACGAATGTCCTTTTACTCTTCTCTTTTGGGAATACTTTGAAAACTTCTGGTTTGTACTTTCAGGTAAAAGGGGAAATTTCACGTTGTAAGATGTATATATCGGTAAATTAGAAAAATGTGAGTTATTGCATATATGGCAAAGTCGAAAACAAGATAAAATTCCAGAATGTGAAGTTTTCTTAAAACAAGTAGACGTCAAATATACGACTGAGAAATACATTGCTGTTAAAAACAATACGCAGAAACAATTTCAGGCTAAGTGGTTATTACATAGATGGCACTTATTTATAATAAATAATAGTTTACAAATATAATTATAGAATTGTTTAAAAATATAAATGTAATTTATAATTAATAATAGCTTACAAATGTAAATAGAGTATACTGAGAGTCTTGTAAACACTTTTTTATTTTCAAAACGGCAATAAAAAATGTGGAAAAAAAAAGAAAGCATTTTCTGATTTCGAATATAATCAAAACGAAATTGAAAAGCTCTGAAACATCAAGCGAGACAAGGAAGCCTCAATTTTCAAGTTTCCAAAAGGACAAATAGGAAATCATGTCAGCATTTCAAACAGTGACGTCAGATTTCATTCGGTTCTGGTAGATTCTAGTCTCTTCCGTCCACATTTCGACAGTTTCATGAAACTTTGGACATTATCGTCCCTTTTCAGAAGCTTCTGTCCGACTTCGGATGCAGTCGTCGAATTCTGACGCTATCGTCAAAATTCGGACGCTATCGTCCACTTTTCGGACGTTATCGCCCAAGTTAGATGCAATCGTCTGATCCGCCGTCAGACTCTTTTGTCTGGTTTTGGTCACTTCTGTCCAATTTCGAACGTTATTGTCTGAATTCGGAGACAGATGCTAATAACAGGGCAGCACCAAGTCTTATAAATAGCCTGGACGTGTTTGGAAGTATCTGCTAAGTCTTCGTAAGTTCTCCCGGAGAACATTCATCATCTCATGAAATGTCAATGGCAATTTCGACGATATCAATGGCCACAAAAGGCACAATTCATTCCAGCGAAATACTTGAATTTTTTTTCGTATACACTTTGTTGAAAACTTCGTCGAAGTCATCCATTTAGATATGTGAATAAGCAAGTAAATGACGTTGTAAACCACAAAATGGGTGTCCTGTGCAAGTTCTCTTCATTAGTATTCACCAGTCATAAATTTATAACAAATGACATTTAATGTCTATTTGCATAATTATTTTAGAGAGGGCGCTCGAAATGACATTAGCATCTTGAAGAGGCATTGGCCAGAGGCAACGAAATCGCTTTCTCTTTAATCTGAGAGAAACCAGAAGGGTTTTGCCATGGAATCTGTCGATAGCAGTGAAGCGGGTAAAGCGGCTAAGAATGAAGAACCTGCTGAAAATGGCAGTGAACGGCTTATCACAATCGTGGCGTTTTTCGCATTTGGTTTTATCTTGTACTCCGTCTATTCTTTGCTGATTGCCGCTGCTGAAGACATTCTACGCGGCAGTGACATTCCAACTTCAGCCGTGATATCATGTATTGTCGGACCGTACGTGTTTATAACTCTCATATCTCCGTATTTTGCTCAGAACGTTCCGTACCTGCCTCGTGTTATAGTGGTGTTTATACTGTACGAAGCAGGATTATTTAGTTTGGTTTACGTAACAGACGTTCGAGCGAAGTTACTCTCTGTTTGCTTGGTATCGTTTGCCTTCGGCGTGGGTGAAATGTCGAGTATAGCCATGACATCGTTTTATAATCCTGTGGTTGTTGGAGTATTTTCGGCGGGTACTGGTGTTGGATTCATAACAGCTCCCCTATATTACACAGGTATATGAAGTATAACTGGTAAATAAGCTTCTTTTAACTGAATCCCGACTACACATTAAAGCAAGCTTTTTTTAAAATTAAAGTAGTACTTACTAACGTTCTTTAAAGAAAATGTTTTAAGGCGCTAGGTCTAAAGCCATGAAGTTAAATGAACTAAATTTCTTTTCAAATACCGAGGAATTGATGACATATGTCAAGGCCTAGCGATCGACTGCTCATTTGATTATGTGGCTAAATATTCTCAACAGATGTTCAATTACTACTGGTGCGTGAGGACTCCCGATGTTAACCAAGTCATAAACCTTTAATTGTGCCCAAATTTCGGTGATTTTTGTATGTAGAATCTTAACACAATTGCAAAAACTAAAAGTAAACATCATGTATGTGTATTTTAAGGTTTGCACGAATTATATTGTTTTCCTGACGACTCCAACTAAAAATTCCGAGGAACATCTTTCGTTACCGCAATGACGATATAAACGCTTTTTGCGAAGAGTGGTTTTCAAATTTGTCGAATTATAAACGCTCTAATGCGTTCTCAGAATTTTCCCGTTATGACAGACTTGTATTGTTTGACAAACGGCTCAAGGCAGGTATTTAACACTTACGTTTGGTAAAAATCGATGAGGCAAATCACAGTGAATATGCAAATATAGGTAAATTGCAGCAACATTTGAAAATACTTCTGTTATTAAATTGTGTGCATTTCTTTTTAACTGCTTTTAAGTATCATATTTAGCTTAGAAATTCCAATAGCGAGTCTATCAGCGCTAAAATTGAATGGTAAAGTTTCCACACAGCCCCATACTATTGTAAAACAAATCTGTTTTTCCAGTGGAAATGTATTGTTTTTGTCATTGTTTTCTCTATCCAAGAACTGAATGCATAATGTAGTATGGGGCTGTGCGGAAATTTTAGCAATTGAATGAGACTTCTATGTGAACAACACCCATTTTCAGCTACGGTCGCGATAGACCGCATTTCGAATATTCGTAGTTCAACTCAGTACACCAGGAGTGCAAACTAATTGATCACTATACGCGGCGAGCCTGAATGTACATTCTCTTTAACGTTTTGGTGTCTGCAATTACATGACGAGGTCAGGGTAAATTTTCCCCCTTCCTGTGTTTAATACATCGGGGTATAATTCCTGAGCCCAAAAGAAAATTAAATTATTTTAACATGAAGAGCTGGCAGCGGAGAGGCGAAGCTGGAAAGAAAACAAAGAAATTTACGACACTTAAAAGAAAAAAAATTTGAAAGAAACGACACTTAACTCTTCTCGAGGGAATTTTCCTGCCAATAAAAAATATTTAAGAACCAGTTAAAAGACAAGGTGCTGTCTCCGACGAATTTTTGGTACGCGATGTGTTTGACGCTTGTGGTTAACAAGTTATGGGACAAACATGTTATTTGCGGAGCCTTTAAAACAAAAACACGAAGTAGGAAGTTAATTGTTCAGTTTATGTATATTCTTTTCTTTTTTTCCTGAATACTTCCAGCAATGACCACATGGTTTTGTGTATCCTCCGAGAAAACGACTGTTACAGTAGCATTCCTTGTCGTGCTTAATTTGGTGTTTTACGCGCTGATGGAACGAAAACACAACCGGTCGACGTCAAGAACATCACGATGTAACTGCTTTAGTGGTGCACAGTATGAGAAAGTCGAGGAAAACGAAGATGAAGACAAAGAACAGACTGGTCCCTCCCCTCCCCTGTTGACGACAGCGGAGAAACTTCGAGCCATCAAGCAGATCTGTCCAACAGTACTTTGCGTAGTGATTTCGTGGATGTCCGAGTTCTTGGTGACACAAGGTGTCATCACGACCTACGCATTTCCTAACTCACCCTTCCCCCCAAGAGATCATTACCAATATTACATCACCTTGTTCCTGTTAGGCGAATTCATCGGTCGATCATACCTGGCTCTTATCTCACTGATCAATCAAGACCTCATTCCCAAAGTAACAGTTCACAAGTTGTGGCTACTGACCATCATAGAGGTCAGCATTCTGGTGTTTTGCCTTTTCGCTGCCTGGTATCGTTTCCTTCCGGACATAACATATTTACTGATTATCTCCTTCCTCGCTGGGCTAATAATTGGAATTATGTACGCAAACGTACTCCAAGTGTTCACTGATTCGTACGAGTTTCCCTTGCGCGAATTTGTTTTAGGGTTTGTCGCTGTGGCCACGGGTATGGGAATATTAATCGCTGGTTTACTTGGACTTGTGGTGGAACCATCTTTTAGAAAACATTGCATGACGATAACAGATTTATCAGAATATTGTTTCACAAGAACAGATCCGAATGCAATTTCTAACATCACTGCTTCGTGTCATAATTAACATTCAATGATAAAGAGCTTAGAAGACTATGCGAGTCGCAGAAAACGATAGGAAAACAAAACAAAGCACTTGACGGAGGTTAAATCGTTGAGTGTTCATTTTCCTTTACCTTATTGTTTCTTCAAGAAGGCAATGTCCTCTTTAAAGCCTATTTGATTTTTTTCTTTAGGTAGAGAGACTTGGGAAGGGCTTACTGCTGTAAGAGCGAGGGAATGAAAAATAAACAAATAAAATAGCGAAAGTCTACACGAATAAGCGAGTCGATTATGTATCGATCATTTCGAAGCTTCAATATCCCACCCGGGCAACCCCCCCTCCCCCCTCCCGTCTCCCCGAGGTCCGTTCAAATTTCCGCTCCTCGGGGTCAAAATTGTGTTTAATGCCCCATTCAAGTGCCGGATTTTATCGTCCATTTTTTAACGCAAGATCAGCGACCGTGACGTTCCTGTAGCCCTTTTCTTCTGAGCTATCTGCTAGCGAAAGTGAACTTTTTGATCTTTAAACACCTCCATATTAAAAGATAAAACAAGTTTATTCCGCTGGAAAGACTTCACTTTCCGGTACAAATTCCCACCCCATTTAGGCAAGGTTCAAATTTCCAGCGCACGGCGCATTAAGAGGTGTGAGGCTTGTCCTGAGTGGGACAATCGTCGATGATGGTAACTGACTTATCGACAACAAGAGTGCACGTCAACATCACACAAAAGTGAGGAAACCAGATCTTGTGACTCGAATATGATAAAGTGTGTTATTCACTCTTAAAAATTGGTTGATTTAGGCAATAAGAGCTACAACAAAAGCCAAAATAATTCGAAAGACACCGTGCTTTCAAGAAGGCAAATTGTGACAGACGGACAGATAGACGGAGATAAAACGACCACTCGACAATCTGACGAATATGCAGACTAAAAAATGGAGTACTCAGACAAAAACATGAAAAGTGTTTCTTAAATAGATTTCATTTTAAACACGACTTTTTACAAGCATGTCTATCATTCTCTGACATTTGATGGAAAGAATGGAAGCCAATAGCCTTGGCCAAGATATGAAGTAAGTGAATTCGATAGATTTTACATAGCCGTGCTTACGCGTGAGGTGAAAACTATCTTCTAGGAAATCAAAGTAATTTGGATCTGTGAGTTTCATTTTAACTTAATAATTGGAAAGGCTCGGTGGCATTGAAAGTCAAACTCTGGTGGAATCTAGAGGAGAAAAAATAAACAAAAACATTACACAAACAAAACAAAATTTAAAAAAATTCATTACCTGTTTACTAGTACAGCAGTAGTTTGGACCTGACCACAACGTTACGCTAAACCTTACACATACAATGTATTTACATCGCCTATTGTAGCTGAAGACCATCGAATCACCAGCTTCTCCCAGGCCAGCGGCCTGCATGTATTTACTTAGAATTCTCATTAACTTCTTGGGGCATCTCCTTTCAACCTGATTGGCCAATGGTTTGGTTTACTATACTCAATAAAAAAAAAAGATCTCTCCTTTCTACCGTTCTCATTTGTGAAAAGCTGCTAATGCTCACCTTGGAGTCATGTTTGTGGCCTCCAGCAGCCAGTTTAGTGACAACGAGGTTTGTCTTCGTGACTTTTAGTAACAGTGCAACCTAAAAAAATTACCAACACAATCACAAACATTAGTAAGAAGAAAACCCTTTAGGAACCTTTAACTATTTTGATCAAAAAGTTAGTTTTAAGGAAGGAAACTTTGATGGGAGCCAACCTCTATTGTCTCTCCTTTTCGCTACAAAACGAAAGAAGACAAGCTGGTTGAGCTGCGTACAGATTCGAGAAGAAAATCCACCTTTGATGGGAGAGGAGACTTATAAAAGATTGTCGCATGCGGAAAGTCTTATCAGCTGACTTAAAAACATTGGTACAAAGAAAATCGACGAGCTTTGCCAAATGGTGGTAGGCTGTCCCTCAGTGCAAATAAGTTAGTCATTTAGACAAGCCGACCACTGCAGACGATCAGGTGAGCGAAGAACCAGTGATTGCCAGGGAAAAGACCATCTCACTTTTCTTTGCTTGACTCTCGCCGTTTGACGGTGCGAGCTCGCTTTTTTGACTCGTTTTCCCAGACCAACAACTAGCTTGGCACAGGGAGGGCAGAGCTGATTCAAAATGCTCGAAAGAAGCGTAAAAGTTGAAGCGCAAAGTAGTAGCTGGCTTAAACCACTCGCCATAAATCGGATAAAGAGATCAACAAACTTCAATGCTCTGAAACGGCTGGTATCCTCACCTCACTATGTACATTATTAACAACTTCAAAAATGGACTTCGCTTGCTGAAATGAATTCGATGCCATCACAAACAGGTCTGTGTCCTGAAAATAATGAGACCGGAAATTTTTTCAGAAAAAAACAAACACAAAAAACAAAAAAAGTGTTTCGAATGCAGCATTATTCAATGATGGAAGGAGGAAACGTCCCAGATCTTATATTGTCGTTCAGCAGTTCACCATTTTTTCCTCCAGTCATGATTAGCTCGTAATGAATACTCCGGAAAACAAATCGAGCGCTTCTAGAGGGAGTTGAGTTTACATATGAACCAATTGCCAATTCAGGTGGTCTAGGTTTACCTTTAGAAATTCATGTTAGCTTGGCCAGAAGACCAGGTTCGCGTAACAAATACCCTGCATACCGCAAGGAACTGAATAACTGGAGAAAGAAATTGAGACTTCTTCCAGCAGGAGCAATGTTAACATAGCTGGAATTTGTTTTAGTATTAAACTTTCACCTGCGATGCATTCATCTTGGACAAGTTGCTATACTCCTTGTAGTGCGCGTAATACATCGGCTGAGGGGTATCCACAGCTTGGAATGGCATGAAACGGCGCTCATAGCGGGTCTGTAATTATGAAATGAACAAAAAAATAATGAAATTAGTTGACTGGTACTAGGAAGTACAATTAATCATAAAGATCACAACAACACGGAGTTACAGTATATTCTGATTTTGCCAATATTTCCAACGAAACTTCTATAAGAACACAAGTAAACGAAGTCCACGACGAATGGAGATATTAAATTCACCAACGGATGGTAGTAAAGTGAGCAAAAAAATCCAATTATTAAGAAACCAAATCGGACATTGTACTCCTGTCACCAATACACCGAACACACATGAAACCTCTGCGGTGTTGTATATTCCATGTATGCTTTGTGTCTCTGAAACAATTCACGGCCGAAACACGAGCAGGCTCTACTCATATGAATTCTTGATGTGATAGGTGAAACAACTAAGTTCACTGTTTCTTCAGGTGCGCTTACTTTCAAAACAACTTTTTTTTGTAGTAAATTTTGACTTCTTGGTACGCACCTGTTCGGAACCAAATTTATCCGCAGGCTTTCTTGTTTTGTTTTGCATTTCAAACCCCTCAATTGCCTGTCAAAAGAATAGGATTTCAGGAAAAACACGTTAGCTTAAGATAGCATGAATGCATGTATCTTTGAGAAATCGAAATAATCAACCCTTATCCCTTGGTATTGTGGAAATTTAACTTCTACAAATAGACATAGACTGCACTGCTGAGAGAGCACTGGGGCCATGCGCATTAACTTAAGACTGAGATCAAAAGACATCAAATTGGTATTGTTACCCTGAGATATCCTTGACACAGGTGCCTCATTCCTTGATATAAGTGCCACATTCCTTGGTGTTCCTGTATGGCTTTTTCACTCGCTAACAAAAACGAATTCAACTGTGTTTAATACACGAGAAGCAACACGGCTCTGTTCCACAGAGCAGTACAGAAACGGAACACGTATTCACCGGTTTTGGAGAAATTTTTGCCCTTATTCAGTGAATCACTTAAGGAAACCGAGACTAACAAAGAGCAGCTTCTTCTCAGTACTCCATCAATGAACTTTATGTACAGCACGATGAAAGCTAAAACAACCTAAATATATACCCAAACGTAAATGTCCTGAGCGGTCATGCCCGAAGAGGAGAAGAGAGGGGGGAGGGAGGGAGTCAGGGAGAGCTTTATTGTGACTGATTCAGAGAAGTCCATCGTACGGGGAAAATTTAAAACAAAAGCAAAAAAACCTAAGCTCGCTCTTTCTTACCCTTCTTTTTCTTTTTATTTTTCTTTCCACTCCGTCCACTTCTCTGCTCTGAAATAAATGAAGGAATGTAAGTTCGTTTGACCCTCAGACACACTAACATCAGCGGGTATTTACGTTCTCCTTACTGTTCTCCATACTTTTCCTTAGGTGCTGACAAGGAGAATTTGTTTAACAATCAAGAGCCTCTTTAGTAAGTGATCATTTCCTTCATTCTTGTGACCTGAATGTGTGATTCAGGGGTGATATTGTAAGGAGAAATTAGATGCTGGTCACTCGAAGGGGTCAAAGGGTTAATTTACAGGGATAGGGATAGTAACACCAGTTACTAGTTACGCTTGTTAAAAGAATACATGCAAAAAATTTCAGCGTGGGGTTATTAACTAGGAGTACAATGATTAATTCTGTAAATAGTACTAAAAGTTTGAAAATAAAATGAAAGTTTATAAAAAGTGAAAAGATGATTTCTCATGGAAACTAGCATGGATAAACACTCGTGAATTTAACAGACTGTAAACACTCTATTGTATTGATTATCTGAAAATTAACGAGGAATGGAGCAACGAGATCAACGAAATGCCTCCTAACTGAGAAATTCACCTTCAAATTCAGCCCTCAGACATTGTTTGGTATTTTTCATGAAACTCTCCAGTAAACTCCTAGTTAAAAAACGCCACACTTTTGCGAGTGTGTAATTTGCGACACACGATTGAAAATTACTCTTCATTTTATGTCTACCTACCTAGTGCAGTCTCTTGGGCCTGCAGTAATTTTTCAGCACGATTAAGGCACGTCATGTGCCATCCGAACAAGAAGTCCAGATACCTGAGAAGTCAAAAGAATACAATTCAAGCTTCGGAGGAAAAAACCCACTCCTCGTCGGCGGTTTTGAGTTGCAATATCTTACCAGAAAACGTAGTGATACTCGTGCGGACTGTAGAGTTCCAACTCAAAACCAGACAACAGATATTGAATCATGATGTTTAGTGTATGGTACAACACCCATGACCCAAAACAGGCAAAGTGCTGACGCTAGAAAATACAGAAGAAAAAAAAACATTAAGTCAGTATAAGTTTTTTCTTTCTTTGGTTTCTGGTCTTCAAAAACAAACAAAATGATTCTTGTCTTGGACTGGAAGAGCAGTTATATGGTTCCTATTGATAAGGTGTCTATTAAACTTTCATTAACGTAATTACCAATCAGCCAATCGCCAAAAAATTGAGGTCGAGGGAATGGCAAAAATGAAAGCAAAGAATGCGAAAGCAACGAAGCAAACAATCTTCGTTTGTTTTCGACTCAGTAACTCATCGCTCTAATAATCACTTACTTTCAAAATTGTTCCTACCTGAGGCTCTACTTTGATTAACAAAGTATGAAGTTGCGCATCTACTTTGTCTGCCTAGAAATGAAAGAAAAGGGTCCTTTCTTAATCTGAAATACAATACAGCAAACCTTTTTCTTTAGTGTTAGTTTCCAACAAGTATTCCCCATACAAAACTTCTAGCAGTTTCGCGCCCATGCATGTAACTTCTAATCTTTTGCCTGTGGGCTATTAAAATTTAATCGATCGCATGAGGTATTTAGTTCACGAAGTATATAAGGTGACATACTTCATCCTGAAGAGCAGCAAATTCCTCCAAAAGATGTGCCAACTTGTCTCTCTGCCGAGCACGATTGTGACCGAGAGCATGGATAATGGACTTTACAGGCTACAAAAAAAAAAACAAAAACAAATAACAAAAAATAAAGTCGTGGAGTTACAAGCAGTACGTGTAAGTAGTAGCGCTAACAATGAGTGGTAAGTATCACTACAATTCACTGAAATCTGCAGTAAATGCAGCCCTATCACACAAGCGCCAAAAGAACCGAGATGGCGTTCCGTCCTTTCCATGCAGCTATATTATTTTTGTTGAGAAGTGCAAATATGCTTCCGATGGCCACAAGAAGAAGGCACAACTAATAACAGACGTTAGAAAGTTACTTTCGTAGAGATCAAGACCTACCCTGAAAGCTCTGTTAATAAAACTATCGGCTAGGTCACTCGCTTTGGGGTTGGTACTGAGGGAGGATCTGAGGCAAAAACAAACAAACAAACATAAAAAAGCAACTCTTTATGAAAAGGTTCTCAGTAGGCCAGTCTTGTACCAGCAAATATGAAATATGAAAACAAGTGCAAGGTGGAGCTTCATGACTGTCTACAGTCACGTTTCTGTGTTCACTCATCGTAACTGATTAAGTCATTCCGAAGTTTCTGTAGGTTAATATGTCCAAAATGATTGGAACACTAGTAAATATGGCACACGACGTGACCCGAATCGACTCAACAAAAACAATTACGAGAGAAGTCTGTCGGGTTTCCTAAAAGGCTACTGTACATAACTACAAAACCATGTCCTGTACCCCAGCCCCCCCTGCGTCGTAGTCAACATTATGCTTACTTCTCAGCAATGGACGGCGGACTGTTAAATGCTTTGATTGCATCTCTGATTGTCTCAGCTCTTCCCAAAAGATTATTGTTGCGCCAAACAAGAAGCTGTACATGAAAGGAAAAACATCACGAATGTCACTCAACAAACGTATTTTGTTTGTAGCCTGTCAGTGACGCGGTATACGATGGCCTTGCGAGGCCAAAAGTAGGTGACTGACTACTGTAAGCGTAATCATGGCTGTGAAGCCTGTTGGACGGAAAAGCGACCATAACGGGCTACTGTTAAAACCCTCCTCGAAAGTCTCTCCTTTCTATAGAAAACTGCTAATGTCAAATTCATTGAGACTGTCTAGTCTTTTGAAATCATTTCCATGTTTTTTTTTCTGTCTGGCACTTCGAGATGGGAGAACAATAAACTGTGTTTATCCGTGCCACTACCTTTAACTGTGCTCCAAAATTGACGTAAATTTTGAGTTTTCCATCCGCTACAAACTTCTGTCGAGGATTGCGAAACTTTTCAGGAAACAATTCAGGAAAAGAAAGAATAATGGACAGGGATTTTGCGAGAACAGCGCTTCTTATTCCAAGTCAAGAAAGACAACAGATACGTGCGGAATACTAAAAAAACTAAAATACTTCATAATTATCATTAAAACAACCAAACTACCTGTAAATATGAGCGTGTCAAAACACACGGCCGTTTCTTGCTAAATTCTGAAACGAAGTCCTGCAACAACACACTGTAACTGTTAAATTTGAAACGCTCTCTTACTTAGTGATCCGTCTAGACATCTTTTAATAAGGTAAATTAATTTGTTGCTCTTGTCCATCTACGTACTCTGCAGATTGACCTTCACGACTACTGCACTTTTTCTGGCAAATAAACCATTGTCACTGAGTTTTTTTCGCAAGACTGAGAGATGCCAGCGAGCACGAAAAATTGGGAAACTTAATTTCAATGACACTATTACACGTCAGTTTGGTATTACTAGTCCCCTGAGGGAAGCACAGGCGAAAAATTTTGTGGGAAAGTAATCAATTCATATGATCATCAATTTATATGGGGTAAAAAACCGTGGTGCTGCGTCGGTGGGAGAGTATAACAGGGTAATTTGGTATTATTAACTAAGTTGATTACGTAAATTGGCCATCGTAAAGAGTTTCAAAGCTGACTTTCGAGCGTTAGCCCTTCGATCTAACAAAGGGCTAACGCGCGAAACGTCAGTTTTTAGACTCTTTACGGTGGTCAATTTACGTTATCAACTCAGCTGACAATACCAACTTACCCTGTACTAATTTCAACTTCGGCGCAGATAGACCCTTTTCATGACAAATACTAATAACAGTAAAAATGATCCCCCTGAGGTGCTTATCCGCTACAACTCCTGGTGTGACAGTGAATACGACTTCCAACTGAAGATAACTTATTGAGTTATAAGCATCAGAAATTTCTTGGCTATGATGGGTACAGTCACAGCTCAACAATTCAATGCAGTAATTTTTATGCAACGTTTTAAAAGTTCCACTTACAATTACAATGTGAAGCGACGCATAGTTCACTACATCGCAGATATGAAGAAATCTTTTGACCATTTCTTCGGTATAATCAATAGCCTGAAAGAAAGTAAACCTCTATAAGAATTTATATAATAAGCTGAAGTAGAGACGCAATTTGACCAGTTCTTATTAAACGTATAAAAGGACCTCTTGTTGCAGCGTATAGATCACCCCTGATGAAGGCACTGGACGGGAGTGTCGAAACGTTGGGTCTATGAATTGTAACTTCTCGGTTACATTCATTAAATCTTTAAACCAGAGTAGCTTCAAACCATGTCTGATTGTCCACCTGGTTGCCATGTGAACAGACGCATCGATGACGTCATCACTGACAACATTTTGCTTTTCCATGATGTCGCACATCTGTTTTGTCATAGATCACAGATGACGTCAGACTGTGGTAAGAACACCAGTGAGACACTCAGCTGCGCCTGTGTGACACTTTTTTTTATCTGACCACATTTTGACATCATCTGTGATCTTTTACTGCACAGACACATGGATTCTATTTGTTGAAAAATAAAATGTTATAAATCACACTCTTTGGTCAGACATGTAATCTCAATAGCTAATGTGGCGACAGATCTTACATCAAGTTTCTTTTGTCTGTGAATACCATGGTAGTTATCAATAAATATCCTTGCTTCTCACAAGCAGGACCTCACTGGTTTTTCGCACTAGCCGCGATTTCATCAAATCCTGATGGGATATTCAAACTACACATTTTAGCCAGTGGCGATTGGAACGGCGAGTAAATCGCAAAGTAACAGTATGTCAGCCTGATATGTAACCTAGCACTTATTCTTGAATCTACCAATTAAAACGGCGCAATGTATGCTTCTGTTTGTCCAAGCTAACAACTGCATGATATACCAGATGAAACACAATTTTGCATCTTTGTTAATTGATAACATTTATTAATTATTTACAAATGTTCACCTGGTATCGACCAAAAATGGCTGTATATCTCGGAAAGGATGGAGGTAAAAGTCTCTGATTGACAAGTGGTTCAAAACCCATTATACTACCTACAAGGACATCCAATAAATAAGAGTATGTGAGTTGTTCTCTGAGTCTGACAAGTCTGATACACGTCTTTCTGTTACCAGTAACCTAAATGTATCTAACTATTAACTGTTTGATGAACACAAATTAAATCTAACACCAGTTCAAAATGTATGTCAGAAGAAAAACAATTCAATTCAAATCATTTAGAAAGCATGATGGGATACCTTGCCTGTTATCACCCGTGGATATTGGTTGAACACCTAACTCTACAGTCTTTCTGATTGGTTCAATCAGAGACAATGCAGTGCTTAATGACTGCTTGCCTGAGGCCACACCTGAACCCTACAAATTGTGGATTTAAGAGTAACAATTCATTTAAGTAGTGCACTCATCACCCAAGAATGGTGTGACACTTGCCATTTCCAACAAAAAAGTAAACAGGAATAAGACTAGTGTGTACATAGCTATGAATTTTTCTTTGAGTGGTCAATCAAGTATCTCATGAGTGAGTCCAGCACCAAGAGAGATATACAGTCAAACACTTGAAAATAATTTTCATATCTATGTTGTGGTTCAATTTTATCCTTGATTCAAATTTTATTTTCCTTTGTTTCAAACTCATTATCCTACATTACAATACCCAAAAACAAAAGAAAAGAAAATTTGAACCAAGGATAAAATTGAACCACAACATCTACAAGCAACCATGTAGCAACAACAAAATTTGATGATCTTTGATCAGAGAAGCATGAAAGGCATGTGATGTGTCAGCAGCTGATTAGCAAAACCAAACACACACAATTTTTTTTGCAGTTTACATCATGATAACACTTAAACAATGCAAGGTGCTAAAATATCAATTGGAAGTAGCAAGCAAATGTCAATAATCAGTGCAAAAAATAGAAAATTGTTGAATTATTGAATTTTAGCATTAAGATTTCACACACCTCTGACTTTTCCAGTGCAACTAAAGTGAGGTAAAATGATTTATAGAACTTTAATCTTGCTAAAACAGCTTCATACTCCTTAACTTGGTTCTGCAAGGAAAAAGAAATATTCAGAAACAGATTCTTAAACATACATTTTTATCATCATTTTTTCATTCCCACTCTAATTGTCACTGTGAAAAGTGAGCACTATGACAATAAACATTACAGAAATAAACGCAATTAGACTTTTTTTTTTTTTTACAACAATTTGTAGAGTACACCATACCTTCACTGTATCTAAGTCACAGTTGGGTTCTTCTCTCAGTCTGGTCTTCAATGGCTAGAAAACAGATTTGAGAGACATACCTTAGGGTACAGTTAAATGTACATTGTGCAGAGGACTGGGATTTAAAAAGCTCTGGTTTATGATGATGTAACCCTTTAGCTCCCACAAGTTACCAATGCAGGGTTTCTCCTTACAATATCAAGGTAATATCAAACTGATAAGTGATGAGAATTAAGAAATCTATTAATTAGGGGATTCTTAGTTGATCCAAAACCAAATTCTCCAAACTTACATCATGAGAATTGCATGGCAGAAAGTAAGGAGAACTACTCTTGAGATCTTGAGAGTGAAAGGGATTATACCTTTAATTTTCTACCAACTTCATCTTCTGCCTCTTTCAGCATACCTATAGGAGATTGAAATGAAAAAAATTTAAATTGCTTATAATTATTATTATGTTTGTTTATGATTTTGTGATTTTTATGACCTTTTAGTAACTGTCAAACTGAGAGGATATTGATCACAAACCTGCGGCTCTTGTCTCTGTCACTTGAGTTGCAAATTTAAATCCATAAGTAATTGCTTGAAAATCTTCCTGGAAAAAAAATACAGGAATTTCCAAGAACATTCTCCCTGCCAAGCTTTAGTGCTTTGTGTCTTAATTCAGATGCACTTGGCCCAACATTTAAATGATGAGATTTTTTTTATTAAATATGAACTTAATACTAGTCATGGTGATTTTCTCATAATGAAAAACCCAATTTGTCACTGAATCATCATCTTACCTCCTCAAATACTTGAGCTCTGTTAACAATAGACTTGATTAGGTCACAAGTTTTTAACATGGCTATACAAAATGCCTGAAAGAGATGCATGGCATCAGACTTTCCTCTTAAGTACAATAATTTTAATCAATACCCGATAAGGACTGCTCTTATTTGTCAAAATTTTATTACTGGTACTTTAAATTGTAACCTGTATTACCCAAGAATAATACCTAGCTTCATAGGCCAAACTTTTTAAAGGTTTGTTGATGTAAGATGATTCACTCTGATGAAGGACTAATGCTGGCCAATTTACTCAGTTGATAAGACCAGATTATCCTGGTGTAATAACCCACATTGAATGTTTAAAGAACGCTGGAAAAGTTGTTAAATCACTCACCTTTAACAAGAGATTTACAAGCTTTTCTCAAGCACTCTAAACATCGTACTTAGGTTTGGTTTAGTGGACAGTAGCTAACCAATGGGAAATGCAGTCGCCTGCTTTTACACAGAATTTTTGAACATAGAAAATAAATTGACATGTGGTTCTTTCACAACAATTCCCAATCCCATATTTACCCATAAAGTAACTTTAAAACTCTAATTGTGGTATCAGTTTAGATTTATGTTAAGTGAGGATGACAGTAAATTGTGCATTGTGCTCTTAAAAGAAACATGTTACCTTAAGGCAAGGATCTTCAATGATGAAGGGATTGTGCATGTAGAGACAAGTAAAAACGGTCTGTACCAGGGAATGTCCATCTAACCACGTAATCTGTATTTTTAGAAGAGAGTGAATGACAAAATAATGATAGGATGAGGCCTAAAATGGTGGAAGAATAATCTGGCTAACATAGAGACAAATAGCAGGTTTTAAAGATTCCCAAAATAGTCAATTACATGCGGTTGCTGAATCACTGGGTGATTGAATATTACTCGGCTACCTACTTTCATTGACAGAAGAACTAACAAGGAGATTGAATGACTGACTAACAGACTAAGACACATTGAATGCCCAACTGATTGAGTGACTGTTAAACTAGCTCCATGACTTGATCACCAAATGGGAAACTGGATGCTTGTCTGATTGACCTACTGATGGAGAGACTTATTAACTGGATAACTACCGGTAACAAATTAACTAGTTGTGTTACTTATTCACCAACACCTCCACTGACTGACTGATGCATGGAATGGATGGACCGACAGACTGACTGACTGACTGACTGACTGACTGACTGACTGACTGACTGATGGACTGAATAATTCTCCGACTGGTTTACTGGCTACCTGATGGCTAGCTAAGTAACTGAACAATTAACTAGCTAAATGGCTGTCTAGCTCACCAAACAGCCTAGTGACTGATTGACTGATCAAACCAAAAGACAAAAATTAACACACAAACCAATTAAGAAAATATTGGCCAACTTATCAAGTTCAAATTTTGCAGTTGATATCAATTTAAATGTACCTACCAAGCAAGCTATCAATTCATCCATGATACCAATAAGTTCTTTGGGAGTTAAATCTTTGATTCTTACAAGACCAGCCTTGGTAAGAAAAAAGGAAATCATGTCTTTTAGATGGGAATTACTCACCAGCTTTCTCCAGCAGTAGATTTTAACAAAATAGTAATTAGCTACTTATCCCATATTTAATTTTAGCATATGCACATCAGTACCAATATGGAAGCATTTTTCAAAGATATTCAATATATGAACAAGGCAGAAAAAAGTTGAGGTCTTCACCTAGTCAAAAATATACTGTACAGTGGTATCCATCAAAAGAAAGGCAGTATTTTTAAGCAAAGGAAAGTTACATGCTGGTTTGCACTGGACATAAATATAGACAAATAAGATCCCAACACTCACTTTAACTGCTGGCTCAAATTGAAGAACTTTCTTTGCTTTGTTACACAACATTCCAGCATCCATTTTGGGATCCATCATCTCAATTGCTGACATGGCTTCAAACAAGCCAAATCTTGCATAAGGAAAAAAATTAAAAGAAAAAGAGACTTTGTCAGACACTCTCCATTGAAAGCTACAATCTGAAAATTTTGATTGCTGAAAATACTTACAATTATAATAACTATGTACTTACATGTTGTCATGCACAAGCTCACCCAGTTTCAATTCTGTGAGAAAAACAGAAAATGAAAAGTTACCTCAGTCTGTTGACGTGTTCATAATCCCTATTTTTAATAGTATTGTATGTTTAAGACCACACAATTAGAAAGGAGGGTAGGTCATTAATCCGCACCAATTACTTGTAGACTGTGTGTGCTTCAAGCCTGAAACTAGTGCAAATGTCTCAATTTCTTGGAAAACTTCAGCCTCTTGCACCTCAATCATCGTCAAATTAGGATGCAAGTAATTTAACACAACTTATTCTAATCAAATAGCATTGAATATCAACTACACTCCTTAAAAGAATGGCTGCTTAATTTCATAAAGCTTGCTAGTAACTGACTACAAGGAACAGATCATCTTGGTTAGATTACATTTTATACTAGAATGGTCTTACCAGATGCAGCCTCAGTAAAATTGTCTGTAATGTCTTCCCAGTTGTACTGAGGTTCATTTGCACCTAAAGGAAACAGGGAATGAAAGGTTACTGCATTTAACCTTTCAACTACCATGAGTGACCAAGACATAATTTCTCCTTATAATATTAATACAATATCAACCAGATAAGTGATGAGAATAACAAAAAATATTGATTTGGGGGATAATTGGTTGATCCAACACTGAACTAACATTACAAGAATAATTGTATGGTTGACAGTAAGGAGAATTAAAAATTTGATCTTGAGTTAAAGGGTTAATAAACACATGTACTGCCCATCTACACATTAATCACTCTAAGTGATAATTTAATGTTGACTGAGTGTTCCATTCCATTTGAGTTGGCAAAATTAATGCTTAAGGTATCCAATTTCCATCTTTTTTAGAAAATCACCTAAGGTGGTGAAAACAATGTAATTCAGAACCACAAATGTCTAAATTTCAGATTTATACAGGTTGGCATCTCAACTGTGTTAACAACTACAACAAAGATGGGAAAATGTACACTAATCAGGGTAGGGCACCACCCTAGGGGCTTTAGGGTAACCTTACTTTGAGACATTTTTAATCTAATAAAAGTTACTTTGCCGAAGTTATAATCAATGAAAGAGGGGTAATTCAGCTGGTGTACAATTGGTGATATTACACAAGAACAAAACCTGACTCTTTTGCAGAGACAGCTAACTGAAAAATGCCTCACCTGATATCGACTGCAAATTGCAAACTCTATTGCCATAACAATGTAGGCACCTGATAACTACACTCCACTACACTAGACTGATTTATGACAATCACTTATAAATGTTTGGACAATAACACAATAAGATAACAACTACGCAAAACAATTCCCTGACAATGTTAAATGAACTTTCACCGCCTTGAGTGGAGAATAATGGTCATATAAGTTTATGCCTTTCTAATCCAATTTATTTTCTGGTAAGCTTAAATTTTTTTAAATTGAAGTCTGAAATAGATTTAAACCATATTGCACTGCATTCGATGGTTCAGTGTATACTCACCCAACTTTGAAAGAGTCTTTGTAATAGATTCTACACCACTGACAACTTCATTTGTGAGAGCGGACAGTTCATCGCTGCAAATTAACATCGATTTTTCCACAAAGATTAACAAAGCAGAACAGCACGCGTAGGTCAATCTGATATTAATCCAAAAATATAACCTAATCGCTCAAAATTAGCTGAGAAAGGGCTTGGGAATAACTTTTTGAAGGAAACGAAGAGAGCCTTACACCAACCTATTATCTTTGTCGCCTGCCTCCTCAAGCGCAGCACTCTCGTTGTCCGCCATCTTGAGTTCCTCGTCCTCAGTCTTACATCGTCCTTATTATCCGACAGGGTCCTGAGACTTAATCAAATGAAATTTCAAATAAATAACTGAAAGTAAACATTTTTTTTTTCGGTATTGAATGAAAATCAAATGGTAAAAAGAAAATAAGTTGAATTCAAATTCTGATCTCCTTCCAGCAAGAAAGTTGAAACAAAAACGAAAACGGATGCCGTAGTTCCTAAATTCTTTATCCAGAGTTCCAGTACATGAATTGTATTTACCGTCGGACGTAATCGGAATGCCGAAGATGGAGTCGATGAAAATATTGCCATTTTGAATAATTCCGAAGACAGGAAAAATTTTGTTGTCAAGGGTCGGCTCACCTGGTCATAATTAATTTTTTGGGTATTCGGTATTCAGGGGCATTTTTAAATCGTACAATACGGAAAATATACTGCAGATCTTAAATATGGGTATTCATTTTATATAAATTTTCACTTTCATTTTCAAAATTGTTTTAACATAGGTTTAAATAAAATTAATTCAAAGTTTCGATTATTTTTGGGTATATTTACCACACCAACTACAGTAAAATTTGTACACGCCCGATGGACTGCGACGACTGCCTCTTTGGGGATATAATTTACAGGTTTCACAATACGCCATTTTTTTCATAGGTATATTCATCTATTCCAAAAACAATACCCCTTTGAAATGCCGAACGCACTTCCCTAACCCGATTACTACTAGTACAGTCGGACGTAATGAATGGGTCTGACGCACAAGATTGGATTTGTTAAGAGATAAAATAATTCGTTCTTCTCCATTGTGAACTAGTCTGTTCTCTGAGTAAAATGGGCTCCATCGTCTGTACAGCTGCAACGGTAGGCGAATTTTATTATTTATTGGTCCTATTTAGTGAAGCAGACTTCGATTTTCGATTCAAAAGATGCCAATTCCAGTTTAGGGAGAAAAACATACAGAGTACGCTTTAGTGAAAGACTTAGGGGTTGAATTTTCTTCCTTTATTTCTACAAGGATCATTATGATCTTTAGAAACCTTTCAATGGCCGAGCCTTTTATACTGTGCTAAGATCTTCCCTCGAGAACAACAAATGTGGTATAGAATATCGTTCTGTTGACCACCGCTTAGCAATTCAAAAATATGGTGATCTATCTTCGCACCTGCTTCAAGATTTGACCATTTACTGACACAAAATAATGAACCGCATCCTGGATATGGCTCTCTTTTCTTGACTCTGGCCTAAACATAATGTATCGGGCGACATGTAAATATTGTTCAACTTTGGCTGGAATAATTGCCTGTTGACATACAGTTAACATGCCCCCCCCCCGCTCTGCCACGCCCAATTTTTCCAGAGTTTGTTTTGAGGAGAGGGTCAATCTTGCATGTACAAGTATGTTCATTTACAAAGATTTAACTTTGAATTGTTTTCACACAGTATTGATTGATTTCTTTACATTTTAATGTCAAGTGTGCATGTTGCTGCTGCCCAACAGTTGCAAGCTGTTGTTGTGCATGTTGTCCATCATGTCGCAGCTCCACTTCCACCAGGATTGTATACACACTATTTCTTCTCATTGGGACAATTTTGTCCTGTGTGATGTTATCCTCAGGAATACAAGATACCATGGTAGAGAAGGTAACTAAGTCACTTAGTAAGTCTAAAGATGATGATATAGAAGTCGTGCAAATGTGAGGTTTGACAATAATTTTATACTCGGCTCAAAAATTTTGAGTCAATTTTGATTTTTGTCCTTCTCCATTAAAAATGCTAGCCTCTATCACAGTGTGCCCATTTCTAACCATTTCACTCCAAGCAATGACCCAAAAGAAAGTTCATCTTACAATATCAATAAATGTTCAAGGAGAACAGTGGTGAGAACAAAGAAAATATCAACCACGAGATATTGCTTGATTTAAAAGCACATTTGGAAGGCTGAAATTAGACAGACAGAGCAAATGATAGATATTTAATTGTTGGAACTCAAAAGGTTAAATACAATTCATGTTCAGCAACTATACATAAAAAGAATTGCAGTCTGTTTATCCATCTAGCAGTTCATAAGGGTTAGAAAAAATATATTAAAAGATACTTGGTCCTAAAACTCCCACCAAATGATAATGCAGTGTATAATTTGCACACAAAATCCTGACAATGGAACTTGAACTAAAACATGGTGCTACTTACACAGGGCATGGTCATAAATATCATTTACTTGCACTCTTGCAAATTTAAAAATGTCTGAGTTAGTTGCTGCAGCGGCATCTCAGAACTCTTCTTTTTGCATTTCATTTGTGACATCTCTAGGTTCCATTCTTTAATGAAGCCTGCAAAGCAGCAACTTTAGGAACCAACTGTGATGTGTTGGTTGGTTACTTGGCAGTTTACAGGATTTGTTTTGGAATGGCAGCCTTCTTCTTTCTTTTCATGATTCTTAACATTGGGGTTGGCTCCAGTAAGGACTGTCGAGGTGGACTGAACAATGGGTGAGGAGATAACATTAATTATATACTAAGTTAGACTTGTGAAAAAACTGTTAAAAAAAAAAAATAAAACAAAACAAAACAAACAATTTATATGTTTATAAGTGCATGTAGGAATCATGAATAATAATTATGTTATAAAATGCAAACTATGCTATTATAAATGCAAACTATGATCATTGAAAATTTCTCTTGTGCTGCTCTCAATCATGTTTGAACCTCTTGTGATATCATTTAAAGCTGGTACATTGAGCCGGCAATGAGTGAAATTAAATGAAGGATCAGTCTGTAATTCACCTTCAGTTGAGACACTTTGTTTTCCATATTTTTTTTAGGTTCTGGGGCCTTAAGTTTCTTCTTCTCATAGCTTTGTGGGTGGCTGCTTTTTTTATTCCCAGAGGAAGCTTTGGAGTTGGTGAGCAAGACCACTGTCACTTTCCTTGAATGTCAACCTTATTATAAGTTACTTTAAGTTTAGAATTGTTTTATCCAAAATTGAGAAATCCTCTCTATTTCTCTCTATCTCTTGGGTGATTCATTAAAAATAAAAAATCATTGATTTTCTTGAGGGGAGAGTTGGGACTGAGCATGGAAGGGGGAGGGGGTGGGGGTGGGGTGTGGATAGGTTAAATGATGGAGTGGGCAAGGACATCTGCAAGTACCACATTTATTTACCTATAGGCCAAGCTTGGCAATAAGCAGAGACACTAAACTTAAGAGATACGATAATGGGTGAAAGCTTTCCAAAAAAAAAAAAATTGGAAAAGTCCTGGCTATAAGCCAAGACTTAAGTTTCACAAAAAAGTTTACTTGAGTGAGTGTCCACTCAAAGTCATTCATGGTAGGGCTCCTCTCATGAAACATGTCAAAAGTTGTTGAAAAATATCAAACTTTTGGCTATAAGCCGAACCCCTTTGTTCAAATTTTTTTTGGCAGATTTACTCTAAGTTTTTTAAAAAGTTGGTCAGCTTATAGGTAAATAAATACAGTTTAACTAATAAGCAAGTTTTTCACTCAGAGATTAGAAACTTTTGAAATTTGTAGTCATTTTCATTTTCAAAAGTACATGACTGTGGAAATACTTGATAGACAGTGTACTTAGGTTGTCATTTCTGTGTTCTGATTTGTCACAGATTAGTATTGTCTTGCGGTCATCACCTCATGTACTGTGACTGATTTTTAAATTTGCTAGAAATTTTTCTAATCTAATAACACTCTATATAATATTATATATATATATATTTTTTTTTTTTTTTTGGTTTAATTTCAGCATGGATGTATATTGGGTTCATTGGTGCCTTTGTATTTATCCTTATTCAACTGATTTTGATGATTGACTTTGCACACACATGGAATGAGATTTGGTACAGTATAATCACAGATACTGAAAGTGACTTTTACTACTCTGACATACATGTATTGCTCTAATGCTTGCTGAAAAGTATATGTTAACATTGTCATTTTTTTTTTGTTAGGACATCAAATGCTGAAGAGACTGATAACAAGTGTTGGTTTGGTGGTAAGTGTTATGGATTCTTGACTTGATGTACAACTTTTTCTTGATAGGCTCCCTCGGGGAGCATTTCAAGAAAAGAGCTAAATGAAAACTTGGTTGTGAAAAAGCTAAATGAAAACTTGGTTGTGCTGGTTGATGGGGAATTTTACAGTTTGTCTCAATTAAATGCTGATTGGGTTTCAATTTTCAATTTGATCTTCTGTTTCTTGAACTTACCATCCAGATACTCTTAGAAGAATTTTAGAGGCATTTGTGGTAACATCATTATTTGAATTAATGACACAGTATTGATTAGAGATTGAAAAATTAGTCATTAAATTAGTATGCATCGGGAGATTGAGGTATGCACAAGTCATTAGAGGAATGGTGAACTTTTAGCAGAGAAGGCATGTAATCAGGAAAAACTCAGTTCCCTGTGGGGAAATGAATCCAGACAGTCACTTTTGTACATGGTAGGTTTGCCATCCTATATCTGTCGAGCTACAGAGAACTTTTCATTGAGCAAGGCCAATAAAATGAATATATATATATATATATATATTTAACAAATAGATTCCAAGTTGCCGTGCGTCTGTTCAGTAATAGATCACAGACGACATCAAAATGTGGTAAGAACAAAAAAGTGGTACATAAGGCACAGCCAAGTGCATCACTGATGTTCTTACCACATTTTGACGTCCTCTGTGATCTATTACTGAGCAGACGCATGGCAACTTGGAATCTATTTGTTTTATGTAATAAATAATTTGAAAAAAGTTTTAATGATGATGTTATCTATACGTCTGTCCTCCAATAGATCATAAGTGAGAACCAATCAGAATGTGTGCATAACTGAGTTTATTATATAAATAATTATATATATCAACAATTATTGTTTGTTTTTAGGGCTGTTTTTCTTCATGTTCCTGTTTTATGCTTTGGCACTGACTGGGTTTATCCTCTCATTTGTCTTTTTCACGCAGGTCAGTCACAATTGTTAAAATGATTTGTCAGGGGAAAATGATTTGAATATTGATACTGTCATTCTTGTAGTTGGGTAATTTAGTGTTATATTGGCCACCATTTAGAGTTTAAAGGCTGACGTTTCGAGCATTAGCCCTTCATCAGAACGATTGGTCAAAGGACCAATCGCTCAGATGAAAGGCTAACGTTTTCAACAATGTTGGACGACCTGTTCAAACGCACCGAATATTTGGTTCTACAAAGTGTTGAATGCATGTGCAAGCAAATGTTGAAACTGCTTTTGCACAACGATTGTTTAGGATCCGATATGAAACAAGAGCAGTGGGAACAGCTAAAATCAATTGGCTGATTGATTTAATTCAATTAACATATGTAAACATTTAAGTGAACAATTCTGAGAATAGAATAATCCAGAGGTTTTTACAGGAAATAAACCAGGTGGAATTCACTGCCGCAAATCTTTAATTTCACCAAGTAACAAAAAAGGAAAAAAAACAACACATCAAAAAAAAAAAACAAAACAAAAACTTGCAACCACAAAAAATGCGTTCAGCGTTCGAAGCAGGAGACTGAGAGGTTTGTTTCCAATTGCAAGCAGAAGAAACCTCTGTAAACAAAGATCAGGCGAAGAAAGGTTTGGATCGTAGCCTCAATTTTGAGAACGTATGCAGACGGAAATTTGATGCACATAGGATGTTATCTGGTTCTGTTTTTGTTGACTACATGTTGAAAGTAGGCAATTTAGCGTTAAAAACTAAGTTGAAAACGTAAATTGGCCACCGTAAAGAGTTAAAAAGTTTTTTTACCCTTTACGGTGGCCAATTTACGTTTTCAACTCAGTTGTTATCGCTAAATTACCTGCTATATTCTCCCACCGACGCAACACCACAGTTTCTTTAGAAACTTGCCCTTCTATGCCTGTTGAAAGTGTTTAGTATTATGCAATGTTGGATGGTTAACACAATTCTGAATCTTTCTGTGACTTTTTGGAAGCTGAAGCTGAAGTGAGACCTGGAGGTCTTTTAGATTTCTTTCAGGCGACTTTTACCTTGTCTTATCATACCGTAACCCAAATTTCCTGGAAAAATAAGATTTTGATTTAAAGAGAACATACTGACTAAAATGTCAGTAACCAGTCGCCACATATCCTTTCAGAGGACTTTGTGTGTGAGACTCAGGCCGCAGGTTTGCAAGTCAGCAAATGGAAGATTTTGATTAGAAGTAAACAAACAGTTAAAGGGGTAGTATGATCTAGAAAAATTTTACCTCTATTTGAAGAACTTTTCCTCAGGAATTGGAATATAATTGCCGTTTTGACCAGTTTACCTTGCAGTTGTGACAGTAGCGCTTTGAAGTTCTTATCAACAACTTTCGCTACTAGAAAAACGCCATCTTGGATATGACGTCAGCTATGACGTAGCAGTAGTCAAACCTCGTTCAAAGCTTTGAGCAGATTGACCCTTCCGCCGAGTATTTCTTATAACAGTTAAACTATGGTTAACTTTCTTGTGGGTTACTGTCATAATACTCACAAAAACACAGAAGGGAAAGGAGTAAACTTCCATAAGCTACCCAAAAATGAAAATCTAAAGAAAATTTGGTCGGCAAAAGTAAAACGCGAGGACGGTTTGCAGAAACCCGAGAAATGCTAATTTTGCTCAGATCACTTTATCGTGGAAGACTTCAAGCGGAATATACAGGGTTGAAAGTTGTGCCTTTAGACCTTTGCTTTGCTCCAAACTGAAAGCTATGTTTACCTTTCGCATATTCAAAATGTAGATTTTCCATAATTTTTTAAAAGAACCACTGTAATGGAAGCGTAATCATTGGTGATTGACCGCGTGTGGTAAATTCAGTCGCGACCAAAGGCGACATTCGCCGTTTTTTCCCAAAAATGTTTCCCAAACATTTTTCTAAAGCAATATTTATAATTATTTTAAAAGGCAATTGAATATTTATTAATTTTAGAATCACCGTAAAAATGTCTCCTCGTCACTCTGTGTAAATAAGATAATAAGGAAAACCGTTAGTGTGTTCAGTGGTTGGTTTTTTCTTTCTTGTCGAAAGTACAGTATACCCGTTCCACGCCCACCAAAGGAGGACCTGCTCGCATGGCATGTCTCCAGATTTGGAAAAAAAATTAAGCAAGTGAAAAAAATAAAAATACAAAAATTAAATAATCCGCCTACAATGCCACTAGCATTCACATCGTTAGTTTTAAGTTTTAGGAACAGACAGTTCAAGGTATTTTAATGATTGGAAATGGAGTCGATACCTTTATAGCGGCGTAGAAAAACCTCCTTTAATGTTTAGGAAATACAAAGACAATTTTTTTTTTAATTAAACGTGACTATCCCGGCCATGAATCATTCTCCTCAGCGTCTTTAAAGCCTGTATAATTTCCGGCTGCATTTGGGTAATTACTTCTCATTGATGCCCCAACACGCGTTTGTTCCCGTTACCAAGATTGTTATAAGTCCACCAAGTGGACTGTCTATAACCCGCCAATCGCATACTCATATGAAAAAAACAAAATACTCCTATACATGGTCAGAACGGAACCTAGACAAATGCATTTGAAATAAACAAATTCTACTTCGTCAAGCAGGCGCCTATTTGTAATGAGATCGATATCCTAAGCTAACACTTCGACAACGGGAGACTTCCTGACGCGCGTCGTATAACGTGAGGTTCTGTGTACACGTAACAAATTTGGAACAGTAGACCTCCTTTTTTTAATTTTCCCAGAGTAGGGAATGTAATAATTCTCTTTAGTACTCTTTCATTCAATTTTGTCTCGTTCACGTTCATACTTACTCATGATTTACCTCCATTAGGAAAACAAAGCATACAAACTAAAGAAATCTATATACAATTGATATTGCGGTGAAGTTCACCCCTACGACAAAAGATTACAACATCGCTTGGGATAAAAGGGCTGACAACAAACTGCATTTGTTTCTTACGGTTCGCATCAGACTAACTTGCAGACAACTTAAGCGTTTTGTTTGCATGAATTTTGTGAAAATGTTTAGATTCTGTCAATGCTTACTCATTTAACGGATAATCTTCAAGTCAATCATTTCTCACTTGGTGAATGCTAATAAGGGCTGTTCTTAAGACGTCGGCCAGTAAACACACGGGTCTAAATGATCCGTGCTTAGCAGTGTGAAATAAATCCGTCGCGAGCACTGCGCTGTTCTTTTGTAAAAAATTAAAAAAACTATCACTTTAGAAACAAAGATGTTATTTGAAAGGAATTAACTACCTTCCAGAGCTAGTCAATCACCTAGTACATTAATTTCTTGACTGCAATTTAGTTTTCTGTTGGCATCTCTTGACAGTTGCCGCGAGCTAAGAGCACCACTCACGATTTCCAAGACGTGAGTGCGTAGATGTTTCTCCTTGTATATCTCTGAGTTTCTTCGTCAACAAAAATTTCTCCTTCTCCTGAAGACGAGCTATGTTGCGGCTCAAACATGAATGGACGAATTACACCGTCTGAATTAAGATCCAAGTCGAGAATTGAATTATCGCTCTCCTTGCCGCTGTTTTCTCTGTTTTCAATTTCAAAATGTCAATTTTTAAAACGTGATTTCTGGCAACAAAAACACTTTCAGCTTAAATGAATAGCCAATTATGACAAAACAAGTCAGGACCTTTTGATTTAAGCAAACTTCTTCTAGGTCGTACTTCTCCTTAAAGTCTTTTACTACTAAGGGAATATAAAATATAATTAGCTTGCTCTCGTATTTCATTTCGTGAGATGGTTGATTATACAAGGGACCAGGGAGGGTAAGATTTCAGGGGTAGATGAAGGTTTTGTTCGATTCTCGTATTTCATGTACGTCACATGTTGTCGACTTGCCTTATCTTAGACATTTATACTTTGTTTTAGGTGGTTTTAGATTGTGTGCGAGTGGCTGTAGATGTTTTTAAGGTGGTTGTTGAAACTTTTGAGGTGGTTTTAGGTCATTCCATATTTTAGTGCGTACAGACTTATATAAATTGATCATTTACCGAAGTTTGCCACAGAAAACTCTGTTTGGAGCAATTTATGGAACTAATTGGCTAACAAGATCAAAATTGTCTTTCATATTATCCTCTGGCAGGTGCTTTACCGAAGTAGCCACCTACTTCAAATCTTATTGAAAGCACTGAAATTGGCCACCACAAAGAGTTCAAAGGCTGATGTTTGGAGCATTAGCCCCTTGTCAAGGGGTTGGTCAAAGGACCAATCACTCCGACAAAGGGCTTACACTCAAAACATCAGCCTTTACACTCTTATACAGTGGCCTATTTACATTTTCAACTCAGTTGACAACACTAAATTACCCTGTTATACTCTCCCACCAACACAGCACCACAGTTTCTTTAGAAACTTACCCTCTTTATCTTCATAGTAGACTGAATCTCACTGTTACATTTTTAAAAAATTTAATTGTTTTTTTTTTAGTCAAGTGGTTGTCATATGAACAAGTTCCTCATCAGCTTCAACTTCATAATGTGTTTTGTCATCTCAGCTATTTCAATTCTGCCCAAGATCCAAGAAGGTGCATACATAGTAGCATTACTTGACATAAATTTAATTAAATTGATTTATCAGTGTCTTTGCAATTGTCAACCAAATTGATTGATTTTTACAAGTCATCTATTTATTTCTTGTAAGTTACCAAATCGATTTTGAAAATTCCAAACTCTTATCTGTTACTAAACTCACTTTTATTAACTGACTTTAGACAGTTATTATTAGCTTTAAACTCTTGTAAGCCCCTCATTAGTGGCAAATGGTGGGAGAAGTTTGACCCTTTAGGTAGATGTGATTGTTCAGTTGAGGTTGAAACTCATAAACAGCTAAATTTGAATTTATTTCTTATTCAAAGTATGAAGGAGGAATAGTCAGATCTTCTCTGTGCCTAAACTTAGCTTGCTCCAAATTTAAAGCAATTTATCAGTGGTTGATTTAATTTGAGCAAGTGATTGTTTTGAACAATTTTATGCTGGTTAGTGAGCTTCATTCACCACAGTGACTGCACCTTTTTCTCCTACAGTACAACCCAAGTCTGGTCTCCTCCAGGCCTCCATCATCTCTCTGTATGCCAGCTACCTGACCCTATCGGCTCTCTCCAATGAACCAATAGAAAAAGGTATTTTTGCTGCATTCGCCATTGGCAACTGAGAGGTTTGCTGGGATGTGGCAGGAATAATGAGGGCTAGATTTTAAGATAATGTGTTGTTCCTTTTTTCCTTGTTAGTACAATCTCAGGGAGGAAACAGCACCAGTCAAGAAATTTGTGGGAGCTCAATTGGGACAATTGAAAACTCAGAGACACTGGCTTTAATTGTTGGGCTTGTTATAATGTTTGTGCTTGTCATTTACTCAAGGTCAGTTTCAGCCGTGTCAGTAGTAATATATTGTTGAGTGTCAGTTGCCAAGTTATACAGACTCAGTCATAATAACCACATATATGAGAACACAGATTTTCCACTATGGCCATAACAAGATGAGGTAAACAGTAATTTGATTCCAGTGAGAAATGATGTTCAGATAGGTTCTTGGACAAATTCTTATTGCAATAATGTTTTTTTAAAACATTCTCAAAATATTAAATCTAAAAATGTGTCATCTTGTTGTAGTCTGAGAACGGTAGGAAGTGCAGATAAACTGGTTCCATCAGCAGGGGCCAGTTCTAAAAATGGTATGTAAAGTCCATTTTTATTCAGTAGGTGTAATGGTGCACAACATATTTAAAAGCTTATTGGCTTACTCAGGCAAGTTATTGGCAGAAAATACTTTTTTTCGCTATCTTTCCTGGACAGCCTGATGTTTTAAAAGTAAGAAGGTTTAGAAACAATGTGCTCTTTCAACTTTTTCGTGACTGTTCCAGTTTGCTACAAGCGGCACATTATGGCCACTAGGCTGGGTGAAGGTATTGTCATTTGTTGGTCGCAAGCAGAAAAGTTGACATGCAATAAGAGCTTTAAAGATCAGTTATTAACCTTCTAGATGCTGGCACCCTCATAAGTTCAAAAGTTTTATCTGGTCATGAATAACTATTTCTACAAAGTTCTCAGGAGGTTTGTGTATAACAAATTCTTAATTACAGCTGATGAGGAGAAAGGAGGGCAGGAAATAATTAGCGATGAAGAGGAAGAAGTGGCTTACAGTTACTCCTTTTTTCACTTCATTTACTTCCTGGCCTCACTGTATATTATGATGATGCTCACAAATTGGTACAGGTGAGCTCTTTTTGTTGGGATATTGTGCAGTTCTCAAGCAGAAAAAAAATTTGGGTTGTAAGATGGTTTCTGGAAAAAAAGAAATTATTCATTGTAACTTCTCAAGGGATGCAACCAGATGAATAAAGATTAAATGAAATACTATTGCTAACTGATCATAGGGAACCTTGTAAGAGTGCTTGTTCTGCTTATAACATATCTTTGAGAATTTCTGGCATAGTGGTCTAGATAAATTGTTATTTGTCATCCTCCTACATCTAATCAACGTATTGCACTGGTATGTTGAAATAAATTATTTCTTCTCCCAATAGTCCCCAGGGCAGCGATCTGGAGAATTTCCAGAGGACTTCTGGATCAGTATGGGTCAAGATGATATCTTGTTGGCTTGGTTTTGCATTGTATCTGTGGACACTCTTAGCTCCTGCCTGCTTTCCAGACAGAGACTTCAGTCGTACTCTTGCTGCATAACAGAGCAATGATACAGCGTTCTACACTTAGTGGTTATTTTAAAGTATATATCATTGGAGTGTTAAAAGTTAATAACATGATTTTGAGTAAATTTTTCAAAGACAACAAAACTGCACAAGCCCGTAGGGCGAGGGCAATTTGTAGTCTTTGAAAAAATTACAAGTGCGTATTACACCAACTTGCAAGAGAACTCATGTTATTACTTGTTAATAATGTTCGTGAAAAAACATCACAGAAAGTCAAGACAGACGAAATGCTTTAACTGAGCATGTGCTATTTGTAATTTGCGCCCGTGTTACAACTTTGCACTCATGTTGCATTAAAAGGCATTTGTTTTCAACCTGTCAGAAGCGGGTAATTTTTTCATGTACATTATTACTGACGAAAGTTTTGTATAACTGCATTTGTTTTGCTGGGGTTTACTCTCTAATTAGTTTAAAGAAAACTCATGCCACCTTCTCACCCAATCAGATGCAAGACTAAAAGCTAGGGCCTCTAGGTCACTCGTGCTTTGCGTTTTCATTGGCTCCCTTAGATATAACCCCTTGCTCCGATTGGCCTTCGAGATATTCGCGGTAGCATTGACCGGTTTAGTTGAAAGTTGCTCCAAGCAATAAAATGAGGTTTAGATTTTGGTGCAAGGAGTAACGCGAACCAAACTGTTCAGTCAGAGTTATTATTAGTATTTTTTTTTTTCACAGAAGCTTGAGGTTATAAGCTAATGGCACTTCGTGGACTGCTAGATCATATTTATTATATGTACGATATATAACTGTCGCGAAACTGCGTCTGAGAAAGTTAACTGATGGGAAGCAGTTTTATATTTGTGTAGTTAAACTGGAAAATAATCTTACTTGTAATGCAATTGTAATTTTTAAAAATAAATTCAGTAGAACTGAGTCATACTTAGCGAATGGTTGCTTTTATATCGAGCGGTGGTTACACCTTTTAAGATATTCCTTGCGCGCCAAATAAACAGCCAGATGTAGACTATTTTAATCGGACAAATTTTCGCGTCTCGGTGAAATTAGGAAAAGAAAGGTCGTGTCACATCATATATATATATTTTTTTTGCGCTTCTTCCCTTGGGGCGTTACTCGCGATTCGCGCTCGCCTGTTCGCCGGCAAGAAGCAGAAAATTACGCCACTTCTGTTTTGCTAAGCTACAAAAACGAGCAGCGGAGCAACGAGTGACTTTCTCCCGCTTCCCAAGTCTCGAAAAGCGAAAAGCTTCAAAAAGCATGCAAACTCGCCTTCCATGCAAGCATCTCGTTAATTTTAAGCATCGTTCTTTCTTAACTTTACCGTTCCCTTTAGGTACTTGTCTTCAACGAGAAGCTTTCATACAACGTCGACTCATTAACGCACAGATCAAGTTCTTGTTTGCAACTGATCAAGGATCAGAGTGAACTAGGGAACTCAGATATATTAGTTAAGATTGAATGCTTTGTGTTGCTGTGTCTCAGCTATGGAAAAGATCCAAACCCTTTACACCCTTACGGCAGTACCTATATTCTCCATACTTTTCTCTGTAGATTTCCTTTGGTTCTGACAAGGAGAATTGACTTCACAATCAAAGTATCTTAGGTTGGCAATCATATCCTTTATTCTCACGATCCTAATAACACAGTATGATTGTAAGGAGAAATTAGAGGCTGGTCAATCTCAGGGTTTAAAGGATTATTAATGTTAATCATAATCCACACCCTCCCACTGCCGTATACTTAAATCCTCACTTTGTACTTCCTCACCAATAAGAATGACAAACAAAACTGATTAAATGTCAATTTATTGGTATAGTACTGATCAATTATACCAAGATTCTTGAAAATAGCATGTAAGTTACAGTGCAATAGTGACAAAAAAGTCAATGGAGCATCACTCAACCAAGATATAACAATAGACAAAAGAAAATTAACTATAGAATTGAATTTAAGTAGTTATCCCCCCTGGATTAGAAAATTTATGTTCAGCTAAAAAGACCCTCAGTTAGTATTTCATTTAAAAAATTAGTATTTTTATGACAACGTTTTAATTGATTGTACATTTATAATTTCAGGTAAACAATATTCACATTTTCCTTGATACTATGAAATATTGTGCCTTTGTTACAAGGTGCACTAACATATTTTATATACCTCCTGTTTATCATCACGCTGGAGATTTAGAAGTCTGCATAGAAAAGGAAATTTTCCATGTTATAAAATACATTGCTCATGAACACAAATTTGTACATGCAAGTCAACTTCACATCACACAGATGTGGTGTTAAACACCTGAAAATTACCTCAAAATTTACAGTTCACATCTAACACAAAGTATGGAATACAAAGAAGTAACTAAAAAAACATAACAAGAAAAACATCAGACTTATGCCAGAGAGAATCCTAAAAATATAATTGACACTACCAAATAAATTTTCTACTAGAAAAAGCTATGAAGAGAGATTGCATGATACTAAGCTAAGCAATGTGAAGAAATTATTTCAGTGCAATGCCAAAGAGATTCCCTTGATGTGAATTGAAAGAACCTAGTCAGTATTCCTTAGCAGTGTTCTATCAATCTGTATATTGTTCAGCATGATTTCATTCCTTCCTTTACAGCACCATCATCTAAGAATCTTTTTTGCCATCAGTAGCAGCTCTTATGGCTGCCTCAGTAGCTGCATCTTTAGCTGAAAAGAGAAACAAAAACACAATGAGATCTTTAAAAAGGTCACATTAAAAAAAAAAAAAAGAGAACCTCCTGCTCTTCAAAATGCCCCATTTGTTAGCAGAAATGTGGTAAATAGAAGTATTAGCAAAATATAAAAGTTTTTTGAAAATGTACCATAAAATTATTGCTGTGAGAAATACAAATTATTGTTAGTTGCTTAATGGGAGAACCAGGAGCTCTAGATCTTCAAAAGAAGAAACTTCAGAAAACACTGTTACGAGACAGAATACTCAAGAATGTGGCTAGAGGCCTCAGTGATGAAGGATTTCGACCGATTTTGCAGAGTTGTGTTGCAAGTACAGATAATTGTTCAATATGTGGCCACAGGACAGTTTGAAGTCTGCAGTCATGGTTGTAATTTAGCAAACTTGCAAATTGCCTGCAATTTTTTTAATCATCATGTAATGGTTAAGAGCATGTGACACTACCAAATGCTATTCCAACTGCACTTGATTAATCTAATTATGAAATCATTTAAAACATTGGGAAGGATATCTGTAAGTGCTCAAATTACAAAAACAATTTGAAGTTACAACTTTGTATTGCCTATTACGCCATAAATGAAACCTACTTGTAGTTAAGCACACATCTTATGGTCACTCCGAAAGCATTAATGTGCCATTATCACTTGTAAATTTCTTTCCATGAATTTCATGCAGCAAGATTCAAGTACCACAGAATTTGTGTTGAATCACATAATAGCATGCATCAGAATGGCCCTAAATCGTACCCAGAAAACCTTCAGTTCCTTGTTTAACCAACCGTCCACTTTTTTTTTTTTTACTCAATTACAAAGCCACTGGGTCAGAACAAAGTAATGGCTTTGTCAATTGAAGCTATCAACTGAAACAAACTCTAGGCCTTCTATTTTCTTTCCCTCTAGGATGTCATTTTTTACTTATTTATTTTTTAAAACAAAGTTTATATTTATAAAATGGCTCACTAACATAAAAACAGAAATGCTTACAGGCTTCTTTTGTCCTCATTATTTTAAAGCAACAACCCCCCTAAAGTTTCTTAGACATCTAATGATAAAAAGTACCTACATGACACTTTAGCGACATGTCATCAATTGACTCAAAAAATTCCAGAATTGGTACACAGCTGACTTATAGGTAGAAAATGCTCAACCACAAAAACACTCAGCTGGAAATTAAAAGGCCTGAGAGGCTGCTGGTGATGCTGTTAATGTTTTTGAATACAAAAAAATTCATAACTACATGATAGGTCCACAAACATCTGCTTACAGTGATGCTTTTTAAATATTAATGGATAACAAACCCGTCGACGAAGCCATATATAGTAAACACAATAACCGATTTTCCATTGAATTTCCTTTGAGAGCGGCGAAACCAATTAATTCATACTTTGCCCATAAAATCTAACATTCTTTTATTATTGAGAAATAAACATTATAAACATTATATGCATGTGTGAAGTTCAAATACATTGTACGATTACTCGATGTTAACAAACCGAAGAGCACTCTGCTGATTAAATAAAAAATCAGACGCCTTCCTTTACAACTGCAGATTGAAAGCTCTTAGCTGTTAACTTAGTTTGACGATAGCTCACCTTCTTGGGCGACTTTGTCGACTTGTTCTCCAACTTTATTCAAAGCTTTGTCAATTTGAGTCTGGTGCTTCAACACAAAGGGTCTGATAACCTTGTGGTAAATGGTGTTACATCCATTCCAAGACACAGGCGCCATACACCAGCACAGGAAAATCAGCTTTAAAAAAATAGTAACGTCTCATTGAAATACCCACGCTAACCATTGATACGATACTTCGGTTACAGACTAAATGTTCGTGATGTCAACGAAGAGGCAAAACAAATGAAAATTCCATTCTGCAGTTTGGAGATTAGATCTGCTCCCATAAAACGTTTCTTCTAACTTTGGCATCTGCAAAAAATTCTACGCTTCAAAGAAGTCCGAAGTCCACAAATTTAATTTTAACGGTAAATGCAAGTGAAGAGGTTGGCGATAATGGACGTTACGTAAAGAAATATAAAACCTCCACAATACACCTGATTGTCATCTTAAATAAAACCATGGCGTTTAGAAACCTGACAGTTAAATACCTTCACAAGGAAATAGAGTGGGAACCACGACAGCAAAATGTCCGAAAAGAACTCCACGATGTTGAAAACTCCGAACACCACCCAATAAATAAGCCATTGTGTGTCGTCCTCTTTGTCTGCACTTTCCACAGCTTTAACCCTAAAAAAAGACACAGCGGAGTAAAACAGATTTGTCTTGGAATGAAATATCGAACAACAACGAGGACTCAGGCGCTAGTAAACGCTGAGAGAATGTGACAACCAGGTGTTCTACTCTTTCGTTTTAAACAAGCTTAACCCACATGCAAATGGCGACTCGAAAGCAAACAACTGAACAGGTAAACAGCTAATACGTGGTTTTCACAAAAAAGGCATTTAAGACTTACGATTGATAGGCTGGATAGGCAAAACCCAGGCAGGTCACAATCAAATCTGCTCCATAGCCAAACACAAGATAAAGGGCGAATATACCAACAAGACCTATAAGTGCAAGAACAGCATGGTCAGAGGCGAAGGGACGGGGACTCGTCCAAAATGCGTTAGAGTATCTACAAATTACCGAGAAATAAATAAAGCCTTTTCACTCCAGTCTTCTTCTCGATTTTATCTAAGACATCGGTAAAGAAATTCTTCTCGTGAAGCCAATTATCGAGCTTTTCTTTGCCCGTATTTATACTCTCCGTAGCCGACATTTTTGCAAATTACAACGGAATTACTTATTCCAAGGCGGGTTTGCGATAAACCATGTATTCCTCCAAGGGACTGGTCACATGACTTGTTCAACCAATCGGCGTTGTGTTCAATACATGACTTAATCAGTCACGTTCTGTTCACGTTCAGGCAAATGGTTGTTTATTTTCAGGGCACCATTTCAATATCAAGAAAAAGAGTGTAGTTTAAAATCGCGCACTGTCTTCCTTCCAGGACTTACGATAGAGAGTAATTACTAATAAGTATCTAAAAATCGTTCTCTTACTTGCACAAATGTTCCCCGAAACGCGAATGTTGTGTTACACCCGTCCTCACCTCACGTATTGACATAATTTCTTGGCTTTTCCCCATCCTAGCAACTGATCAATGATTATTCAGATGTGCAGGCAAAGCTATACTAATGCGTTTTGTTTGTATTATTTTGATACAAAATAAGAATTTAAGTGAGGTGATATGTCCGACCACGGCTATTAAAAACTCAGTAGAAAAATATATTGTGAGCCTGTTTTTGGCAGCAATCCAGATCAAGTACCAGAGCGAAACTAGGCAAATTTCGAATACGTCCTTAACTTATTTAAAGGATCTTTATACTCAATGACGTATGTACTTCGAAGTTATGACGTCCGCAGCGATAATTTCAAGACGAAAACTTTTGCCTCAAAACTTGAAGGAATTTTCGCCACGCTAGAGTCACGAACTAGCCGACTGTGGCAGGAAATGGACAATCATTGTTACTCAGTTACTGGTAATTAACAATTTCAATAACTAACCAGCGGGTATGGGATTTTTCTTCGCCAATTCCTTTCCCTTCTCCATATACGCTTTTAGCGAGTCCGCTTCTTGTGTTGTATCATTTGAAACTTGTGCGTTCGTTGTAGCATCTTCCATACTTTCATGTACAAGTTCGCTGGCCAAATACCGGTGTGCGGAGATCAGGAATTTCGTTTGCGACGATCGTTAGATCTGCCGTGACTTTCAGCCAATCATGACACCCGCGGACAAGCGCATGCGGAGTACCTACTTACCTTACTTCTGCAACAGGTTTACTCAATAAAGAATCTGTTTCAAGTTAGATTCTGATAAAAGCTTCTTATTTTTTTTTCTGGGGAAATGATCGAACCTCTCAGGTGCACAGCTAATTTATCCGGCTGGCCTGGGCTGACCTAGGATACGACAATATTTAAATAAAAGATACCTTCCTCACTTTCCCGTAAATTTTCTTTCAGTTTCAGTAGTACCTCTGTAAGAATGGCCAATCAATCATTGAAACTATTAAGATTTTTTGTCTTTTATAATTCAGACTAGCCTCCTGGACTAGTTTTAATTTTTTTTCTTCCTAGTGCATGGTTTGTACCCAAGAAGAGTTTGCTATCATAAAAGACTGGGAACTAATCAGGATAAAATCCAAAATGGTGTTCGACAGGCTAAGAGGAATCGAACGAGAAAATCTCCCTCTTTCGCGGCAACAAACCGTTGACGACCAGGAATCTCTAGCACAACAAAATATTTTATCATCTGTTAATGGAAAGACACCAAAAGAGCATCAGATAGGTGAGTTACCAAGCTGTTAACATGAAAACTTAGCCGATATGCTAAACTGTCAACGGCCTTACGTTTGTGACTTTCAGGAACTAAGAAATATATGTTATGTAACTACTTACAATTTACTGATACCGTTGTGGTTATTGCTATAATTAATCTAAAATGAGTAGAAAATGGTTTTAATAGCGTAGCAGAGACTCTGTACATCATCGTTAGATATATGCACGATGGAGCATAAGAAATAAACTTGTTTGAATTAGTAACAAAATAATCGTTATTGGGTTTAGAACAATTTGTCTCTTTTGGAGTGCTCTAGATTGTTGAGAATTCTGCTCTGCCTGTTTTACTTTCCTGTTTGATGTGTGGTGCTCACTACTCACGATTACAATAGCTGTTTTTGTTTTATTTTTATTATTTCTTGTCATGGAACTTAAACTGCCCTTCTTACATGCTGAGCTTAATTTGCCATCGATTGAAAGAGGATGGGGGGTGGGGGAGGGGGAGTGGAAGCATGGCTTGGGAGAATAAGATACAATTTTATGGGTGTGAGAGGTATATAATGCTAAGTAGTGGCATGCCTAAGGTGCAAGAGGCATTAAGGAGGGGGTAGACAGGAGGAGGTGTTAACAGTTTGAAGGTAAATGATTCAAGCTTAACACTTGAAGTTTAAAGTAAAAGTTGGTAAATTGTCTACTTTCATCGGTTAGTTGACACCAGTAGCAGTTCCTGAATATTTGCTTTTTCCTTTGTATGATTTGTGGTGTAGTTGCTCATTTATAACACAATCAACAAATTTATATGGTTAATGTATTTCTATTTTTCATCTTTGCAGAAAGCACACAAAGACTTGTTGGTTTTGCAATTGGTACTGGGAGGTAGGATGGAAGAATCCCTCTGAGAATTTTCTTAACTGGTTACTATTTGTGATCTGTCTCCTTATGAGTGTATTGTTTCTCTTAGTATTCTTGCTGCACAGTTTCTGACACATCCATTTACAGTCTTCAGGAGACAGTGTCAGGTATCTTGTGCTTGCATTAATTGTTCTATGAATAAATTCAATAATGTTGACTGTATAATGATAAGTAAAATGTGGTCAACTGTGGGTTGAAAATGAGATCCTCAAGCAAGTCTTATGATGACAAACATTACAAGAGGTTTGTTTATCCCAACATGAAGTTGGCTTTTAGAAAATGGTATCCTTGTTGGAAAGCTTGCTCAGGGAAACTTTGAAATTGTGTTTTTTGTTATAAAAATTACTTGAATGCAAGGATTAGCACCTCTGTCTCTGCCTCGGTGGCATATCATTATGATATCATACTTTACATTTAGTCAGTATCTGTTTTAATTTGTTTTAATAAAAAATTAGTAGATCTGTTGAACAAGGACAACCAGATGAGATATTAAGCCAGTCTGACTAAGAACAGAACATCAAATGAATCTATTTTTGATGGTGCCACAAATTGAGAACTGCCTATTCTGTATTGTTTTATTGAGTTTTTCTTCACCAGGTAAATCATGGTGCCAGAAAATACCACTTAGCACCCTTCACTGTGTTCCAAATCTTGCTTCGTGTGAGAAGAAGTCAGGTGAGATTATTAATTTTATACTGTGAACATAGAATTGGAAAAATCTACTCTGAGGCTGTGGTTATAGATGCTTGATAAAGACCAAACCCCTGTATTTAAATTGAAATGATCATGATTGTGATTGATGCTGTCATTTTAGGGTTATGGTGCTTTGTGGAAGGGTTGTGGTAGTACCTATGTTGTGTGTGCTGTCAATTTCTTTGGTGAAGCAGCAGTGAGCAGCCTTACTCATCTACCCTAGTAAGTCACAAGTAGAACTGTGTAATTAGACAGAGTAATTTTCAATTGAGTATTGAAAATTGATTGCTTTGGTTTTGCTTTACTTGGCTTTGGTCCTTTGGTTACTTGAGAGTTGTGCCACTTTGTCAATCAGTCAAATCCAAAACTGAAACCAGTCACAACATAGCTGCTGGATTTTTGCTTTGTTTCAGGGTGTTCAGATATTTTTTAAATGAATTGCGAAAATTGGAATACGGTCAAACATGTACAAAGAGTTCATGAAAGAGTCTGTAAAAAGCATTGTTTGTCTTATTAAGCATCATTTGGTAAGCCATTCTTAACTGAATTTTCACATCAATCTTTTTAGTGAAAAACCAGAGAGAACTAGTTCATACAAAGATGTTGGAGGCCATCTTCTTTTGAAAGGGTATGAATGAGATTAAGTGACTTCTAAAATAGTTTTATGAAATGTGTGCTCTGTTTTACAATTGACTGATGGAGATGAAAAGTAAAATTATACACCATAAATGATGAGATTAAAAGGAATGATTTAGGGAAGTCCAGTTAATTATCACTTCAAACACAGCAATGAAACAGTCTCAGTATCATACCATTGTCTCTTGGTCATTTCTTGTCTTGCAGCTTTGTAAATTTTTGGCCATTTTTTATTGTTGATTTCTGCACAATGCATGAACATTCTCTTTGCTTTCATTGGAGTTCTATTTATACCAAATGTACCTTCAAGTTGGTGTCATTTTTTTCTTGATGTTTTGTAACATTATTGAATGATTTTACAGATTAAGTTTGGCTCTTAGCATGCCAGTGGCGGCAGCAAGCTTAACAGAAACAGTCAAGGTAAATATATTATCACATCCTTTTTTTTTTTGGTTCTTCATGTCACTAGAGGTTTTGCTAGCCTTCTTTCATGTAAATGTCAGTCTCAAAAATTTAAGTTTGCTTTTCACATCTATCAGTGATATTGAACAAAAGAACTGCTGACATCTACAACAGATTTTATGTTAAATGTTGTCTTATTTATTGATCGTCACTTGATCAGCAAGTGGGCTAGGGAAAGGGGAAGAATCTCCAACTCTCTGTACCCTGATCACCTCTCTCCATCTTTTAGTTCAAAATCTTTCAGATTACAGGTTATCATAAGTTCCTACATACCACAATCTCCACTCCCATATCCCATACCTCTGCACTCATAAACTCTCCTTTGCAACCTTCCTGTCCCCTGCCATGGGTCAGCCATGATCAGCCAGTTTTTAATATGTTGGTGATTTTGTTTGTTTCATGGTCACATTTTTGCACTCCTCCCTTGCTTTCCACCTGTTAAAATGTTCAACTCTTAAGCCTTGTCTCTCTGTTCTCTTGCATGGCATCAGTCTTCTACTTTCAAGTGTTACAGTGTACCCCTGTATCCATGTACTGATCAGCTGTAACCAGCCAAGTTTAGGGGGCTGGTGCTTTTGTGTGTCAGTTAGGGATGTTTATTTAGCTCTCTTAGTGTAGCAGTGTACTTTGATATTTGAAAGTGAGGTATGTGATCTGAATATATTTCTTGCTTTTCTTTCAGAGTGACCTCACCCGTTACCAAGACAATATGTTTGACAGTTTAAAAGACTGGATGTACCGCATTGTAGGCTGGGATAGATCATCAGGTCGTCATGGTCGCCTCCTCCCCATGTGGACCCTGGTGCTTCCCACAGTTCTTCACGGCCTGCTTACCTATGTCTTGGGTACATTGATTCAACACTTGGTATTGATAAAACTGAAGGGCAAGGGCATCCACAAGTCACCCGACACAGACCCTACATCATCAGATGAGGAACCGCCGGGCCCTACTGATATGACTCGTACTTATTACCCAGAACTTGTGGCCAATTTTTAGCATTTTTTATCCCTGAGTTTTTGTTGTATCCTTTGAGACGGTTCTTAACCAACTGTATGTCCAAGGCACTCGGACCATCATTGACGATCTTGATACTGGTACTGGTGTGGTGCCACTATGTACAAACTATGATGGTATGTTGGACTGTTTCCGCTCCATCTGGCGGGATGAAGGTCTTGGGGGTTTTTACAAAGGCTTCGGTGCACTGCTGATTCAGCTGTTTATTCACTGGCTCATTCTAAAGCTGACTCAGTTTGTATATAAGGAAATTTCCCAGGATTTTAAAGGCAAATAATTAATTGCTTGTGTGTCTTAAGAAATGAAGATCTTAATTAACAATATCTTAATATTGGGGTCATTCTTTGTACAGTTGATGTCACACGGGATTGTTAAGGGATATGTGTAGGACACGATGATCTTTGCAACGATTCCCTTGCTCTCCTAACTATAATTTATCAGAAGTTTAACTATTTTGGTATTTTTTAACTGAACTTGATCCTCTATGGTTACTTCTGACTGTTATTGCCTCAAGTGGAAAGATAAGTTGGCCAAAAATCGAGAAAAAATTATTCTAGTATGTCTAAATAGAAGTGATACTTTGACACAAAATAAAGTAGCATCTATTTATAATATGAGTGCTTGTCCTCAATTATTAACTCATTACACCCTAAAATCAGTTTGAATATTCTCTGCACTGTTCCCTCTACATCTCCTAAGTGCTGACAGGGAGAATTTGTTTAACAATCAAGAGTTTCTCTAGCTGGTGATCACTACATTATTTTATTCTCGTGACCTTTACGTTTGATCCAGGGGTGATAATATTACTGTCAGGAGAAGTTAGATGCCAGCCACTCTTAGGGGTCAAGGGTTACACTTGAAATGACCATAAAAGATAAGAACAATCAAATATATGCATTTTTACAGGAAAGTATAACAGGAAACCTTCATTTTTGAAAAAAAAATGGAAGTTATCCTTGCACTCTATATTGTTGATTGAACACTTGTCTAAGCAGCCGTTTGCACACTGAGATGAATGGTTTTGGTGTAAAACCTACATTCAATAATTGAATAGAAAGTATCCAGTGAACAAACTATCAGACAAAAAAATTGGTTTTTCGTACCCACCCGAGGTTCTAAATACCACAGCCTAAAAAAGTTTCTAACGTTAACTTTATACCTAGGGAGATGAATAACTTCACAATTATGTTATGATTTAGTTTGACTTTTTTATTTTTCATTTTCAAGAAAGACAAAGTAATAGTAAATCAAATATCAAGATAAATAGGCCTTTTTTACACCGAAAGGCAATGGTGAAATGTATTAGATTAACCAAAAAAGCATTTTCTTAGCCCATGGAAATTCTATCTTGATCCAATGTTATGAACTCGGCATGACTAGGATGGCTCACTAAATGACGTTCTTTCAGGTTGTTAAGACCAACCTGTCTCATACTTAAGCCAGAAATTCACGGTGTTTTGAAAGCGTTCAACTTTTTCTTTTGATAAAGCTCAATACAGAATGGTAAATCACCAGGATACCCAATGCATCCAGTATCAGAGATAAAATTGGGTCCCAGGTCACCGTCAGCGAAGTCTTGTTCCCTGTGCGACACAAGAAAATGATGAAAAAAGTAAAGGTGGGCTTGCATCTCAAAATAGTGTATCATAAATTAGCTTATTGCAAATTCGTCTCCCGTTTTCGTCCAATGTCAGGACTAATACGATAGCTAACGATTTGGAACCATCGGATTTTATCTTATAGCTTCCATTCACTTTTACGAGCAACCTCAGCGAAGGCCAAAGTACTCATAACTTAAATCTCGCTGCAAAGTGACGAGAAATCATCCTGTAACACAGTAACTCTTGCGAACGTTGCAGAATCCTAGCTTGAAATTCAAAACAGGATGTCTAAGCGTCGGTACGTTCAACTGAATTACGGTCGTTTCGCCTACGGGTCGTTTCGCCTACGGTCTGTTCGCCTACGGTTAGAGTCGATTCGCCTACGTCTCATATGTCAGTTCGCCTACGTGTTAAAAACGTGTTACAACAGTTGATTCATCTACTTTTATGTGCGATCGCACTCGGATCCTAGTCGGTCAATTCAATTCCTAGAGCGTGACTCATAAAGTCAAGCCTATCGAAGTTAAATAATTGTAAATAAGGAGCGTTCGTTTACCTGAAAATTTCCGTTTTAATTTGATTCATCTTCGTTCGAGTAAAACAAGTTATGTAAATATCGCATATTCTGAGTTGCGAATTAAACGGTTCTCCAATTACACTCAGTAACCATGAAGCGTACTCATTTCGCGACATTTTAATTCTAATACACTTATTACATGCGGGGACGTTTAGGTTATCCGAGTGACACCTGCCCCTTAAACAACAGATCATTCGCGTTTAATTCCACAGGGCGCAGAGGAGTTCATTGTGACGGTAGGCGAGGCGAAAAGTTTAAAAAATCATTTTAAGCAAAATATCTTTCACACATTCGTAGACGACCGGGTTCCGCCATAATAAAGTTTTTAAAAACATTCGAACTTAGATGTTTTAGCGCGTTGTTTTTCTAGCCATCGAGGATAGAATGGAAGGAATAATACAAGGAACAAAGACTTTTAATAATTCCGATTTAAAGCTTCAACATCTGACTCGTAGGCGAACTGACATATAAGACGTAGGCGAATCGACTCTATTCGTAGGCGAACAGACCGTAGGCGAAACGACCCGTAGGCGAAACGACCGGATACCGTTCAACTACCTAGCCTAAAACCAAGGTTTCGCGTGGCAAGCGACGCGAACGTGCGAGAGGCATGCAAGGGCCATACTTCTTGACAGCTTTCTCGACAGCACGAATCTCGCGGGTTTCGCCGCTCATACCGCAACGGTAAGGAGATTCTGCTGAGAGGCTCCCCACTTCTCACCTGATAGTTACGTGCTGGAATTGGCGGTGGTAACGTTTCCTCCTTAGGTTTCGGAGATTTCGGAGATTTTGGAGACTTGGGCGGAAGGGGTGGGGGCGCATCATCATCATCATTATTATTATTTTTATTCCTATTTACGTCACGGAGAGCAACGTATTTCTGAAAGAGAAAGATATTTTGAGATCCTTCAAGTAAATAACCTACGATCGGGCGTTCTTTCTTGGGGGAGAGTAATGGTGCAGTAATGCAAGAGTCAGCGCAACAAGGGCAATCCCGAAAGTCGACTTTTGTGCTGCTATAAGTTGAGCGTTCCCAAAATAGAACGCCTGATCACAGATGAATGAGTCACTAAATAAAAAACGTAAATGAAACATACTACCCATACGGGTATCAGGTAGACAAAGAATAAGAGAGTAACCCACCTTTTCCTCTAATACGTTGATCAGTTCCACATAATCTGCTTCTTCTTCAGACTCCTGAAAAAAAAATTCATTTATAAATAAAGGATGATTAAAGAAGCTGGAGCAGTAGAAATGAAAGAAAAATAATGTTAAGTTTAAATGAAAAGTAAGTGAAAGAGGTGGAGAGGATTATCGGAGGAGGATGACGTCTTTAACCTCTTGTCTCAGTCTTTGTTCATGTTCAGTGAATAAATTCCATTCTTTGACCCTTTGCATCCTAACATGCATATATACATTCCCCAAACTGTTCTCTTTTCATTTCCAAATGTGCCGACAAGGAGAATTTGCTTAACAATCAAAAGCATCTTAAGTTGGTGATCATTCCCTTTATTCTCATGACCTTAAATGTGTGATTAAGAGGTGATAGTGTGAGAGAAAATAAGACGTGAGTCACCCTCAGGGCTCGAAGTGTTAGGACAAGTGTACCGCTAGCAAGTAATCAGTTCAATCTGACTTACCTGTCCACAAGGTTCAATGAGAACGTCTCCTTCTGAATTTATGGGCTCCTTTCGTTTGATTTGCAAATAAAAAATGACGAAAGGGAAAGTAAGTTGAGTTCAATATTCCCTTCTCCGATGCAGCCACGAAGGGTCGTTCGATAATACCTTTAAATGTCTAGATTACGCTATAAAACATCCTCAGTTAAGTTCCGTGTCTGTGATGAAACCATAATGTGTAATCAGAGAGTTTTCAATTGATTGTCGTCAAAACAAAATCAAAGAAATCTCAACAGCCAATGAGAATTCAAAGTAAAAACAATCAAACTGCCTAACGCGCGGGAAAACGCGGGCAACCAAAGTCGTGATTTGTTTAAGTTTTGCATCTGATTGGTTGAGAGAGTGGTGGTGAATTTTCTGGACCAAGCAGAGAACGAAGTCAAGCAAAACATCAGGTTATCGCTTCTACCTTCCACTGCTGACGTATTTTTTCAAAGGACTTGATAAGGTTGACCAGTTAAGAGACCGATCGCAATATGAGAGAGGGAGAAATCCTCACATCATATGAGCGAATGATCAAAGCGGTAGAAATGTCTTTTAATGCACACTGACCATTTCTTTAACAGATTTTAGCATTGCGATTACCCTTTTGTGTACATTGACCATTTCCTTTAGAGATTTGTAGACTCGTTGCATTCCAACAATCAGAAACTTCCCAGAGCGGGTCTGATCGATCATGTAGTGCTTACAACGGCTCTTTACCCTGAAACAGAATTACGACATGAATCAGTAAAATGCAATACCAAGAGGCAGTAACTACGGCTGAAAACGTATAGTTCGTTCTACCACTTCTTCTTTCATCTCACCTGTATGATAAAGTGTAACCAAACCGGCTTTCACTGACTCGGATCAAGAAACAACCCACTGGTTTGTTTGATAGCAAGCGCTCAGATTCCCTGAAACAAAAGCACCAAAACCTTATCTAAGGGTGTCTTCTTTACAAGCGATAAATTAAAATTTTAGTTCTCGTTGGACACACGTGTACTTGTTATTGTCGAAAAGAAAGCCGACTGTGTGAAAAGAAGGTTGGTTTGGGCAAGATCGTTGGATAAATTCTCCTTTGAGAAAGATGTTTTAAAAGACCTTAAAAGGCGTGGTCAATCGAGAACTCTGAGAAACCCATGACGGTATAAAGTCCAATGATTAATTAAGCTACATTTTATCTTTATGTAGTCGGAGACGTTACGGGGTGGTCAGTTTTTTCAGAGAGAAAGAGTAGATTGGGCGATATAACCAACTCGTGGACTTCGATCTGCGACAATTTTTACTCTCTCTTGCAATTATTCTAAAGGAATTCACGAGAAAAATCACTATTTGATGCTGTAAAGTACTCAGTATTATCACATGAGTTTAAAAATTTCGAAACTTTTGTTTCAACCTAAGTAGGAAGTACTTGCATACAAAAATGAGTTGTAACGACAAATTTATACTCATATCTACTGACTTGTCAGAGATAAAAGCTACACTTTAGTACGTGGCTTTAAATGTTATAAGTAAATCAGATACACGATCGTAGCATTTGTTTGATGGACTTTAATTACCTCCTAGAAATAATTCCGTGAAACCATACACTGAATCCTCCACTCTCATCCTGTACAACTCCCTTGGGAGCCTGTGTCTCTTGAAACCACTGGACGGCACTGCAACACAAGAAATGTCCGGTTGGAAATTTCCCTCAGCAAACCAAGAGGCCTTACATCTAAGCCACAGTAATAACAGGGAAACAGGTAACCTGGCTTCGCTTTTGAAATAATCACCTAAGTACTAGGAAGCTAGATTTTAAAATAATTTCGTTTGATAAATCTATGACCTCAACCCGTTTGCATAGCTATTTAGAATTATTTATGCCAGATGAACCATATTTTTTGGTAGGTGGGAGGTTAAATCGGGGCAAAAATTGCGAAACAAACGCACTGATAGACAGACAGACTGACAGCCAAGCAAAGATCAGTGGGAAAAAACAAACAGACACTTAGACATACAGAGATTAAGAGAGACACAATGCAATCCGGTTGATAAAATGCGTGGTACATACGCTGCTTTGTTGGCCACTCCACCAAATGCACCTTTGATAGGGTGGGGCTGACCAATAAAGACGTCTTCTTCATTTTCCATGTCATCCGTAAGAAACTCATCATCTATCTACAATGATAAAATGAACAAACCGAGCTGTAAACAGCTGCCATCTTGTCGACGCAAAAGAGGTTATATTTGGATATTAAACCCTTACAACTTCCAAAAAGATCGAGGGCACATCAAGGAGAAAAAAAGAACTTTCTGTATTTGAAATGATTCAGATCTGATGCCAATCATACCTTCCGATACGCAGAGGAAAAAAATTTTAGGCTACAGAAAAAGTAAAACGGCCCAGCACCTGTTTTTAATCTGACGTTTTTTAGTTTCATTACATTGTCTCGGTGTGTTAAAGATTTTGAAAATTGGATAATTAAAACTTCGACGGGTTTCTTGTCATGTTTTCGTGGCTGCATACCTCTATCTCATCAAGTGACCCATGGCTTTGCTTTGGAGGCAAGCCAAGAGCATCTGGTGGGGGTGGTGGAAAGTAATCCTCTTCTTCTTCAGGGGTGGAGGTGGGAAATTTAAGGCAATATAATTCATAGTTCTCTTCCTTAGGATTTCTAGAACAAAGCGAGAAGTTAAGGTTGAATTCGAAGTTAGTTTCAATAGCATCACGCATAGCGTATTAATAAGAAAAAGAATGGAGATTTCCAAACTGATGGAGGTTGTAAGTGGTAGTTTTTCTTCCGAGCACAAAAAAAAAAAAATGCTCGAGAAACAATAGAAAATGGTTCCTCTGTTCGCTTGGAAAGTTAAGCAGAGATATTCTTGATACGTAGACAATGATTGTAAATATATTACAACCACTTCAAGATCGTGCTTGAGCATTTAAGACTAACAGAGCGGTATAGACCAAAACAAATCCGTCAAAAGCGCTAGGGGGAAAGAATTTTTAACTTCCGGTGATTGAAAAACTTCTGTGCTCATTATCCCTATTTTCAGAAAACACTCTGACAATAGCTCTTTTATTTTCCACTCTTTTGAATTAAATATCTACCTAGGGGTAATATTTTTATCTTTACAAAATATCTGCAGTCTTCCTCGTTCCTTGTTTACCTTCTTTTTTTCCTTGTTATCTTGTTGCATTAACTCCTCTTGTTTATGGTACAGTTTATTTCCACAAGTAATGGAAAGCTGTAGCAATGTTGCTGTTTTCCTGGAGTTCATCATAGCTTCTTCTCGGAGTCGTTTATATTTTCGTCTGGCCACAAAACCGCGAACAACTTGACACAGGGAGAAAGAGTTCTATGAGTATTTCCCATAATTTATAATCCCACTGGAACTTATAATAGAGTTCTAATCAACGCCCGTGCCAAGTGCGATTTCTCGTCGAAATCGAGTTTTGAACAGAGATGTTTATTTGGGTAGAAGTAAATGAAATAGAGGGCAACTGCATGGCCTTTCTTCACCTCACCATTAAGAAAGCTCCTTCCTATTCAGGAATTTCAAAGGTTTTTTTCTTTTTTCTCGATGAACTTGTTTTCCTTCAAGCTAGGCCAACTCACCAAAGAGATAGGGGATAAAATTGAGATGGGGCGAAACCTACAGAAACACGGCGTCTCTTTTATGTCGTTTTCCTGTAAAAGTACCTTTTTGTATGGTAATAACGGCTTCCTGAGCTTTTAGGAGCTGATCCGCCAATTTGTCTGCGTGCCAGTACTTCAGAAAAACCTTTGTTTGTCTGTGAAATGAAAGAAAATCAAGCAAGTCATTTCTATGCCAACTGACAAGAAAAATTAACGTCGCCACGAACAAGCTTCCTTTCGAGTAGCATGTAATATATCATAAGATGAAAGTGGCTTCAACTATCGCACACTTATTTAACAAATTGCTGTTTAAAAAATGACAGAACCCCAAGGATTGTAAAGTACTTTTTCGATCTTCAGATTTCAATCACATTATCTTGTTACAGGGATTGTTTTGTTCACTCACCCAATCTGCCAGCCATGTAGATTTGACTTCTTCAGAATTTGTCGACAGTTGGACTCAGTTTTTGGCAGATTTGTCGTATATAAAACAAGCTTATACCTGAAAAACATAAATGAGGCATACTTCATCACGTTGATACTTCGTGTCGGCGCAGTAAACTCCAAAGAGCTTTGAGCACCGAAAAGAAATTTACAGGATGCGATGTCATACTTTCGACATAACTCCAATTGAAAGAACAGAATCATGATAAGAGGCTAGGAGCAAAGGCTAGTGGTAAACACCAAAGTACAGTTTGTAGAAAAATGAGAATGAATAAATTATATCCTGTATGAAGATAATTATTCCACAAGCGAGCGTTGAATATGAGATGGTATCCGACAAGAGCGAATGAAATAATTATTTATATCACATTTCATCAAATCCTGAACGTTCGGATATTTCGAGCATTATTCAGCTCCGCCACAGTTGGCATAATGCATTTGCATATTAGGTAATAATCGGAGTTGAGGAAACCAATCAGAACACTTGAAATACAATATTCGGAGTTGAAAATTTAATAACATTAAAAGTATATATACCACACACATGAACAGAACTTTTTTGCGCACGCTGATTGGTTAGTTTAGAGGTAATAATAAGCACTATTCGCCTCCAAGCAGATGAAGAGACAAAATCGCGCGTCAAGAATTTCATTTCTTTCCATTTTTCGGTATATGTGCGGTATGTACTAAAACAGTTATTCACCTCAGTGTCGGTGAAAGCGGTGCATATTTATCTCATCGCCTCACGACGCAGTAAATATCTAGCACGATTCACCTCCACTTTGGCGAATAATCTTTAAATAAACTGGTCTAAGTATCAAAAATTGAAATATAAATATCCAAAAATTGAAATATAAATATCCAAAAATTGAAATATAAATATCCAAAAATTGCTAAAAGTAACTACCCCCATACTCGTCATTGAGCTAACCTGTCGATGAAGTCGGCAAAAGAGATCCTCAGAGCAAATCCTTCCCTTCTGATACGCGTTGTTTCTAGTACCCCTGTGTAAGCCAGCTAATAAACAACAAAAACGATTTTGAAGTAAATAAAAATAAACATCTATACACAAAGACCTCTTAAATTTGAAAAAGGGTCATCCTCACGTAAAACAACACCCAGTCACCTTTACCTGTTCTCTGACGTATTTGAGGTCAAAACTGTCCGAAATCTGAAACAAAAAAGGGAAAAAGATGAAAATTTGATAAAACTTGAAGCAAGATTCTAGAAAACAACTGCATGCATGGGTTTTGTTTTTTAAGTGATTAACAAGTGCTGATATTAATGCTGGTACCTTGTCATGGTTTGGCTTAATGCACCTGATAAAATGTGGACTAGCAGCTGTCATTCTTTCCATGAGGATTCCTAAAGAAGTCTTTCATGAGGAAGAAACAGGATCAAAAACTTAATTTAAAATGACAATTTTCAGTTATTGCTTCAAGTAATATAATACTCGGTGCCAAGCGAGATCATGGTTCATATTCAGTTGAAATCTTGCAATAAAAGAAAGACTGTCGTTAACATCTCAGTGGCAGATACAAGGAGAGGGTTCAGTGGTTCGGACCACCAGTCTTATCAGACCTTTTTTTCAATTGACAGTTTCTAAACTAAAAAAAGAAAAGAAAAAGAAAGCTTTGAAGTTTACCTTGAATTGTGCGCCAACTGTTGGCTTTTTGGTGGCTGGCATTCCTTGACGAGCTTTACTTAGTCGCTTCAAAAAGAACAAAAAAAGCATTGAACATCCTAACGATTTAGTACAGAACTGTTGAAGCATCACAGAAATTTTTTTGTGCACTTCCTCTGCATCTGCCGCCCACCATGATCTTACGGAGCATTTCTTCGCCCGAGGGAAAGTGGGCAGGTGGGAGGCATTAAGTAATGCGAGTCGACGAGAGGTCTACAATGGGTTTAGCACTGTACCTGACCCCTGGCAATCCTTCCCCTCAACTTGTCTCAAATCTTCCCGGAGGCGGAGAGGCACACATCTTGCATTAGCAAAGAGTATTTTGCGTTAACATGGCAGTTTGCTCCGCAGTCAAGTACTCCAACAATTTTCTCTTTCCCAGCCATAACCATTCATTGTAAACCAATTTTCTACTGAGTGTCGCAACTTGTCTTTTGTCTTACCTTAGTTCTTCCGACCACATTTCCTTTGCTCACTCGTCCTTGTAAAGCCAATGTACCAGTTCGAGTGACCGTACCTGAAGTAGGACAATAAAAGTACATTATGCGAAAGCAAGCTGCGACAGCTGAACAGCTTAGTAAGCTCGATTGTTTAAGTTTCATTAAAGCGGTGACCAAAACAACGAACCGCAAACTTCAATATGTGAGTACAAATCAGAAAATTTTACGTTAAAAATGACTTTAGAATAATAAACTGCGGTATATTATCTGCGTCCAAAGAGGAAACTGGATGTGCAATATCGAATAAGTTTACAGTTAACCTGCATAGCAAATTAACATTCATTTCGTGGAAAAATAAGAAACTACCAGAATAAAACCAACCACGAGAGAACTTCGCTCAACATACTGGAATATACAATTTTTCAATACAGGTGTACCGTACAAAGTCTCGTCAGATGCATTTCATGAGGAAAGGTAAAAACCTTTGACAAAGCCTAAACGAACAAATTGCGTAAAAGCATTTCCGGCAAAACTGATTACCAGTTGATAACTTGTTAAAATATTGTAGGAAACACTGTGGCCAGTCGTACCAGAAAAGATAGTGGTGATCAAACTGTTATCACTCCTACGCAGCATATTCATAACACCTGGCGGGAGAGTGTCACGATTTTTCTCCAGGAAACCTGTAGCGTCATATTCAACCTGCGAAAATCAACACACAGTCAACTATTCTTTCTACTTCTTATCCTGCGAGCAGGCCTTCATTATTTGGACGAGTTGGGGAGAGGTTTGTCAGGGCACTGGCACTAATAATCAGTGCCAGACCCCTCGCAGACCTATCGCCGACTTGCGTTGTTCAGGATCTCATACTTTCTCGCGCTTTCTCGCAGGCGAAGAAACGATCGTGGCAAAGTGCTAATAATGAGAGCCAGCACGTAGATTATCCACTTCTAGTCACAGAGTTCCCCTGGCTTTTGCGTGTCATTTTTTAACTTTCTTTGTTTTGCAAGAGAGAGAAACAGAGGAAAAAAAAAAGATTTAGCGGGGCGTTATTCATACTTAGCACCAATGAGCAAAAAGTACCAAGTATGGGTTTCTTACACTTAAATGGGTTTCCTATAAAAAGAGAAAACAGAAAAACGGTATCTTTTCGTGTCAGCTCTTACCTTTCCAGCATAGTGGCAGATCCCAAACAGGTTCGTGTTTGACTGCCTTGACTTGATAAAAACGTTACTTTTCCCACAGTTTTGCCTCAATTTCTCCACAAATGAATGGTCTGTGCTCTACGAGAAACAGCGTCGGAAAAGCAAATAGTGAACAGAGCAACTATGCAACTGATCTAGCTATTTTAAACCATTTCTGTTCCTGTCTTCAGTAGGTAATAGGTAGTTTTCGTGCTAGTGTATAGTGTGTAAGATTGGTCTGAAATCATACGTCGAGTGATTTCGAAATCGAACGAATGCGTAGCACGAGTTTGATTTGAAATCACAAGTGCGATTTCAGACAAAAATTTCACGAAACAAATTTAATCATTTACCACTTTACTTCATCTGTTTTGAAATCGCACGATTCAGTCGCTCAAATACACGATTTCCAGTCTCAAACATTTTATTGATCTAGTACTGAGCTGGTTTGTAAAAAAGTTGCCAATATTCTCTTTCATTTTCCTTCTGAGAATTTTTTGTGTTTTAGTAAAGCTGTCATTACTTGAGGAAAAGGTGCGATTAAGAGCAACAAATGGCGCAATTTGTGAATAAATCGCATCAATCAGAGCTAGGCAATTACAATGCAAGGATCACCAGTGATTTCAAAGTGAACGTAATAAAGAAAGTATCACTAAGTATTGTGTGGCAAGAACACAAGAAGAGTGGCAAAATACATATGAACTACACTCCACTTTAGATTTGGTCAGTGAAATTTTAATTAATGCATATAATACAATTTTGTATTAAGTTATAACTATATCAGTACTCTGAAGATTTGTACGTCAATCAGATTTGATACGTTAATTATTTAAGACTGGGATACAATTTTGCTTTCTTCTATACTAAATAAGCTTTCTTTCCGGTTACAAACTCGGAAGAACCATTCACAAACCTGCGGAAAATGGCTCTCCTCATCTAGCAGCGCCAACACACCGATTGGTTTATTGAGAAACAAATCCTGTGGATCGAGAGAACACAATTTTTCTAGACATTGAACAAAATCCTCTCCTCATTTTTTTAAAAAAATATTATTTGAGAAGTTGCATGATGATGAACTTAGCATTTGTCGTAGTTAGTCCGGTTTAGAATCATCCTGTTAGTGAAACTAAACATGAAGCTTATAAATAATGTGCGTCTTCCCATACAGCTTCCTATTATCAAAATACAATTTTCCCAACCACTGTCCTGCCAAAAAAAGAAGATTTTCAGTCCCACTAGAGATATTTGCATCATTCCAAACAAGACCAGAGCTAAACGGGGTTTAGAATATGCCGGCTCTTAAATTCTGGTTGAAGACCAACAATGATAGACATAATTATGAACTGCTAATTTGGAAGCGAATTTAAAACATTAGACTCGCCAAGACAGGTTTGTTGTCCGCGAATGTGACGCTTGTCCAATCAATGCCTTCCTTCTTGTACTCTTCCTGCTCCCACAAGAAAATGTGCTGTCAAACAAAGAACAAAACCAAGTTTTCAGAGCGCAATATATGGTTTGCAGCGCAACTACCGTAGCTTACACTGTTTCTTATCATGAAGCGATCCGCTTTTGTAAAAAGTTATAATCTCTCGGCCGCACGCATGAGGATTTTAGCCTCACTATCTGTCAGCAGAATGGAGAAAAAAGTTTTCCGGCTAAGATCTGGTTTTTGTCGCGTATCATTCCCAGGAGAAAGAAAATTATTGCTGCTACAATGTTTCTCCACAGTAATTTCACTGTTTACCTGGTTGAAGAAGAACTGGAGTTGCTCATTGGCTAAGTTGATGCAGGCCTGCTCAAAGCTGTTTTTCTCAAAATGTTCAAAGCCAAATATATCAAGAATACCTACAGGATGCAAAAAAAAAAAACAAAAGGATATGGGTAACTCTTTAGAAACCGTTAAAACTTTGAAAAACCGCAATTATACTTGCTGTCGAACATATCCTCTGCCAAAGCATGTTCAGGAGGCAATTTTCGAGTCAAAGTCTCTAAAATAATCCGGGGTTAAATTGATTTAGCTCTATGTTTGGTTTAGAAAACTCCAACCATTCTTTTATGAACCGATCAGGTACAAGACTTGAAACTAACTTCAAAATCGTCACTGGAATTGTTCTTAACTTGATCAGTGACACCGTTTACTGCTTGTATCTGTTTTGAGTTTGCTTTGGTTTCTTCAGATTTTCTCCATTTTATCCGATTGGCCGTTGTGATTTCTCTGGCTTTGAATTCATGACACCGTCAGATAGCGATCTATATCAATCAGCAACTTAACACTGATGGGCCAGAAGTCCGTAGGCAGCAACATGCGTAAAATGTATTTCAAATTAACAAGCTCGTGCATTTCAAATCAACCAGTCTCACTCTTACCTATTTCTGTCACCTCCTCTCCTCTTGATGCCAATGGCGGAGCCAAAAGCTGGTTGACTTTGTTAACAATCCAGCCAAAGAGACGACCATACATTGCTTTCGATGTCGCATCTCGAACATCTATGGAAGTTGAAGTAACATTAAGTGTTTTGTCGCTGCCTGCCTTTATTCAATACTGAGCAGACTGAGCACCCGCTTAATTTGATACCTAACTATCAATGGAGTCAAAGCTTGTAAGGAATATCAAGAGATGGAACCGGCGGCTGGCTCTAAATGTGATCAAACATCGGACGATGAAACTTAGAGTATGAATGCCATGATGAATCAGTTTTTTTCGAACAACTGGCGACTATTCGTGTCTTCTGACACGGTCATGCTGCAAACTGGGAAAACATTTACACCATGAGTGACTGAATAAAAGTGAGTAAAAAATACTTATACTCTCGAGTGTTTTCATCTCCGATTTTCGCCAAATTCTCAAACGTTTCAAAGCGCACCATACAAAGATCTTTCTCCCTTACCCATCGCTTGGTGGTCTTTCAGTCTTCTTTTAATCACACTGCCAAGAGTGGCGGTTGATGTGGAGGTCAACACTTCTGTTAATTTCTCCGTGTCAACACCCAGAAGTTTCTGTCGCGGGATCAATAAAGCAAAAGCAGGGAACTAAGTTTCCATCGGTAACGGAACAATAGAGAATATTACAATTCTTTTAGAAACTCTGTGGTCTAATTTTGGTTCGGTGAAGCCCAGTGTTGGGGCAGACTGGATGAAATTGCTCTATGTAAGTAGGATTTGTGCTCGGATGGAGTCTCCACACATCTGCCAATTTTCGGTGCCTTTTTTCACATGATATATTGGTCAAGAGTGTCAAGAAAATATTGTTAAATGACCCTGTTTATTTTGGCAGTTTCAAACAAGATAAAACTCAGCTAACCGCAGCCATCTTCAAAGGCCCATGTGCGTCTTTAACAATGGCTCCTTCATTTTCGTCCATCTCAAAAGCGATGTTACCCATGTTCAGAACACCACCAAGAACTGTGAACAGATCCTCTTGTTCCTAAACGTAAAATATTACGAGTATCTAAGTCTATCAGCATAAATAAGATGCAACTTCAAAAAAAAAAAAATCCAAATGATCTCCAAGACCTCCAGGACTAAAGGCATTGATAGTCTAAATGTTGACATTTTTCGCTCTTCTCGTGACCTTTTTGCCTTTAAAAGTATCGATATTGTGAGGAGAATTAACTCTGTTGTCACTCTAGTAGTGGAAGAGTTGATAGAGTAATTGCGGCTAAAAAGAGTATTCCACACAGACCTTACTTCTGAGGAAAAAAAAACACACAAAATTGCTGGTTACCTCGTCAAGAAACCCAACCATGTCCATGGCATTCAGAAGCTCATTAAACATCATTTTGTTCTTCTTGACTTTCTTCAAACTTGCTGTTCCATCGCATAGATAACTATTTTACGATTCAAAAGTAAAGTAAAACCGAGAAACTTTAATCATAAGTAATATATTAGCTGAACCCCCAGCTTGTTTCTACATGTCATTGATGATCTATTTCAGGTGTCATTCAATCGCAAACTAGGCTAATGGCACTTTTTTGTCGCTATTAAGTTCAGGTTTTTGAGCTTCTTATTAAAACGAATTTGGGTCCAATGGTAATATACCTCGGCTTCTGAAGCCTTTTCATTCAAATGTTATTTTCAAGCATTCGTTTCCTGTTTCCACAAATTTCTATAGTCCATCGTCTATCACCTCCCCCCCCCGCTACTGCACTTCAAACCCTCAACCAGCCTCCCAGCACTTCGAAGAGGCAAAGTGAGAGTTGCGTGCTCTTCCCAAGCAAACGTAGGAAACATAGCTACATCTCGGTTCCAGACCCTTTGAGCTGGAGTCAGCAAGATCACCCGATGACTGCACGGATGTCACCGTGTCTCCTAAGTCTCAGTAAAACTTTTTTCCACGGAAAACGAGGACAACAGCAAAGTAAATATCATCGCTGCATTTATCGAAAATTACCTACCGGTATTTATCTGGCCTGGTCAGTCCATATTTGCCATGTTCATCTGCTGAAAGCCCGGCGAATAAATAGTAGAAGATATGAAAATTTTCCTCTCCTCTGCTTTGTCGAACAACACGGGACTTCTCCAGAAGGTATTCAGAAATTTTAGCACCAATGACTGAAAAACGTAGTTTGTTTTAAATAGCATTCAATAATCGTAACTGTATTCCTCCAATATAATTTTATCTCGCAGTGGGGTGTCCTCTCACCATCCCTCCTCTCTCCCTCCATTTTGTTTTTTTCTGACTGAGTAATTTACTGAATGACTGAATAACTAACTGACTCACTACCAACAAGTTAACTGAATGACCACTTTAATGACTGGCTAATTTACAAGTTGCCAGACTGACTGACTAACTAGTTGATGGACTGACTAGCAGACCAACCTGTGCCCAGTTGTTCAAATGGTGGATGATGCTATCCAACAAATAAATCACTATCCAAGGGATATGTGTAAACCACAAAACATACTGCACTATCCACCTGATAGAGATTTATCCAGTGGATAATGTTATCGGCTGAACAACTCGATCCTACTTAGTACTGACTGGTGGACTAATTGGCTGGCTAGCTGTCTTGCTGGCCAACTGGCTACCTTTTGACCAACTAAAGCACAGACTGCCAAACAGACGAATGGATTGACACATCTATGGGCCGACAGATAAACCAACAGACAGAAAGATGGATTGATGGATGTAGAGGAATGGAAAAATTGAATAATTGACTGACTACCCAATTGACTGCCTGGTTGACTGGCTGACTTCCTCATATTGAGTGACTGAGTGGTAAGCTGGCTAGCTGACTAAATGACTGACTTACCAGCAGCCCATCCCTAGCTGGTTCCCAGTGCGCTGACTTTTTGACTCATGACTAACTAAAGGCTAACTGGCAGATGGATGCATGAACAAACCAACTGATTTACTAACAGATGAAGTGTCAGACTTTTGAATATCAAACTGACAATCTGACTACCCTAAACTGTTTAACCATTTAATAGTTTGTTGTGCTGATTTTCTTACCCATGCCTTGCTGAAATTTTAGCTGAATATACTTTCCAAATCTGCTTGAGTTGTCATTCATTAGAGCTTGAGCATTCCCAAAGGCCTCTAGCAGTGGATTCACCTATGGTTTCATGAAGAAAGTAAATAAATAGAAGAAGAAATTAATAGAAATACTAGCAATCAACCCCTGAGCACAACAATGGTCTCTGGGCTGAATATAAGAATCCTCTCCTCGGAAGAATTTAGGTGTGAGGAATTTTTCACTCTAGCAAAAATGATTCAAGAAACTAGTGCAAAAAGTACCTGAAGGATCTGTTGTTCCAACTGAGAAGTTCCTCTTGACAATTCAACAAGCTGACTTATTAGCAGTTTTGCTGATTCTGTTTTCCCTGCCCCACTTTCTCCACTACAAAAAGTTAAATATTAGCAGACTGTTGTTTAATGGTAAATTGATCTGGTGAAAGATTTTTGAGATGGCCCAAGTTTCTTGTTCAAGTCACTGAAAATTTTTTGCACTTGCTGTATTATAGCAATAAATAATGCTAATGAAAGTAAATTAATTCTAATTTGTCTTGCAGAGTGAAATCAGAAAATATATAAACTAGATTTTCTGTTTCATGGCTTTTGCTCCTTTAGAATCTTTAAGAAAATTTTAAATGAAATGCTATTTAAAAAAAAATCACCAGCTTTCATCTGGAATTTTGATGCAAACCATTTCATGATCATGCAGTGAGAACCCATCTGGCCCTTCAGAGTACGATTTTTCTTTTCAGCAAGAAAATTTCATCCAAGTCAACAGACTGAACCTTCAAGGACCATTTCAATCAACTGATGTTTCATTCTCCATCAAATAATTAAAAAAAGACCATCAACTACTGCAACTTTAATTTTTTAGGAAATTTGTAGGCACCTTATCACACAGCACTGGCTGTTAGGACTTGCTCCTCCCACTCCTAGCATCGCTTGATATGCAGAGTTGGCAACTGCAAAGATATGAGGAGGCTGGGATGATTTCTGTGCCATCTTGTATGTTTCTGCAGTCTGACAACAAGGTATGCAAGTTAATAATGTTAGTACTGATCGTGTACCTGATCAGACCTAGAATCTTTATCAACAGGACCTTTGAGCACCTCAGGCACTTGAATGTTAAAAATTCAGGCATGAAATAACTCACTTCAGATAATTACCTAATTTTAACCTGAGCTGAGAACCTTAATCTTTGATCTATGAAGTAGGAATATAGTATGTGTCATTTGCAGGTACAATTCTAGCCGTACACCTTCTTGCAAAAGTTGTATATAATTAATCCAGATTTTCAAGATAACAGAAAACTTGCGTTTTACTTGACTGCCAGGATGATAGATGTCAATACCCAAGAGAACAAGGCAGACCCCTGGAGCACAGTCCCAGCGAAAAGCAAGGGCAGAGGGAAGGGTAGAGAGATGGGAAAAAATTTCCGCACAGCCCCATACTTCATTATGCATACATATATGGGGCTTTATTATTCAATTATTCATCACCAAGAAGATGTGCATGCATAATGAAGTATGGGGCTGTGCGGAATTTTTTCCGAGGGATGTTTTGATCAGCTTCATTTCATTGTTAACATTGTAAACAGTCTGAACTTTCTGAAATTTTCTTCTGCTAAGAAAATAGAGTCCTCAACTAACATTTGGGAGCCTGCTGTACCGCTTGGTTAGTTCACGTCGTAGAGCGCCGGACTGCCGCGCGGGAGGTTGAGGGTTCAAGCCTTAGACCGAACCAACACTCAGGGTCATAAATAACTGAGGAGAATTTGCTGCCTTTACTTTGACTTCGGTAAATGGTTAGACATTCTAGTCTTTTCTGAGATGGACGATAAGCCATAGGCCCCGTCTCCTGCCTCGTCTCTGTACTAGTTAGCACGGGACATTAAAGAACCCACACACTTTCTCGCAAAGAGTGGGAAACGTAGCTACCGATGTTGTGGTGTGGCCTGACTCCATGTGTTTACACAGGCCCCCATTTAAACCAGCTCTGAGCTGAACTGAGCCAGACTGTTTACATGTCACAAACACATGCTTACATTCACACCCACGCATACGAAAGTGTTATCTCTGAGTTGAAAGAAATTTGAATAAAATTCACTTGCTTACTGCATGACTGCCCTCTTATCGTCTAATCTTTCATGAAACCCGCAATTAATCGAGCTGGGTTAAATTCTCAGGGCTTACATTGAGTTTGAAAACACGGATGTTGAATAAGGGAACCAAACAATTATACCTCTGAACAAGTGTATTTCCTTACTTCCTTAATAACGGCAAATTCGAAAGTCGGTCATAATTTGCTACGAATATTCATTCTTACACTTTTGTGGTAAATTTCCAGAGGCTTGAATGGGTTGAGTGCGATAAGAATATCGCCGACGTAGGTCTGTGGATTTTCAAAAAAATAAAAGAATTAAACATTGATGAACAAGGAAAATCACGTCAACATAAAGTTAAGTGCATTAACACTCAAAATAATTCGGCTGTTTCTAGATTGAACACGAGCATTCGCGAGGAAAAATACGCACGTAGATGACATCTTGACTGTATCTGGCTCTCAGTTCGTGAAGAATTATCTCCTCATTCAGTTCAGATAAAGTAGCTAAATCGTCAGTGCCACCTCTTTTCCGATCATCCATTTGAGCAAAGTTCTAGAATACCAAACGTTGCTTCCTCACCATGGTTTCACCAAACGCATGACAAGTGTTGATCATTGCGTTACAAAGCAAGTCACGCAGTCTAAGATATCAAGCTTCCGCGTGTACTTCAAGCTCGTGGCACTTGCCTTGCAATACTATCATTTATATTTTAAAGCTTGAGCAAGAGGAATATAGAATCGGATTTTTTTTTTTTTTTTTTACTTTGAAATCAGCGGAAGGACAGTGGTTAACCCTTTAAACCCTAAGAGTGACCAACATCTAATGTCTCCATACAGTAATACTGCTGATTAATTTATTACGATCATGACAAAAAAGGAGATGATCGCTAACCTAGGTAGCTTGGATTTTTAAAGGAATTCTCCTTGTCTGTACCAAAGGAAATGTATAGGAAAGAGTATGGAGAATATGGATACTGATGTTAGAGTGTAATGGGTTAACGAATTCTCTTCGCTTTCAGTGAGGATTGCATTGGGGGCATGTTGGACGGAAACGTCTTCCAAGTAAACTATTCTCTCAATATCCTGAAATGAAAATTCAGTGAACTGTGAGACCCATGAATATGTTAGGACAAAGGGAAAAAATTCTTCTCTTCAAAAATCTGGAACTGTTGTTTGGCAATGTGACTGGTATAAAATTGTGGTAGTATAACCCCTCTTATTATGGTGGCATGGCAAGCACTCGGAACTCTGAGTGACTGAAATCCCACCGTAAACTTTTAAAGCACAATGAAGGAGTAAGAGCCCACTTCGCTCTAACACTAGTACTTTTACTCGGTATTCAATATAATACTCTTTAATACGTAGACGAGAAAGACGTAAATTCCAAATGCTGAGGGAATATGCGAGACATGAAAAACTCGTAGGAAAAAGGTTTACATCGACGCAAAAGTAAGACAGTGCTACCAAGGGACATAAAACAGGAATATATAAAACTCAATGTGAATTGCATAAAGTGCGGAAATATGGTGTAGAAATGATACGTGGAAAAACGAAAAGAATAAGTGCAAATTAAGGGTGCGAAAATACAGTATAAATAAAAAAAAGTAGTTCCGCCACAAAACACAGGATCTGTCCCAGAAACTGGTAGTCCGTGCTAATTGCTATATTACAATTCAATAGCAAGCGAGACTGAGAAACATCAACAATGCCATATGAATGGTCAGCAAGAGTCATAGAACACATACGAGACCGACTACCTAAAACTTAAAGAAAAACGAAGAAATTAGAAAAGGGAATTATGTATGTAAAAAGTAAAAGTTATAATTGACATATGAATATTTACAGAAGCAAGAGATTATCGAGTAGCCTAGAAATCAGCTACTCCCTTCTTAGAATTAAATACTTAGAAAGATCGCTCTGACGAAGGGCTAACGCTCGAAACGTCACCTTTTTTACCCTCTACGGTGGCTAATTTACGTTTTCAACCCAGTTGTTAACACTAAATTACCTGCTATACTCTCCCACCGACGCAGCATCACAGTTTCTTTAGAAACTTACCCCTCTATAAATACTTAGAGCACGACTTGACAGTTGTGACGCATTCCACGTATCAACAATCCTCTTAAAAAGGCTGAACTGATTTGAAAATGTCTTTCCAAGCATTGTTCTTCTTACGTAGACAATCATCCCTACCCATCAGAGCATCTTTCAACGATTATAAGCTCGCGATCGTTTATCCGACCAGCCATGTTCGATTTGGAGTGAGAGTGGACGGTGGGGATAGGGGACGGGGAAAGGCCGAGAAGGTACAGTTGGATGTGCTGTTGGTAAACCTTTATCAAAAAAATTCAGGGTCGGAAAGATATCGAAGAGTGTGAACAAGTAGGTATCCAACACTTGCCTATATAAGCAGACTATTTCTTTTTGTCTTTTTCTTTGTTTTGATGTTTTTCAAGCCCTGAAAATTACAAAATGTTCATCCAAAGTTCACAAATAGTTTTTATTCCTTATATATTGTATACATGATTGTAGCTAGCTAACAAAAGCGGCTATGTTGGGAATCACTGCAAGAGCATTCCCAAGCTTTGAAAACACAAAATTCCTATTTACATGGATTGTCATGATCTTCTAGAGAGTAACAGATCGCATAAAGATTCTCAAAATCTTTAACAATGCAAACCATGTCAGATGGAAAGAAACTGGACTTGCTTCATCGAAGGAAAAAGCTGAAAATGCATTACTGCAAGAGGTTGCAAAAATGTGGTACTTTTGTATCAATCAGCAATGTGCGAGTGACAAGTGTGTCTAATATTTTTGACTTATTTACTCATCTTCTTAACTCAACTTCTTAGAAATTAAGACATTATTCTTGACATGATTTACATTTATTGTAAAGAGCAATTAAATTTGAATTACTTCCCAACTTGAATCTCAAATATCCAAAAAAAAAAAAAAAAAAACCCAAAACCTCAAATTTCATACCAAATTATTCACTGGGAACTAAAAGAGAAATCAATACTCAGAGTTATTTTGAATGTCATGAAAATAACATCACAATTTTCCAGACAGAGCCTCCACTTTCAAGAGATAAGTACTCCTTATAAATATTAAACTACACATTAACTACTATTAAGTCTATACCAAGTTATTTGTAATGATCATTCCAAAATTTCATCCTGCCTATAACCCATTTTCGCAACAATAAAACCTTACTTACAGTAAATGTGCAGGTTAAATTCCTTGAAATGATCAAAGTAAGTTTGCAATGCCAAAACAAAGTTCCAAAAAAACTAAATTTACATGTAGTTTTACAGATTGAAACATTCTGCATTTATAAATACATGTGACATTGAGCATTGAACTTAATGCTTCAAGAGTGAATCAGTAACAAATTGAATGAAAATAATATGGATGGATAAATTTCTGGTTCTAACAATTACCACCGGAAAAACAAACTTGAAACACACTGTAATCTTTACAGCGAAGATTTAAATGAATATGGAGACCATTTACAAAAATACTTCTTGTCAATTAAAGGAATAGCATCACTGAACTTTAAAATAAATTTTTATGATTTATAGTGAACAATAAACATATGTTTTTATAGATACAATACACTAGTTACTAACATTAACCTTTGAAGCCCATATAATAAATGTATTATGAGTTTTCCTCACATATCATGAGAAATAATATTACAAAAAATGCATTTCACCATTCAACAATTCTTGAAGACATGCATGCACATGTATATCACAGAATTACTACATTAAATTGTATCAGGGCTTAAAGGTCTTTGCTAACACTCAGTTTACAAAGAATGTCCCTGATCACACACATTCAATGATGCAAATTAAAAAGCTAAACAACTTGGTAATACTAACAGTATTCTAATAACAACTACACTGCACAGTGCTTGAAAAATGTTGTCTTTCAATACATCAGTTTGTCACCAGCTCATGTTGTATAAATTGTTTCAACCTCTCCAGATATTGACCATACAATTCCACATCATTGTGACCGGCACCTTCTACCCAAAGTGGCTCCACTGTCCGCGGACATCGCTCATAGATAGCTAAGCCATGTGAGAAATCTATAACTTCATCCTCTGTTCCATGAATGACCAACACTGGTGAAACAATTTTGGAGACCTTTTCAATACTGCAAAAGGAAAATAAAACCTTATTAATGACAAGTTCACTTGAGTCCACATTCAAACACTACAAAAGCACCATTTCAAATATTTGTTAATGCTGGGAACGCCACAAAAAAGTAAGACACTCCACAGAGCCACTCTTTCCAAGAGGAAAACAATAAACAAAAACAACAAGGGCTGGTATGCAAACTTTGTAATTAACAAAATGTGGCCAAAATCTTTATCTTAAAGCAAAACAAAGAAGCTACTAAGCACATTTTCCCCCAAGCTATGCTTCAATAACAAAAAGATTGTATACATTTTTATCCCAACTAACTATTGTAACGAAACACAATTGTTCTTTTAGATATTTGTGCTATAAGAAAAAAACATGTGTCTCACATTCACATGATTGCATATGATGTAATAATATTGTACATTGTTTGCTCTGAATACTGATATTGCCATGCAACAAAATAGCAATAAAATTAATCAGCAATAACAATATTAAAGAAATATTGGATGTGTGACTGAAAAAGAAATGACCACTGTATATACATGTTTGTTTGCATGTAACCAGTACATCAAATGGCAAAGATATGGTGTAGCCCTTTAAGGTAAAAAACAAAGCAAATCAAATGGCATACAGTTTTATTCCAAGAAAATAGTATTCAAATAAAAAAGCTACATTATTATGTCTAGTGACAAAGATAATATATGTTAAGTTTTGGTGTCAAGGAAAGCTCACTCTCAAAGTAAAACATTAACAAAACCTCTTTTTAAACCAATAACAGATAAGATATCTGGAAAATATAAATTTGGGCTCACAAAGAGTAGATTTAATATTTGAAATTCAATTGATGTTACTATCTACCAAAAGATGAAACAAGACTTACTACAGCTTTATGAAAACAAACGTATTGAGATTACAATGATTGTTAAAATTTGCCAGCAATAACAAGACAGCTAATTTCTTGTCAAATTGTTTGCTAACTTTTAAATTGCTTTTTTTAACAGTCAACAATTAAAAATTTTGAAGAGGTACTGTTTAATTCCATAGCACATTGAGCATGGATAATGTTTACACTAACATGCTGCTTAATCAGTTTCTCTGTGAGTTAAAATTAATACCTTGAAACTATTTTCAAACAATTAATAATTCTCCTTGATCTGCTGGCCAAAAGATAAAACAAATTGTAAAACTGAATTTTTAGATGAGGTACCTCAAATTGTAACACATAGATAAGTTAAACATCATAGTAGGCCTAGGTTTTTTTTTCTTTTCTCATCCAACCATCCATTAAAAATTCAACCTCCATTTCACAGGGTTCATACTTAGATGAGTGGCTGTAAAAAATTATGTGTTGGGTACTTCACTTACTAATACTTTATTCAGACTAAATATAATCTAACAGGCTGTGGCCTTCTCAAACAATAATTTGAGAAATATAATTTTGTATGAACAGTATGCAAAGCAATTTCCAATTCTTGATTGAAAGCCTGAATTTTCTTAAAGCTGTATTAAAATGTATTACCTTGGCAATAGGAGTTAGTGTTTCAAAAAGTGTTTATTTTTAAATCAAATTATTCAACATGTATTAATGCTCACTGCGCCCTTGACCTTCTCTTTAATAAAATCAAAAATTTCACTGATACAACAGCTATATCAGTTATTACTAATGTAACAGAACCTGTTTCAAGTTTTGAAAAAATTGCGAAATTGAAACGAAGCAACCAATATATTATCGTAATCTTTCTAAGGTGTTGCTTTTCCTTCCCCTTGAAGTTCAATTTCACTTCAATCACCACAATTTTCAGTTGCCCTTCAGAGAAACAGGTCTTTACAACTATCCAAGTGTTGATTTATTTCTATTTTCTTTTGTAAATGACAATGTAACTAATGTGTTTTTTTAAAAAAGTAAACGACGGGTGTTGGCTACAATTTCAACAAAATAAATAATTTCAACTACACAGATTATTTTCTTTGGCACAGAGGACGAACTACAAGCATAAATTCCTTGATTTTTCGGCACTGCCCAACTAAATACTAATCCACAGTGGATTGGAAGCACTTCGATTGAGACTTTTCAATAACATTGCATGAATTGAAATGTCTCACCTGAATAAGGACACGAAATAAGAAAAAAGTAGAGCTTCATTTGAAAGAGCCTTAGAAGAACAGAAAGCGTCAAATGTCATTCAATTCGATAAAAAATTTGTCTTTCGAGTAAATGTTGGGCGAAAATAAACGATTTACTGATCACAACGCTCAACTAGTCGCGATTTGAGATAGACTAATTCTATAATCAGAGTTTTGTAAACTTCTTACCTAGGAAATGCGTCAAAACACCACGTCCTCTTCGTCTCGGGAAAAGCTACTCTCATTCCAGAAGTAAGCGGTGAATGAAGAATGATTCCTGCACATTCAAATCTCGAAGCCAAATCTACCGTAGGTACAGTGCCTATACTTTGGCCATACACAATTATATTCTCTGGGCTGATTCCGTACCTCGTTCGCAATGCTTGCCAAGCGGCATCGATATCGGCGTAAAGATTCTTTTCTGAAGGCTTTCCTTGACTAACACCGTAACCAGAATAATCGTATGAAAATATATTACAGTTAATCCTCGATCCGAGACCAACGTAAAAGCTTGACATTTGTCCGAGGTCTACGGCGTTGCCGTGGCTAAAGAGTACGGTGAAGCGAGCGTTCGGAGAGCATCTCACGTACATGCAACCAATCTGATTCCCTTTGCTTGTTTTCGCTGTGAAAACCTCGATGCAGTCTAGCTCCTTCTGGCCGTACTGCCACTCGGCTTTCTCTGTGAGATGAAGCCCGAAAGTTCCATCGCCCAAATCTTGAAGCGAATATGTCGGCTCCGGAGGAAGAAAGGCTAACTTCGCAGCGATTTTTCCCGGGCAAGGCGGACAGCAAAACAGACAACAAATCTCCGAAAACGAAAGCCCGTTCATCTGAAACCCTTTCAAGCTAAAGACAATGGTAGAAATTTAAACAAAAGGTGGAATCGGGATGAATTTAGATCAATCGTAGGTTCCTTCCATATTCGTGTATATTCCAACGACTAGGTCAAATTTAGATTCGGTTCCAGGTCCTTTGCGTTGCTCAATTACTGACATCACAAAAGCACCTGTCCCTAGAGACTATGACGTCATTTCGTTCCTGGTGGGAGGAGAGTTTGTTCAAAGCACGTCTCAAATGGTTTACTATCCTTGATATTTATCATTAATACCATCAGTAAGAACTTCTGATAATGCAGTAGCAACTATTTAATAATGGAAAATTTTATAAAGACTACTTCGAGCGAAAAAATTCAAAATGTTCAGACAAGTTGATATTTATTCAGGAAATAGCGATCATTCAACATTCCAACAATGCTCCTTATCCAACGTCATTCTTTGCTGCTCACGCACCGAACTGATATTTTAAAAATTCCTGACACGAGGTACCGATATATCGTACATTTAATAATTAATAAAATTATCTTGTTTAACCTATTATATTTAAGTTAATTTAAAATAAATTACATACTAAATTGTCAGAATTTCTATTTATCAATTACTAATTGATCACATTACTTTTTTAAAAATAATCATTACGAGAAAATGAAATTGAAGTACTTGCTAACGTCTGAGGTCGAGGTGTTCTAATTCTAGTATGAGAAATCGACAAGAAGAAATTGACAACGAAATTTGTGCAGTAACTTTCTGGAGGAGAGAACGAACGAAACTGCAACGAAACCGTAAAAAGGAGCGGCTAAGCCGCAAGAAGTTTGGATCATAAAATTTTGAGAAAAACCGAACCGAACTTCCGCTGCTTTAAGTTCCTCCTTTGTTTTCATCGAGCGCCCGAAAAAAAAAAAGAGTCGGCTATGCCAGCTGATAAAAAAATTAGATAATTTGGCTTAATCAAGCGAGTTGATAATGTAAATTTGCCAAAATGTAGGAGTCTCTGTAAAGAGTTTCTGAAGCTGACGTTTCGAGCGTTAGACTTTCGTCCGAGAAATATACCGAATAACGGCTGTTTGGTTGTTTGGGAAAGGAGGGATGGAAACCGAACCCAGGAGAGCGGTGCAAATCGAGCCAAGGTAAGAAGTTAAAAGAAGTGCCAATTGTTAAAAAAGAACGGTGGATACGAAACTTCTTTAGTACTGGGATATGGCTAAGAATGTATTCCCGAGGTAGCAGAATCATCCCTTGAAGGACTGGGTGGAGTAGTTTGGCTAGAGTTATGCCGCTGAGACCTGAACCCTGACCTGGTTTAAGACGAACATTTGTCTCTCTTTATAGCGTATAGACTTCATATATTGAGACAAAATTCCTGAATTAAAAAATAAATCTATGGTATGGCAAATGTGTACCCACACCTGTGGTGTCCTATGACGGCGGGGTGAAATCTGGTGCCTATTACCAGACTCTCGCAGTTTTCAATATGGCGGCGGTCTGAGCGATTGAATCGTTCATCGACGTGCCTGCATCTAGATCTGCCTTCTTTCACTGGTTCTGTACGCGCACAAATCTCAAAATGCCAACAGTGGTACTTCTTGATGTCTCACTTTCCATGCTACGGCGCGTTCAAACGCCTGAAGATGAGTTTGTAGAACGCCGTCATCTTGCTACGCGCGGGCTTCACGTTTTCTTTGACTACTTATCAAGCAAGTTTAAGTTGGAATTCTCAGCTTTGTTGGCCTTTTCATCTTTATGGGAGATTGTTGTACCGTTTACCAGAGATTACCAAGCTCTAAAGCAGGGCTGTTTAACAGTAGATGTCTACGACAAGACAAGTTTTGACAATGGTTTTAGTGGTGTTGTCGGCCATGTTATTGAGGAGTGGGGCACCTCTGTGCCGTGTCAAGTGATCCTTGTTACAGATGGCCGCACGGGGTCTGGTCAGGGATCGCTCAAGGCTTTTTAGAAGGGAAGAGAAAGGAGAATCCTGACCAACCTTCCCCATTTCCCATCCCGTTTCCTTGTAAAATACATGTTGTATGCATTGCAACAGCAAATGAACTGGGAGGGATCTGATGCTGTTTCAAAGACTTTGTGATTCTGCAGGTGCTGGAGGAAGTGTTTATGTGCCTGACATGCCACTCAGTGTCCAGTCAGTCCAGAATGTTTTACGCGCCTTGCTCAAACTCATTACATAAGCTACGAGGGAACTCTGTCATGTGGCCATTTGCAATCCAAAATAACACTGTCACCGGCACCAGATTTAACAAGCATACTTGAGACATCTAAGAAAACCACAGGCCAAGAGAAGACGAGGAGAATGCCAAATGAACTGTCAATATGTGGTTTTCTCGACGTTGCAGATGCTGGAAGCCCACCACATATATCTCGTCATCTTGTGATTCCAGTTCCAACATCATCCGCAGATAGCAAGGATAAAGAAGGAGGAAAGGAGACTGTTAGAGACACTGATGAGGACGGTAAAACTCCTTCCTTCTGTGTACTTCTACACGGAAGTTTGAAAGTAGAGAAAATGGTGGCTATTGTTATGTTAGAGTGAGTATGATTTGAACATCTAGGTGATGCAGGTTTTTTATGTCCATGTTTGTGGCACTTCAGTAAATTACATTCTGTAATTTTGCATGTTTTTCTATGTTTGGGTAGTTTTTTTTTGGTTTTTTTTTTTCGGTTTTCATACCTGGTATAACATAGGATCTTTAAAGAAATGCTGTTATCTTTTCTATGTACATATGAGAACACACTTATCATCAGAAGACTGACCTTTCACCTTTAAGGTCTTATGTAGTGTATACATGTAGTTAATATTATAATTGCTTGCTTATTTTCTAGCTCTGACTGGTTTGGAATGCTTCATTCTTGGGCAGACAGCAAAAAGAAATCCAATCTTGTTCTCACAACATTCTTTCCGGGTGAAAACAACATCTCATGGCTTGGCAATATGCAGAAACTTGGTCCAGCCGCAGAACTCGACTCCAATCCATATCAGACTTCAGACAATGATGAATCTGAGACAACGCCCTTTCCAGTTTTGCCAAGTCAGAGGAGAAGCTACAATTCACAAGCCAATGTTGTCTGGATCAAACCAAGTGGATTACAGGTATGGGAGATGTGGCAGCTGGTTTGTAGAAAGAGATGAATGAAGACAAAAATAATTAAGGACAACCAGATTGTATCTGTGTGGATGTAAATGTTCCTAGTTGTCCCGGATTTTTCAGGCAAATGAAGACTTGAAATTGTAGAGGTCTGCAATTATCATAAATGGTGGGATGTAAATCTGAGGAATCAGCAGCATTTCCACTTTTTTGGTATCCTTAATATTTGATATTATCAGTGATATGGCTTTACTCAGGGAAAAACCTCAGTTACTTGGAGTAGTTCCAGCAATTGTATATCTAGGAAATCTTGGACATATGTGAAAAGATTTGCTGATATTTGAGCAAAATCTAGGATATGATAAGTAGCTCAGTGAAATCATCAATTGTGTTTGATTTTCCCAGCATTTGAAAATTAGCTTTGACAGTTAGTTTTTTGTTTATACTTTCAGTCTGATGTCCAGAAGCTGTTGCGGTATGCAAAAAGGCTTCCTGAAAAGCAAGGCCAATTTTATAAGGTAACAGTGACATAGTTTGTGAAAGTTGTATCAGGTTAAACCGTGGTTTTGTTTCAAAATTTTTCCTGAAAAATTTGCTGCAGGTCACCAATCTAAAAAATGTTTACTGTAATATTAAAATATGAATGAATTTGATAAAATATAGAAGATCATTAATTGGTTGATTACTGTAAAAGTCCAGAGGTTAAAGGTCAAAACTACAATACAATTCCCATTGCTAAACTATGAACACTATTGCAAAGGAATTCACCTTGTTTCATCTGTTAAACTATTTTACCCCATGCATTTGCAGTAGTAAATTGAGTAGCAAAATATTCCTAAACCAAGATGTCACATCCATTTGGCAAGAGTTTACAGCATATCTACATTCTGGTACATGTACGTATTCAATTTCCTTCCCCATCACTTTTTTAGGAACTAAACAGACTGCGCCGTGCTGCCTTGTGTTATAGTTACTTGGGCCTTTTAGATGTACTGGCGAGTATGTTAGACAAAGAATGTCACAAGGCAACTGATGAGGTAGCTCGCCAGTTACAACATGCCTCACAAAGTCTTAGAAGTGCTCCAAGTTTGGATTTAAACAAGCCTATCACTCCAGCTCAAGATTAAACCTGCTGTTGGTTAATTTGTCCAATGTAAACAGCTTTTTAGTTTTTCTGACACAGATGTAACTTAATTAGAACATTCTGAGGCAGAGTTAAGAACAGATCAGGTGTACTTTCTATGTACAGATGTATGCAATGGTTGGTTCATAGCTAAGTAACAGTACTGTTTATGAGTGGACAACTGCTGCCATCTTTTTTTGTTTTAGGCACAGCAAACAGTTTGTTTGCTGACCATAACTTACATCTAGAGTACCCTTGATGAAGAGGGCTATTATAACAGGTATCAAATGCAATTAAATGCAGTTTAATGGAGTGAACAAGAAAGAGAATCAGCATTCTCTAGTAGTCTCTGCTTGAGGCATTCCTGCATGCACTTTCATTGAGTGTGAACTTGCAGCTTTGAGAGGAGTGCCAGCTCATCATCCAGGCAGTTTTCCCCACCCCTTCCCTCCCTCTTTCCACTGTTTATTCAGTGTGATGGGTGCCTGATTCCCTCTCCTGTGTTGGGGCTCATGGCTGGGTTGCCAGGATTTTCCAGCCATGGGAGAAGTCTCCATCTAGGAGCTGGCTGCCAATAGTGAAAGCTCCTGGATGTTTCAGGCACCCAACCTTCACTTAGCAATACAGTTGTTAAAAGTCAGTTATCATCATTCAAATCTCTGCAAAATAGCAGAAGAATAGCGAAAGAACAATGGCTGAACATGGTTGAAAGTGCTTTCAGTGTACATCAGCTATGGCATGAAATGTCATCAACTTATCTTTGTTCACTATAAACAGTACTAATAGCATGAAGAAAAATCAAGGTCAGACAGTTCAAGTGTGTTGAATTGTATTGTCATCAACAACTTGACAAGTTACATTTACTGGGTACTCTTTAACTCAATGAAACCTCAGATTTTATTAAAACCCCTCTAACTATCTTTAGACAGGTCCACAATAGTACAAACTTACAGTTCAACATTATGTTTAAGGAGATTATTTGAACAAGTGCATATTATTTATGTGCCCTGCAATTCTACTTACATCATGCATTACAACAAATGGCACCTACTGTCAGTACAATAAGCTTTTTCAAGTTTTTTTTATGAAATCCCAGTTGTTTCAGATGATACTATAATGTGGCAAGTATCACCTGACACTTCTCCAACAACTGGGGCCAGCGCTTTTTTAAACCTACACTTTCAGTACTTCATAACTGAGTTAAGCACACTTAAGTCACCAAAACAAGTTCTTTTTCCTTGCTCATGGCCAACTGTGTAAACCTGCTTTGGTCTTTTTTGGTGATCCTTTCTTCTTCTTTTTCTTGGAAATGTCATTAGGAGCTACTGCTGTTGTCTTTAACCAAACTTGATACCTTGTGCAAGGGGAAGCTCTTTGCTGAAGTTTATTGTACTGAAAAAGAGAGAAACAATTTTTTTCATCAGTGGTCAATCACACACTTGTAATGGCCTGAGATATTTTGTTTCTCAATGACCACGCTCAAAATTTATCGTATTCTAGACACAGAAGGCTTTGGATATTGCTAATCCCAGCAGTATGAAGGACACTTGTCACAACTTAACATAGTACATGGCCTAGCTAATACCATCAAGTGTACTGTAGCTCAGTTGTAGAGCATCAAGTCATGAATACAAAGTTCTAAATCTGGGGTTCGGTTCTTCATGTGGGGTTCAAATTTTTTCAATGTTTGACACTTATGACAAGGTGAATTGAACCCTCTCTCTTTATATCATTATACTTGATTGGAAATTTTGTAAATGACAAATAACTTATTTACCATGTTGACCTCCTCATGTAGGCTTTCCAAGCATCACTTCCAGACTCACGACCTCCTCCAGTGTGTTTCTCACCACCTGTCAATCAATATACAAGATAAATGAATGAAACCCAAATGATTTGAAAAGTTACGTCTACCCCAAATTCAACTGAGCACATTTCTAATCAACAACTTTCTAGCAAAACCTGATTTTCTGTCAACCACACCCATTGTACTTACCAAATGCACCTCCAATCTCTGCACCACTTGTAGGAATATTGACATTGACAATACCACAGTCAGATCCTAGGGGCCTGGTGATTTTAGAAGCAAAATAAGGTTTGGTTTGGGCAGATAACAGTAGTCAGGAACAAACTGTACCTATTTATAATCACCAGCTTAACCAAACTTAACTGTGCTAAGGAATTCCAAAGTGAACTTGAGGACTCCACAATTCCTTTAAATGAATGCTAGATTGTTTATTTTTTTATTGTAAAAAAAATTGCTGAGTGAACGGAATGACTAGTTTGCAAAAATTGACAGGAACTTTTAAGTCCAAATTTTTTAGTAAATCAGTCTGTAATCCAAGAAAATTCTTTCTGCATGAGCATTCTTGGAAATGCACTAGATACTTAGATACCCTGACTTTAAGAATGGTAATTATGACTGAATTTCAGTTAATAATTACCCCATCCAGTTGAACACCTTTCCAATGTCTTTTGTGAAAATACTACTAGACAGGCCCTGCTTGACTTCATTGTTATAGCCAACAGCCTCCTCAAAGCTCTGAAAATTGAAATTAAACATATATTACCATTCCAAAGACACTCATCAGTATTATGACTGAGGAGAAATTGCAATTACTAAATTGCAAATCCACGGATGAATGTGTAGTTACAGTTTCGTCTGCTCAAGTAATCCTCTACCTTGCACTTGACAACATACAGAACTGGAACAAAGGATTCCCTTTGCACAATCTCTGCATCATGGGCCAAACCAGTCACAATTGTGGGTTCCACATAGAAACCGGGCTTTTCTAACACCTGTGTGAGAGAAACATAAGCAAAAAAGAAATACAAAATAGTTTTTAACTGAATTTACCAACACTTTTATGGCTGAAACTAGGAGATCCTCGCAGCTAAGAACACTACTGAAACGAGTAGTTGTAAATAGGACCTGAAAAAAATTTCAGGCCTGTACGGGATTTGAACCCATGACCTCTGCGATACCGGTGCAGCGCTCTACCAATTGAGCTAACAAGCCAACTGGGAGCTGGTCAATGAATTGGGTCCAAATAAATTTCTGATTTCCTAATTTCATCTTTCCACCGCAGTGCAAATATGTGAATTTTCATATATCTAAAATCTTCATTCACTTTTATGGCTAATAAAAATTACTTACTGCTAGTACTTATAAAATACAAAACCCTACTAAAAAATTAATTGGTATGATGAACCCAAGATTTTCAAGCAACTTAAGCAGCTGATATTGTTTTGATTAGATGATATCATTCTGGCTAATATTGGCAATGGTTCTCCAGTTTCTCAGACAGCCTCTATTGGCTAACATGTAAGCTCATTAACATTATGCCAGAAGTAACCATTCCTACCTTTCCACCATACACAATATTTCCTCCCTGCACAAAATAGAAAAATAGAAAAATGACTCTACTTTTTATATCCCATTTTCCAAAACTGTTTTTATTAATTAGTTAAAAATAAACAATCCTTCCCATTCTAGACGTCCACATAACACCCACATGTATGACCCACAACATTGCTGATACTTGCTTGTGGTGTAATATGAACCAGCAAGTTATTTGAAGCACAGCGGTATAAAATTGCAGCAGTAATCCACACATCTGAAGTTAGATTCCTAAAGAGAGTTAAGCTCTTAGAAAAAACAAAATTATTAACTCTGTTTGTATTTTGACTTGCCCTATAGCTACAGGCTCATAAAAATACTGCACAACTCATAAAAATACTCTATGATACTGCACACCAAAACATCTAAGATATATATCTAGGCTACTCAGCAAATATCAACAGACCTGCTTCTGAGCATCATCCACAGCCCTCTTGTAAATATCCACTGCCATTTCAGAGTGAACTGGGCCATACAGAGTGTCCGCTGTTTTAAGAAGAAATTAAAAGATTGCCATTTATTAATAACTGGTTGGTGAACTGAGTGGATAATACTGGAAATCTAACTGCATACTAGAGATTAGTACTAAGTCTAATAACCATTCACAAAGCATTCAGTCTCACTCTTCATCTCAAATATAACCACCGCAAGGAAATCAGCCTTGGACTGGCCTTGAGAGGACTAAGATTGTATAATTATTAAACTGCAACCTAAAATTGTGAAGTTGCAGCTGTAAGGGTTTATTTTTAAATGTTGGTCACTATCTGAACCACTTTCTTTGACAACATGCCGCTCCGATCATAACATTAAGAGTGATTACCAGTCAACATGACATTTTCAGAAAATTTGCCATCTCCTTTCAGCCATTAGTTACCCTCAAGTATCTGCAACCACTACCAACAAGAGATGTTTTACTTTTTTCCATTATGATAGTAGAACTTAGGAATGATACTCAAGGGAAGCAAAATCAGAGTTCCTCTACTCTTGCTCTTTGCTGTTTATATAAAGGTCCTCCTCAGACTCACTACAGTGCAAAAAAAGGGGTGCTTTATATATATATATATATTTTTTTTTTTATCAAATCACTTACCTTCTAAAGGATCACCAATTCTGACCTGAGCATAGGCCTTCTTTAAACGTTCTACAACATCATCATGAATATCTTCATGAACTGTCTGCAAACAATAAACTTAATATAATTATTTTCATCATAGTAATTAACAAAACAGCATCTTGCATTCTCTGTCTAGAAACAGCCACTCTAAACTAATCATTTTTATGAACTGCCTCACTGGAAGCCCAACAAAGGATTCAAGAAGGAGATATGATATCTCCATGTACTCAGGCATTCAGGGGCAGTCTTCATACAATTGTTTCACTTTTTTAACGAATTTCACATGTTCTTGAAACCTTTATCATGAAAACTTGCATCTGCACAGCTTCCATGCCTTGATGGCAATTTGTGACTCAACAAACCCTGAATTTTTAATTCAGGCCTCCTCTGGCACACCTGTCCGAGAAATAGTTACTAACATTATCTACCTCAGTGAAAAGATATGATTGTAAATCATTGTCACAAACCAGTCTTCTTGTTGTGGTACATCTCTGGCCAGCAGTGCCAACTGATGCAAACAAAACTGATGGAATGGCAAGGTTTAAATCTGCATCATCCATCACTTGAAGAAAAGACAAAACTAGGCATTCAAAAGCAAACAAACAGAGTATGAGTACTCTTGATTCTTGATTATCCTAAAAATATATTTTTTTTTGTTTCTAACTCAACAAGTAACATACACTTAATGTATTGTCCCAAGAGAAACAGTTTTGTTTTCCTGAGAGTCCTGATGTTTTACGAGACAAAGTCGAGGGAAACATCAGGACTTGAGGGAAAACAAAATTAACTAGTTTCCTGAGAGCTTTGTTATATATTTAGACTTTCCTTTAAACAACTATATGGCAATCATGTGCTGTTGTATTTAGCGTGCAGGCAACAACTGTGCAATTGTATCCCGGTATGGATACATTTACATTTGATCAGAGGCACAGGACCAAGAATCAACCAATCACAGTGCTCAATTTGTTGAGTGAAAATTTTGGTATATAACAATAGTTATTAACCTAAGTTTTTCAAAAGATGATCCCTTTTCAATTAAAAAAAAGGAACAAAAAAAAGAGTCTGCCAAGCAATAATCCAAATCAAATAAATGTTGAGAAAAACAAAAATTCTTGGTATTATTTCTGACAAAAAGATCTTTCCATGTCAGCAAACCCCTAACTATAAACTTACCAATGATGGCATTGTTTCCCCCAAGTTCCAAAATTTTTCTCCCTGATAAACAAATAATTAAAATGCAATGTCATTAAACGAAGATAATTAAAAATGTTATTTTGCAATTATGTGGTACAAATTGTGCACAATGTATCCTCAAAAATAAGCCCCCGGAAATAAATAAAATTATCAGCAAGATTATTTTGTCTTATTCAATATTGCTGCCCTATCTACCTTCAAGGTGAGTGATACAAACAATGACGCCCACATGTAAAACTTACCAAATCTGTTTTGCACTGTTGTGCCAACTTTCTGCCCAACCTTGGAAAAACAAAGTTTGTGTCACACCTAAATTTGAAGTTTCTTTCACCTAAATAGTGTTGTGAAGAATGTCTAGTGTGCAGATTTATCAAACTTCAACAGACTGTGTTGGTTCAGCACATGAAAAAAAACACTTAAGTCATAAATATCAAGTAAAAGATGAATGAATAGTTTGTAGCTTTGACCATTTTGTTTTCTAGTATGCTACTAACATCACCTGTCTCTAATAACAGACATGAAATAATTAGGGACACAGCAGATAAATTTTACCTGTGTACTTCCTGTAAAAGATACCAAGTCTACCCTCTCATCCTCAGCCATAGCTTGCCTGAAATGAAAGAAATTTTTTTTTTTCAATGACAGAACTGCATTCTGAATTCCTTTCAGTAGACATTCCAACAACAAATGAAGGAGAAAAATATGAGAACATTCACTATTTCTTACCCAATGTCTGCTCCACCACAGACAAGGGAGCAAACAGCTCCAGGAACTGAGTTCTGAGCCAACACCTCACTGACAATCCTGAGCAAAAACAGACAGTCCTTAACACAACAATTTCTTCAGAAAACTTCCACTTAAAATTATTTTAAAACTCTTACTTTCCTTGAACATATTGTTCAATTATTATTTATAATGTTCTATAACTGAAATATTTGTGATTTAATGTGGGTGGCAAGAAAATTAAGGGGTTTTAATTTTTTGATGAGAGGCTTCACGCAATTGTCAGAACTCTATCCTCACTGTAAGCCTACGACATCCTGAGACCTTGAAAACAAAAGACAGTCCAGGAACAAACTAAGGATGACTTTAAGACTCCTACAGAAAGATTGTTTATTTTTTAAGACTCATTTTTAAGAGCCATTTGCTTAAAACTCACTTACTTTGTAACAGCAACACTTGTCAGGGGAGTTGATGGGGCACCCTTCCTGTAGTACAAAACAATAATTGGGAACAATTTTAAAAAACACTCAATTAATATCACACATTTAGTACATGATATTCCTTTAAAACAGAAGAATTTCTAAATAAATGAAAAAAAAAAGGCTAAAACAGAATTATATTTCTTGAGATCCCTACCAAAGATTGACATTTCCACACACCATACTGATACTGCTGTTCCAGCCAAAAACAGCCACAGGAAAATTAAATGCTGTAATGATTCCTACCAAGCCAACTGGATTCCACTGCTCAAGAAGTGTGTGACCAGGACCTGATACAATACAATGCAGGAAATCAAATTAACTTAAAGTGATAATGAAGAGATAATACGCAAGCTACAAAGCAATCATGAAGCAATCTACCAGTAGTCATAAACAGCTGCAGTGTTAGAACACAGGACTTGTTCTAAATTAACCTGACTTCAACTGTTTTGCTGTGCTTTTTAAAAAGACCAACTGGTCTACCTTCTCTCAAAAGCTATCCATAGCTATACAAATTAAGATTGAACTGCATCACTGTGAAGTTAGTGAATGACAAATCTTACGTTCCGAGGGAAGAACTTTTCCATCAATCATCCTTGAGAGACCAACAGCATAATCACAGATGTCAACATACTCCTGAACCTCACCAATACCTTCTGGTTTAATCTTGCCAACTTCAAGAGCAACCTGAGATATGAATTCATAACAGTATTGGTTTGTATAAAACACAATTTTGTTTTAAACTACCAGAAACTATCAGCACAGTTTTAAACTTAACACAGTCAATCTATGATGCTGCTATCTAAATAAGTTTTACAATGAGTTTTTTTTCAAAAAAAAAAGTAAAAGATAATTCATGCACTTTTGCATTAAGATCTCCAAAGAGGGATTTCCAATAGCATTACATTATTAAGAACATATTCATTTCTCTTTGTCGATTGTTGCTCTATGGTTTCTATTGCCCCCATCCCTCTCCTCTCCTTTATTTTGACCGTCAATCGCTCCCTTGGTAAAAATTTTGTTCAATCTCCAACATTACCACTGCGGTAAAAATCAAGAAATGCAGCTATAATTTTCAACCAGAAATTACTGAGAACTTGCTTGCCAAAATCACACTTGGCAAGCTACATCATGATAGCCCAAAGAAGTTTGTCAGGTTTTTTAAACAGGTGTGCCATTGCAGTCATTCATGCTACCACAGAGAGGTACTGTGAGAATAAATTTAATTTCTAGAGAACACACCTCAGTAAGCCAAAGCAGGACCTTTTACTGGGTCTGACACATGCATACAGGGCGTGAAATTAACTTTTTTTTTTTCTGATAGCCACTTGGCTCCTAAATTCTTCAAAGTGGTAGTCAATTCAAAAAAAGTTGGCTGCCATTTTCAAAGACAAACAAAATCTTTCTTTACGCTGTCAGCGTTCTAGATAGACCCTCCCAAATTAAATTTGGGAAAAGATCTTTAACGTGCTACAAAGTGGACACTAGGATGGATGATATACAAGGTTCAGGCTCATCTAAATCCAAGATGGCGTCTGGTTATCGATCGAGATGCATGTGCTACGTTTTGGAAACAAACTTAATGAGGAAGTTTGCCGCGGATTTATCTTTGCAAATTTTTTTAATTCACTATATCTCTTGGTAAGGTTATGATGAAACGTTCTAGTCGCCAATTTGACGACTAACTTTCAGGATTTGGTCGCCAAAGTGAAAAATTTAGTTGCATTGGCGCCTGTATTAGGCGCAATTTCACGCCCTGGCATACACTGATAATTTTTTCTTTGCCACACCTTATAGGATTAAATAAGAGTTAACACCTTACAACTGAAATCAATCTCCATGAGAGGAAAACACCCCTGTTACCTCATTTAACTCACCAGTTTTCCAAGGTTTTCCAAGTTACCTCTCAGTGCCTGGCCAATCTGACGAACAATTTCTCCCCGTTTTGGAGCAGGTGTCTATTTCAACCAGTCATGATAAAACATTCATTATGTCCATTATCGAATATCATATTCATAACTATCATAACAATTTCAGTCTATTTTAAGTTGCACAATACACAACCTAAAATTATATTTAAGGAAATTACCTTAAAATTTGATCCATTTTAAAAACTACATTTCCAACAAGCAAAAGAAGACAAAGTTTTACTAGATGATGCTGCTTACAGTTCTTCAAACTATCGCTGTCAGTACAGGTGTTCAATCCATCCCAGTCCTCTTACCACTCCAAGCTATCTTTTTTGACCAAGGTTTTTAGAATGCCTGCACTTTTGTTTTTCTCCTTTAACCTTTAACTCCCATAAGTGATCAAGACAGAATTTCTCCTTACAGTAACAATACAACATCAGCCAGATAAGTGATGAGAATGAAGAAAAATATTAATTTGGGGATAATTAGTTGATCCAATACTAAATTCTCTGAACTAACACTGTAAGAACTGTATGGTTGACAGTAAGGAGAAAGACAAATTTGATCTGGGATTTAAAGGGTTAACCTTTAACTCCCAGAGGTGATTAACGTGTAATTTCTTCCTGTAATTTCCACACATTATCCAGAAAACTGGTAATGATAATACTCAAACTTATCAGGTTGAAGTTGTACTTTGATCTAACACCAAATTCTCATAACCAATTTACAAGGAAATGTGTAGCAGCTCGAGGAGGGAATTTAGGATTAGATCTTGGGAGTTAAAGGGTTAGGGCACAAATTCCAGGATCAGAGTAAATCATTAGGTTAGATTTTTCTTAATGTGCTGGGGTTAACTTTTCCAAGCAGTCAAGCCTAACCAATTTTCATCGTTAGAACCCAGTCCCTTATTCACTCAGAGCATATTAATCTTAATTAATTATCACTCCTGTTACATCCATTGAGACAAATAACATTTACAATAAAATTCAAAAGTAATAAACCTAAAAAAAAAAGTTACTTAAATAATACCATGGCCCATGACTTCCAGGCATCCTTAGCGAGCTTCACCGAATCATTGTAATCTTCTAATGAACCCTAAAAAATACAATCATTTAGGAGAAGAATGATATAGTTACAGCCCTCCAATCTATATTTTTGTCCTCTTTTTTTTCTTTCATTGCACTGCTGTTATTTGATCAGAGTAAACCCTATGTTTCTTACTGTGCTGGGGTTCACCAAGCCCAACCAATTTTGATCATTGGAACCCAGTCCTATATTCACTCAGAGCACATATATTTTTGTCTTCTTTTTTTCTTTCATTGAACTGCTGTTATTTACGAGAAAAATGATACCGACTTTAATTGATCGCAAAAAGATCGAGTTTAACACGGTTCCTTTATTTGCTGGTTTGCTTTTTTTTGAGGGGAAAACTGATGAGTCTTATGACCTACGTGATTCTACCCGAGTTAGATCGGTGATCATACACTGATCATGCCATAAACGTCATAAATGCCACGTGCAAATGAGTTTTAGTACATAAGCTCACACAACCTGTTCAGCTGACCTTAAAAGAAATTGTACACGATTTACAACGGAAAACAAAACTTACTTGACGAACTCTTGCAATCGGTCGTCCATTAGAAGGACACACAGACGTTACAGTCTACAAGTGAAGAAAAATAACACGAATCAGCAATCGTTGTGTGACACAAATATTGCATCCCCGTATTAATTTGATGTACCTCTCCTCTTGCGCCCCAAGAACCATTATAAACACCATCATTTTCAGCTTTGAGTCCCAGATCCTTCAACCAGGCGTACTTTTCTTCTTCAATCAACAAATTTCCTTCCTGTGCAGAGCAGAAAGAAGCCTTACTTAAGCCTAAATAAATGGAACGAAACGCTAAACTTTTAGGAACCAGTCGAAGCACCCGTACCGCCATTTTGAATCCCAGGTGAAAAGGCCCCACGTGATTTTTGGGGGCGTAAAGAAGGCGTGATCGTACCCAGTTTCTTCTACTCGCTCGGCTGGTTGATTCGAAGCCACGTCAATTTCACAGGGGTCGAGTAGTCGAACAAAGGTAAAGTCCGCGAATAAGGTACGAACAAATTCTACGAGAATTCATTCCTAAATAGTGCATCTTCAGGTTATTGAGGAAATGCTATTCTAATTTCTGCAGTAATCGTGACATTTCTGACTTGCTCGAACTATAGTTTTAGCTCTACCAAATAGTTCTTGCGGTGAAACTGGCAATCCATGAAACTTGAAATATTTCAAATGTATTTCCGCACCGCATTTAATTGCCTGAAGTGTTTCAGCGTCAGTAGACGGGGGAAAATGATATCATTTTGTTATCGTAAAACTGCTAACAATATAAATATACTTTTCGTCACTGTAAACTGTTTTCTAATGAAAATAATTTGTTTTCCACTTCAGATACTGGAGTCAACATGGGTGACATAGATACAAATTGCATGACCCTCACTAGGTTTGTTTTGAACGAGCAGCGAAAGATTCCCGGGGCCAGTGGAGATCTCACTCAGTTGTTAAATGCAATCTGTTGTGCTATCAAAGCAGTATCTTCAGCAGTAAGAAAGGCCGGCATTGCTCAATTGTAAGTCCGTGACTCAACAGATATGCGATTCTATGCAAATTTTCGAGATTTTAATAGACCTCATTGGCAAGTTACTGATATTTGCTTTACAATCAAGGTTCATTAATAGAGCGTGTCAGGACTTTGAACCAAGACTGGATAAAAACCTCCTGTTAACATGCATTATTATGAAAAGCTATGTCATTTTTAAGTAATGGGGTGAACCTTTCCTTTATTAATATTATATATAATTTCAATTTGCTGCGTTTGATTGTGGCTGCATGGCCGCTGACAAGTATCACCTCTCAACTAAGAATATTTCTTTTTGTTTATTTCATATTTCTCAAGTCAAATTACCTGCACTACACAGGAATATGTTCATTCAAGGATTTTCCCTCATTGGCTTCTGTATTTCCTATGGAATAACCTTTCTGACAAATTGAATTTAATTGGACTTCATGACACATTACAATTACATAAGATTGTCCTCATCACAATTGTTTTGATCTGCCGGACCTGACTGAGGGTAGCAAATAGTTTACTCTCGAGGCATGATTAAGCTCAAAATTAATATGTGACACTTTGAAAGTCAAGGCAAGGTGAGGTTTGAGGTTTTCCCTTTAGAATCATGACACATACTGTTTAGTTAATTAAAGTAAATGTGATGTCTGAATTTTTCTAATTTGTGCATGAAACAGGATGAGGACCCCCTTCTCCTCCCTTTGTTTCCCCCCCTGACTGTTTGTCAACATTTTGCAAGAATTTTGTGAGGAGATATGTTTTTCCTGGCTGTGAACCAGGAAGTCATAATATGCCAATTATTATCTCAATTAGAAATGCACAACTTCTTGAATGAGTAAATTGAAAGAAAAACTCCTGGTTTGATATGTGTTTCAGATATGGTATTGCAGGTGATACAAATGTTTCTGGAGACCAACAGCAAAAATTAGATGTGATGGCAAATGAACTGTTTGTTAATATGCTGAAATCATCTTACACAACCTGCCTTTTGGTATCTGAAGAAGATGAAACGGTTATTGAGGTGGAAACTGAAAGGCAAGGAAAGTACATGGTTTTCTTTGATCCTTTGGATGGCTCATCAAACATTGAATGTCTAGCTGCTATTGGCTCTATTTTTGGAATTTCAAGGAAGGTAATTATTTTCAAGAAAATTCTCTCATTCACCATGTATATTGTGTTTGATCAAAGAGCCACACTCCCCTCTCATCCATTGTCAGGTGAAGATAAACAGTGATAGATTTTCTAGAGAAACATGAGGCATATGGAGACACCCCTGTTTATACTGTTTGACTCGAGATCTCATGAGTAATTCTTATGGCTTCCTGCGATACAATTCTTATGATTTTAGTTTGGATAATTTGGTATTTAATCATAAATTAGCTAAGTATCCCCTAATTGATATTTTTATTTATTCTTATCACTTGTCTGTTGATTATATAATGATATTGCAAACAAGGATATGCATTGTGTATTAGGGTTTCATCATGATATATACTATTATAGAGTAATGCATGCACAGACTAAGTTCTCAGCACAACTGCTTTATCAGATACTGATGAACTTAATATGCAATGATAGATATATGGATAATCACATGACTGCAGTTAAGGGTGTGGTAACCAATAGAATAAAAATTATGTGATAGCTAAGGTGTTTATCCAATAGGACCAAATATTACATTATGTTACCTGTAACGTTTTTGTAGTGTTCAGTTTGACAAGAGATTTGAGGTTTACATTTAAGAATTTCGTGTTTAGACTACATTGCCTTCTTTTAAAATGTATAAATGTATCACTTTTCTCTTCACTGTAGGAACATGATGGACCACCAACCATAGAAGATGCTCTCCAGCCAGGAAGAAATTTTGTTGCAGCAGGGTATGCACTTTTTGGAAGTGCAACAATGGTGGTGATAACAACTGGACATGGAGTCAATGGATTTACACTTGATCCAGTAAGTGCATGGAATAGAAGGGAGGCAAATTTTATTGCATGAAAGGATAAGCTAAAGACATAAAGATTTTGAATTATCTGATAAATAACAACTAATTTGTCCCATTCAGGCTCTCTACAATTTTTTCCAAAGTGACATGCATGACTGCACTTATGTACAGTGTCAATCAAAACCCAATTACTTTTGGGCCCAGTCTCCAATATTAGAGGGAATATAAATTCTTTTATTGTAGAATGTTCATTGATATTTTATGTTTATTATTTGACTAAACATAATGTTTTAGCTGATCTTAATTTTCTTGATGTAGTCCATAGGTGAATTTGTTCTCACACATCCAGACATAAAAATGAAGCCACGTGGCAAGCCTATCTACAGTATAAATGAAGGAAATGCTTGTTTGTTTGATGAAGGAGTTACTAAATACTTAGAATCTATCAAATTTCCAAAGGTGAGCATCACATGAGGGTTCCATGAAATCAGTCATTAAAAAGCTAGTTTGTTCTTGGATGGTAATATCTGCACAATCAATATTTACCAGCATGGAGGAAATCTTTTTCACAATCACACAGGATATTCCAATATCTTTGATGTACCAATAGAGGTCACACCCAAGATCCATAGGGGCCTTTGACCTTCTTGTTAATGTTTCTTAGGCAGATCTTGGAAGATCTTTCACTAGAAAATCTTTAACTTGGGATAGAAGACTGTGTCATGGGTAACACTTAATGTGAGGATTAAGGATATTGAAAATTATGTGTTACAATTTTTACCCACATCAAAGTAAAACTACAATTTCAATTTGATGGCTTATGAAACTATTCATATGTGTCATTTATCTGACCTATAGGATGGTAAATCTCCATATGCAGCTCGTTATGTTGGCTCAATGGTGTCAGACATGCACAGGACATTAGTGTACGGAGGAATTTTCATGTACCCTGGAAATAAGAAGAACCCTCGAGGAAAGGTATCAATTGAAAAGGAAAATTTCCAATTTGGAAGTTTGCCTGTATGTTTGTAAGTTTGTTTGTTCTTGAGGACTGAGATACAAACCATAGAGTGTAAGATCTTGATGATCTCTGTCATCGTGATCATTGGCATTGTGATCATCATGTTTTTCATCATCATCGCTATTTCTCACTATTATTCTTCTTAATTATTATCATTGTCTTCATTATCGTCATCACCATTATTGGTTGAAATATGTCATATTTACTTGATTTAAGAGTGGTGAGATGTATAAGGCTACATTAGTTCTGATTGGTTTTTTTTGTGCTGATTACATGCTGATCACTCTTATTAACCAATAACTATGATTCTTGATATATCAGTTTATTTCCATTCACTTTTTTATTCATACCTAGCTACGCCTTCTGTATGAGTGTGCACCAATGGCGTATATCATCGAACAAGCTGGTGGAATGGCCTCAGATGGCAAACAACCAGTCCTAGATATTAAACCAAAGGAACTTCACGAGAGATGCCCTATCTTCATTGGATCAGCAGAAGATGTTAAAGATTTCCTCAAGTTTAATTCAGCATAGTGCTCTATTTCTTACAGTGTCTTTCATGAGAAATGAAGAGTAACATGATTTTAATGCAATTACTGTTAGTAGTACTTCAGGTGTTATTTCATGACTGTTTTTCTGTAGTGTTAGTAGTTAGGCAGCAGACTAAAGCGGTGAAGGTTATTCAAACTATTTGTAGGCTATTAGGGTGCTTTATATTTGTTATTTAACAGTGCCAATAAAAAAGAGGGTTTTTTTACCAACAACCATGGCAGCATAGGGTTGTGTTGACTGTTTGTAAATAAATGCTTACTTAGCGAATATGCCTGATTCTCTTTGTCTTTGGGGGTGGCATATGTGTGAAACCAAGAACCTCCTTTGAATAAAAACACGACTCATTATTCAAGTCAGCGGTTCAAAAAAGTGAAACTGTCTCAATTGTGCTGGACAACATATTATTTAGAGGAGCCTTTGTACTTAATGAACGAGGTGTTGCCGAACAGGCTTGTGGGAAGGGAAACTGAGAAATGGGATAAGGAGAAAAGGATAGGAATCGTTCTAGAGAAGCAATATCTAGTAATAAAAAAGCTTTAACTGTATGTTCTTTTTATCATTATTATTATCGTTATCATCATCGTCATTATTGCTATGAATTATCATTATTTTTATTGTTGTGCTTTCTTTTATCATTCCATTTTTGTCAGAGCTCTCATGTCTCCGTTCACAGTTAAGAGTGCAAAATTTATAATAAATCCTCACCTTACCAAAAGTTCTGGAAAAGAGACAAAGAAAGGAAAAGGAAAGTACGAGTTACTTTTAATAAGAGTCATAGTACGTGTCCACACTGTCACGTATGATATTGGTTCAGTTTTTTGGAGTTGCTCTTTTCGTCTGACAAGCTGGTAGACGTTGAGTTTTGAATTGCTCCATTATATACATGAAAATGATTTTTTCACTGTGATTCACTTTGAGGACGAGGGCTCGGTTATTTTAAAGATAGCAAAGGAGCATCATACCAAAGAAACCTTTTCATGTGTATTATATATGTCAAGAAGATAGAAAGGAGTTGCTTTGTCTCTGATCTCGGAGGGCTTAACAATTTCCTGTATCTTCGGGACATTTCCTTTCTTGTAAGGCAAATACTTTGCAACATTTTTCTGTAAATGGCTGAAGGACCTGAAAAAGATGGTCAAGATTTAACTTAAAGAAATGAGAGGTAAATGCATTATATTTCAACCTTTAACAAGGAGGAAGTAACGTACTGGAAGCAAAAAATGCGTTATCGAATAAACGGAAGCCGCGGGTTTCGCCTAGACCTAGACCCAGATCATCACTGAAAGAACTAAGTACACAGAATAAGAATCTCTGATCCGACTAGACCAACATAAAAACACGAAAACACACGTAAACAGGTGGTAACAATTACATACCAGTGCTGCAAGTTCTGTGGTTCCACATTTGACACCCATCACATTGGAGACTCTCTTGTCTGGGTCGCACAGGTTGTTTGCAGATTGCAAATTATGCAATTGTCCTTGGAAGTACCGTTTAAAGACATTTTAGAATACGAAAGAAGCGAGTCTATTAACAAACGAAAGGGTGAGATTTTTTTGCCAGGCAAAATCATTTTAGTTAGAACTTTCATACCGCACGTTTTGTCGGGGTCAGAAAAATTAACGCTGTTCCACCCGCGCGTACTCATCCACCAGTCCTGACTAGTTTTAATTACTTCTTCTATTTCCGGGCGAAACCATTCTCGTTCTGGGCGAAACGATGTAGGCGAAACTCGTCATGGGCGAAACACGCTATATTCTTTCTGTAACCATCTTCATGATCAATAATGATATTATTGCAATGAAGTCTTCCGATGAACACCTTACGAGACTTTTTTCCACGCAGGCACCAAGCCCTTACCAGGTTGATCACCTTCTCTATAGATTTGCTTTCAAGTCAAATTGAACAACTGGCTGCATGTTTTTGTTTAAGTCAAATTGAATAGCTGGCTGAATGTTTTTTATTCTTTGCGACACTCAAGCAATCCGAAATGGAGTTAATATAGGTATCAGTTTATTCGAATATAGCGAGTATCGCCCATAACGAGTTTCGCCCACACCGTTTCGCCCAGAACGAGAATGGAACTTACAGTGATACCTCAAAACAATAGCAATGCTATGACTCATTTCCTCGGGAAAGTCCCTGTTGTATTGCGTCATTGATTTCCTGTTTTTTCTGAGAAAACAAACTCCTTAAGTTTAAACACGGGAAAAGTCGTCTATGACTTTTATAAAATAGTTTTAAACAGTCTCCAAATGCTGTAATGTGTTTTCTTTAACTTCGTTTAGGTTATTGCAACGTTTTCATAGCGTTGATCCAGTTATTTAAGTGATAAAGGCATCCCTACACAACAAACTTCACAAATGAATAAGAGTTTGACTGCAAATTTTCACAGTTGTAAAGTGAAATGTGAAGTCTTTGAATGGTTGATAAAATCATGCAACTATCACATGACCTCAAAACAAAAGCAGTGCTGTGACTCATTTCCTCGGGAAAGTCCCTGTTGTATCGCATCATTAGTTTCCTGTTTTTCTGAGAATGTCACGCAATGACCATAAAAAAACAAACTCCCTGAGGTAACTCAGCATGACCTTTTTGAAAATTAGACCAATGAAATTTTGCCATGTCGATAAGTTCTAAACAGGAACAATCGTGATCTTTTCTAGAAAAAAAAGAAGCAGTTGTTTTCGATGATCTCAGTCGTGAAGGTAAAGCTAGGAAAAGCTGTGGTGTTTTGTTTCCTGTCTTGATACAGTGTTGGTTCTTGCTTCTCGTACCTAATATCTGATACTACGATAGATGACCGAAGGTGCATACTTGAATCATTGAATAATTACAAAACAGAGGTCGTTTGGAAATGGTGGGTAGTGATGATAAACCTGCAATTGTCTACGACATAACGGGCTTTAACCGATCTCAAGTAGTTAAAAAACTTGAAGACATTGTCAACGACAGCCGTTATAAACATAAGTTCGTTTTTTATTTGGGAATCTGTAGAGTCGACGAAACGCTAGAATTTTGTAATTTGTTCAGACTAAAACCAAATCCATGGCCAAAGCAACCCGGTAATGGAGAAATGACAGTATTACAAGATCGGCAATTTATTTGCACATCTTACAACCAATGCTTAGTTGATGAGCTGAATGAAAAATATGGCTGCAAAACCTCTTTGTTCGCTGAACATCTTGAGAAACTGTTCGAGGACAATAGCAATATAGCTGAATACTCATTCGTAACTTCAGAAGTGTACATTCTTTGGCTATTCGAAATAGCGAGACGAAGAGTAAAGGATTCGGAGGACGCAACCAATCTAAAGAAAGAGTACGACCAACTCGAGATTGATGGAGCAATTACACAACTCATAGAACTGATGAAAGTTGATAGTTGCCAATTCGAAGAGATATTTTTGAAAGATGGAACATTTCATTGCTTCAGTGGCTTTCCATCAAAGAGACAAACTGCAATTGATAATATTGAAGAGAAACTTAAGTCTCCTAAAAAACATGCATCGCAAGATAAGGACGTCGAAAAAATGAAGCAAAGCATGAGTGAAGTTTATCTGTCGGAAAAGTAGAAATCAAAAGTTACCAAGTAAAAAGCCCTTTTGCAAAGCTTCCTCGGTCCTACTGCCGATAGTAATCCCCTTTATTTGAGAAAGAAAGGCCATGAAAGAAGTTTCTCAAAGGGAAGTCAAAACCATTCCAAAGGAAATATTGATCTCAGCGTCCGCATATGCCTCTTTCACTGATCAGCGTCAAAATATATTTCTGTAGTGACGCAAAGTAAATTAAGTTTCGATTTGAGTTACTTAGCAGTTTTGTAACAGCTGGCTGATTATTGAAGCGTAGTTTATGTTGTAGCGGTGCAGGCACTTTTAAGTCTATGTTTTGAACTCGTAACTATGTAAGGTTTTTATTATGTGGTGGGGAAGGAATTTTTCCTGCCGAAAAGATAAAAAAATCTCTAATGATTCTTCCTTTTAATAAGCGATGAGTATTTTCTAAGAATAAAATTATTTCAATTTATCAAGGTTACGTTCTATTTAGATCAAGTGTGAATGTTATTTACCTACTATTATGTGAGGACATGAATTTGTAAATAGCCCTATGCTATCAGTCTGAAAAACTCTGCGGCGGTGTAGTTTTGTAGTTTGTGGAATTGCCCACCCTTTCACTACAAGTCCCTCGTTTGATTATTTTTTTCAAAAAAAAAAGTGGTTCAGTGAGTGATTTTCGGAAAATGAATAAAACGAAGAGTGCAATCATATCTAATTCGAGGATCCTATACTGGCGTGCGTCTGTAAAAAAATTAAAGATGACCTCAAAATGCATGGAGTAAGGGCTAAGAAGAGGCACTCTTTATGTGACGCTTTCCCTGCGGATTTTTCTTTTTCTCTGGCGCACGGTGCTGGTCGAGGAATTAATGGGCCTAACTGCGATTGCTCTCATTACATTTTATTTTTGTTGATCGAGTTGTAATGTCATCACGCAAGCTTGAATGGAACATATCATGCACAGAATATCTTAAGGCATCAGATTATAAGTTCGGCTAATTTGTCCAATTGCGTCACCATAGGTTTGTTTCAAGGTGAGTTTTCTATGGTGCACCAATTCCTGCCAAAAAGTTGCTGTGAATTGCAGAATTCATAGATAGGGTGAAATGCGCCGACATTGCGAGGGATTTGAAAAGAGCAAGGTGCGTAAACGATTTACGGCCAGGAACATACGATATTATTGAAAAGACTGGCACTCTGCCTGGTGACTTTCAAACGCTACTGAGAATAGTACCAAAGGCTAGGAAGTCAACTTTAAACACTTTTATCCTCGCTTTAGGCCATACCGGCGAAATAACACTTTACTTTTTTACATAACAATCTAAACACGAGGACAGGTTGAGAGAACCTGAGACTGTTACGCAAACATGACACACATTCGAGAATTCTCCCAATCTCGAGTTGGCTTTGTATAACAGGCGAGTTTAAACACGGGAAAAGTCGTCTATGACCTTTATAAAATAGTTTTAACAGTCTCCAAATGCTGTAATGTGTTTTCTTTAACGTCGTTTAGGTTATTGCAACGTTTTCATAGCGTTGATCCAGTTATTTAAGTGATAAAGGCATCCCTACACAACAAACTTCACAAATGAATAAGAGTTTGACTGCAAATTTTCACAGTTGTAAAGTGAAATGTGAAGTCTTTGATTGGTTGATAAAATCATGCAACTATCACATGACCTCAAAACAAAAGCAGTGCTATGACTCATTTCCTCGGGAAAGTCCCTGTTGTATCGCATCATTAATTTCCTGTTTTTCTGAGAATGTCACGCAATGACCATAAAAAAACAAACTCCCTGAGGTAACTCAGCATGACCTTTTTGAAAATTAGACCAATGAAATTTTGCCATGTCGATAAGTTCTAAACAGGAACAATCGTGATCTTTTCTAGAAAAAGAAGAAGCAGTTGTTTTCGATGATCTCAGTCGTGAAGGTAAAGCTAGGAAAAGCTGTGGTGTTTTGTTTCCTGTCTTGATACAGTGTTGGTTCTTGCTTCTCGTACCTAATATCTGATACTACGATAGATGACCGAAGGTGCATACTTGAATCATTGAATAATTACAAAACAGAGGTCGTTTGGAAATGGTGGGTAGTGATGATAAATCTGCAATTGTCTACGACATAACGGGCTTTAACCGATCTCAAGTAGTTAAAAAACTTGAAGACATTTTCAACGACAGAGGTTATCAAAAAAAGGAGTTTGTTTTTTATTTGGGAATCTCTAAAGTCGACGAAACACTAGAATTTCGCAAGTTGTTCAGACTAGAACCATATCCATCGCCTTATCAACCCGGTTATGGATTTATGAAAGTATTACAAGATCGGAAATTTATTCGCAGATATTACAACCAATGCTTAGTTGATGAGCTGAATGAAAAATATGGCCGCAAAACCTCTTTGTTGGCTGAACATCTTGAGAAACTGTTCGAGGACAATAGCAATATAGCTGAATACTCATTCGTAACTTCAGAAGTGTACATTCTTTGGCTATTCGAAATAGCGAGACGAAGAGTAGAGGATTCGATGAACGCACCCAAACTAAAGGAAGCGTACGACGAACACAAGATTGATGGAGCAATTACACAACTCATAAAACTGATGAAAAATGATAGTTGCCAATTCCAAGAGATATTTTTGATAGAAGGAACATTTCATTGCTTCAGTGACTTTCCATCAAAGAGACAAACTGCAATTGATAATATTAAAGAGAAACTTAAGTCTCCTTAAAAACATGCATCGCAAGATAAGGACGTCGAAAAAATGAAGCAAAGCATGAGTGAAGTTTATCTGTCGGAAAAGTAGAAATCAAAAGTTACCAAGTAAAAAGCCCTTTTGCAAAGCTTCCTCGGCCCTACTGCCGATAGTAATCCCCTTTATTTGAGAGAGAAATGCCATGAAAGAAGTTTCTCAAAGGGAAGTCAAAACCATTCCAAAGGAAATATTGATCTCAGCGTCCGCATATGCCTCTTTCACCGATCAGCGTCAAAATATATTTCTGTAGTGACGCAAAGTAAATTAAGTTTCGATTTGAGTTACTTAGCAGTTTTGTAACAGCTGGCTGATTATTGAAGCGTAGTTTATGTTGTAGCGGTGCAGGCACTTTTAAGTCTATGTTTTGAACTCGTAACTATGTAAGGTTTTTATTATGTGGTGGGGAAGGAATTTTTCCTGCCGAAACGATAAAAAAATCTCTAATGATTCTTCCTTTTAATAAGCGATGAGTATTTTCTAAGAATAAAATTATTTCAATTTATCAAGGTTACGTTCTATTTAGATCAAGTGTGAATGTTATTTACCTACTATTATGTGAGGACATGAATTTGTAAATAGCCCTATGCTATCAGTCTGAAAAACTCTGCGGCGGTGTAGTTTTGTAGTTTGTGGAATTGCCCACCCTTTTCACTACAAGTCCCTCGTTTGATTATTTTTTTCCAAAAAAAAAGTGGTTCAGTGAGTGATTTTCGGAAAATGAATAAAACGAAGAGTGCAATCATATCTAATTCGAGGATCCTATACTGGCGTGCGTCTGTAAAAAAATTAAAGATGACCTCAAAATGCATGGAGTAAGGGCTAAGAAGAGGCACTCTTTATGTGACGCTTTCCCTGCGGATTTTTCTTTTTCTCTGGCGCACGGTGCTGGTCGAGGAATTAATGGGCCTAACTGCGATTGCTCTCATTACATTTTATTTTTGTTGATCGAGTTGTAATGTCATCACGCAAGCTTGAATGGAACATATCATGCACAGAATATCTTAAGGCATCAGATTATAAGTTCGGCTAATTTGTCCAATTGCGTCACCATAGGTTTGTTTCAAGGTGAGTTTTCTATGGTGCACCAATTCCTGCCAAAAAAGTTGCTGTGAATTGCAGAATTCATAGATAGGGTGAAATGCGCCGACATTGCGAGGGATTTGAAAAGAGCAAGGTGCGTAAACGATTTACGGCCAGGAACATACGATATTATTGAAAAGACTGGCACTCTGCCTGGTGACTTTCAAACGCTACTGAGAATAGTACCAAAGGCTAGGAAGTCAACTTTAAACACTTTTATCCTCGCTTTAGGCCATACCGGCGAAATAACACTTTACTTTTTTACATAACAATCTAAACACGAGGACAGGTTGAGAGAACCTGAGACTGTTACGCAAACATGACACACATTCGAGAATTCTCCCAATCTCGAGTTGGCTTTGTATAACAGACGAGTTTAAACACGGGAAAAGTCGTCTATGACTTTTATAAAATAGTTTTAAACAGTCTCCAAATGCTGTAATGTGTTTTCTTTAACGTCGTTTAGGTTATTGCAACGTTTTCATAGCGTTGATCCAGTTATTTAAGTGATGAAGGCATCCCTACACAACAAACTTCACAAATGAATAAGAGTTTGACTGCAAATTTTCACAGTTGTAAAGTGAAAATGTGAAGTCTTTGATTGGTTGGTAAAATCATGCAACTATCACATGACCTCAAAACAAAAGCAGTGCTATGACTCATTTCCTCGGGAAAGTCCCTGTTGTATCGCATCATTAATTTCCTGTTTTTCTGAGAATGTCACGCAATGACCATAAAAAAACAAACTCCCTGAGGTAACTCAGCATGACCTTTTTGAAAATTAGACCAATGAAATTTTGCCATGTCGATAAGTTCTAAACAGGAACAATCGTGATCTTTTCTAGAAAAAGAAGAAGCAGTTGTTTTCGATGATCTCAGTCGTGAAGGTAAAGCTAGGAAAAGCTGTGGTGTTTTGTTTCCTGTCTTGATACAGTGTTGGTTCTTGCTTCTCGTACCTAATATCTGATACTACGATAGATGACCGAAGGTGCATACTTGAATCATTGAATAATTACAAAACAGAGGTCGTTTGGAAATGGCGGATAGTGATGATAAATCTGCAATTGTCTACGACATAACGCGCTTTAACCGATCTCAAGTAGTTGAAAAACTTGAAGACATTTTCAAAGACAGAGGTTATCAAAAAAAGAAGTCTGTTTTTTATTTGGGAATCTGTAGAGTCGACGAAACGCTAGAATTTCGCAAGTTATTCAGACTAAAACAAGATCCATGGCCTTATCAACCCGGAAACATGACAGTATTACAAGGTCGGGAATTTATTAGCAAATTTTACGACGGGCTCTTAGTTGAAAAGCTGAATAAACAATATGGCTGCAAAACCTCTTTGTTCGCTAAACATCTTGAGAACCTGTTCGAGGACAATACCAATATAGCTGGATACCCATTCGTAACTTCAGAAGTGTACATTCTTTGGCTATTCGAAATAGCGAGACGACGAGTAAAAGATTCGGAAGAAATGAAAAAGTACAACAAACTCAAGATTGATGGAGCAATTACAAATCTCATAGCACTGATGAAAGCTGATCATTGTGGATTCGACGCCGTTTTTTTGGAAGGAGGAGAATTTCATTGCTTCAGTGGCAAACCTGAAAATATAAAAACTGTTATTAAAAAGATTAAAGAGACTAAAAAGAGCCTCGAACAAGCGTAGCGTAAAAAGAGGACGTAGAAGAACTGAAGCAAGACTTACGCAGCCTGTCCGTTAGCGGTTCATCGTCGGCAAAGAAGGTGCAACAGAAAGATCGGAAGAGTTGAGTTCCAGGTAGACTAATTTGCTCATTTGTACCTGTAATTTTTTGCGAAAGATTTCATAAAACTGAAATATTGATCTCAGCGTCCGCATATGCTGCGTTTTCAATCAGCGTCAAAATATATTTCTGTAGTGACGCAAAGTAAAATAAGTTTCAACTGGAGTTAGTAGTTTTGTAACAGCTGACTGATTATTGAAGAGTAATTCATATTGTAGCGGTGCAGTTTTTTTTAAGTCTACGTTTTGAACTCGTAACTATGTAAGGTTTCTATTATGAGGTGAGAAGGAATTTTTCATGCCGAAACAAAAATAAATCTTTCTTCCTTTTGAAAAGAGATGAGTATTTTCTCAGAATGAAGTTATTTCAATTCATCAAGGTCACGTTTAATTTAGATCAAGCGTGAATATTTGTAAATAGCCCTATGCTCAAATAATGAGCACATCCACGGTGACATGAAATCTAACTTGTGATTCTGTACATCAATTGAAAAGCTTGTGGCTGTGCTGGGAGGAAGTCACAGTACTATCGAAAACTTCGTTTTGAAATAGAAGGGCTCCATTGCTTCTCTGTCTCGATCTTGTAAAGGCGACTTAGCACGCAAAGGATAAGAAGAGCTCCCTTAAGCAGGCCGGATGGGAGAATACTGTACTGCCCGCACTAGGAATCAGATTGCAGGATTTGCAGAATACCGCCCGCTCACGCATCGAGAAAAAAATAATTATGAGTACGAAATGGAAATCAAAAGACGCAACAGTTGTTGAACCTGGTTTTGATATCATTTACGCGCAGATAAATTATTGAGGGACTCAATGGGGTGATAGCCTTTACGGCTAACAGTTATAATTTTGGCCAATTTACGGCTAATGATAATATAATTCCATTGCTGTCCACTGTAATTTTTTTTCCATACTATTTCATGAAGACATGTATATGTAAATAGCCCTATGCTATAAGTCTGAACAACGCTGTGGCGGTTTAGTTTTATAGTTTGTGGAATTGCTTACCCTTTTACCACAAGTCCCTCGAGGGATTTTTTTCCCAATGAGCAAAAAGTGGTTCAGTGAGCGATTTTTTGAAAAATGAATTAAACTTAAAGTGCAATCATATCTTATAAGAGGATCCTAGGCTGCCGTGCATCTAAAAAATCTATAGGTGACCTCAAAATTCGTGAAGTAAGAGCAAAAAAAAGGCACTCAGAGGCGTAGCCGGGTCAGTCACTGGTATTCTTAACTCGTTTTTACGTCTCCTTTTATCAAAGAATAATAAAGAAGCAATCAGCAAGAAAAAATCAAGTCATCCAGTGTCGCTTTTCAGTCTCGACGCCTTCTCCCCTACCCTACCCTCCCCAAGTAAGCCAGTTCTCACTTGGAGAACTATTACTGTGCTTTCTGTTTGTTTGTTTTGGTGGGTATTAGCTACATTATTGTCGATCGTTCATCTGGAATCATCTTGGTTTAGCTTCTTTCGCATCTTGTCCTGCATGCGGGTTTTCATTTTCTCTTCGCATGGGATTAAAATATAAGCTCCAGCTTTTCTCGCTAATAGGTACGCAAAATTGGTTTTCACTGGCTTGAGTTAAACGCTTTGGTGCTTTAATCGAGCCCCTATAAAGCTCACCATACTCGCCAAAGTTGTTGAAACACTTCCATACTTATTTCTCTGCATATAGACTTGGAAATTAACGCACCCCTGGGAGGAAGGTACCCTTGGAATCATGGCTGGGGTTTTGCGCTCAGTTCTCCACAACCGTTTTCAAACGGCTGGCTTCCAGAAGTTGCATTTGGTTTTATGTCATAGTTGCGAGAAAAAAATGAAAAAGAGTAAACCATATCAGCATCAATGTTATATTTTGGTTTCTTAATTCTTTCCTCAATTGATTCCACTGGAGTTAAAGAGAAAGATACATTTACAATATTGCGTGGTTCCAAGACCATTATGTCGCAAAATCGATATCAATTCTCAAACCAAAACAGCGGCTAATTATTGGTTTATGTTGGGCAACTCCTTCGATCCTAGACTAGACATTATAAAAACATATTTGCTACATCTAGCGGCCGCTAAGAAATTCTGTGCATTTGATGGTTCCTCAGAAAACTAGAATCTGTCGAAATACCTCGTTTTGATTTGAGATGGCTTGCAGTATTCAATCGCTTATAGACATGCACTCCGTGCTATGTGATAACACGACAGCTAAGAGAGACTCAATAAGGTGATGGCTTTTACGGCTAGCGGTTGAAATTGTGGCTAATTTAAGGCTAACGGTAAACATTTTTTCATTCTTATAACCAAAATTTTTTTAGTCAGTTTTTTTTATTACGACTAAAGGTTACATTTTGTCAATTTTTCCGCCTAATGGCTAATTTTTTGGTCGTTTTAACCCCATTAAGACCCTCAGCTAAGAAAGCGACTTAAAAAACCTTCTCAGATTCGTAAACTGAACATCATCCAACCAATTCCTTTTTTTTTCATTTATCTCTTGGACGAAATATGTAAAAGAGAAACATACTTTTGTATAATTTCTACATATATTAGAGGCGAGATACTCGCTTTTCTTTCAGTATGTTTATATCTCCTCGTTTACGTCTTTATCTGTCATATAGAAATTCAATCCCCTCTTGACAGATACATATTCTTCACGTGCGTAGGATCTCAAAATTAGTAATTGTGATATTTCATGTCGTATAAATGGGAAGAATGGTACAGCTGCCGCTGTGTCAGTTGTTTACTTCTAACTGATTCGACTTAGAAATTGGTTATATGCCGAACGTCAAGTAAATGTTGAGGACTGTTGACCATGAAGGTGAAGAGCATTGCTAATATTGCTAAACTTCGGAGAAAAACTGTCAAATACAGAAGGCATCAGTTGTTGATCGAAAAATTGATAGCCATGAAAGCCTCCTCTCGTCCATTTGAACAACCTAGGGCGATGACATTGGAGGTATATGACGTTGAAATATTACTTCGTACAGCTGAATTCCTTGATTCATAAGAGAGATCATTAAAAAGAGGGCATGGGGCTCCCACGTCAGTGGGTGTTCTATTTATGTCAAAGAACAGATGCAGTCAGACCTGGGTACAACTGCACCCACGTTGCAACATCATTCAAATTTAAAAGATTTCAGAAAAACTGGCTTAATATGGATCGCTGTCGCAGAAAAAAGTTTCCGGTGCCTTTTTGAAGGAATGCGTCGGGATGATAGATGAGAAAGAAGCCACACAGCACCTTAGAAGGGGCACATCTCCTAAGTAAAGAGGATGAGAAGTCATGACGTTCTGATATGTACCCAACAAACTTCCTTTAGGTATCTGATTATTCCATGCAAATAGTTTCTTTATTCCTTGTTGGATATTTACTCAGAGCTAAAGATTGATTTTAACGGTGTAAAGCGAAGAACCCTTGATGGCTCCCCCGCATAGATAAATTTCATTGCAGGTGCAAGATATGACAAAGGAAAAGTGTAAATACGTTACCAATGATATTTACCCTGATAAGTGCCATACTTCTTTGGTGTTGCTTGTTGTGGTTATTTAAGTGTAAAAAGTATTGCTGTAATCAACCATTCTGTCTTGCTAGGTCAGTGGTGACACAGCAAGGATGGCTTTCAAGGAGATCTTGATCATTATCTCTTTGGCTCATGTAGTTGGTGCTGCCCGGGTGAAAAACTGCGGCGGTAAATATCCACAGCCTACATTCAATTTATTTCAAATGAAAAAAACTAATGAAGGCTCAAAATCCTTAATCATTCACCCGCTTATCCGTGGCAAAAAAATTGTTTCAGTATGTCTAGAAGAGGAAAAAAGTTGTTGTTCATGGTGGTTTTGTAGATTAATTGTTTGTCTTTCGAAGTAAGAGTAAGGCTTATCAATCGTGTTATGATTGCGATGTTTCGACTGCTATTCTGCTGGTTTTCGTCAGACGACGAGGTCTAAAGTTTACGTGTCGCTATTTATAACACCTTAGAAAAGGGATGGCAGAATCTCCTTTTTTGTGAGATAAATATGTTGACTTTTCAAGTTTAAAACCGAACACCGATAGTCACAGAATAATAATTTCATAAAAGCATTATACTGTTTTACCTACATCATACAGCCCGAGTGGACATACCACCCACTTTCGAACCTATCTTATACTTTTAAGATTTCACAATTTTTGTCAATTCAAATCCTTGTTATGTTGATCAAGATCATCTTAAATTAAAGGAGCAGGGATATAGCAGTGGTGAGAGCGCTCGCCTCCAATCATTGTGGCCTGGGTTCGATTGCCGGGCAAGCGTCACATGTGGGTTGGGTTTGTTGTTGGTCCTCGTCCTTGCTATGAGGGTTTTTCTCTGGATTTTCCAGTTTTCCTCGCTACCTCCACGAAAACATTCAATTTCCATTAGGAAACAATAGAGAAGAAGAGCCACCTAGTGGAATGTCCACTGCTAAATTTCCATTTATATATTTAATTCCCATTTCCGTTCCCTAATATTTTAAATAGTTTTTGTTTTCTCTACCTCTCACGTAAAAAGGGACGATCCAGCCTTATAAGTTGTCATTCAGTCCGAATGCTTTGAGAAGAAATGATAGAACACTTACCGTCAGAGGAAGAGTAAAAATTGCCAAAGTTGTGCGTGGGTCATCATTCAGATACCGTGTTCAAGTTTGGTCGAAAGGGAAGGACTTGTGCAAAAATCTTAAAAGTATTTGGTAGGTTAAGCAATGAAACTTCCTGATTCTATCTTTTCCTCTTATTGAAGATTCCACGTACGGCGTTGACGCTAATGAGGTTGCCTCCTTAGAGACGGTCCTAATGGGGTAAATCGATACCCGTAAAACGCCAAAGAATTTAGCCTCTAAGGCGAAAAAATTGACAAATTTCAACCGTAAGTCGTGAAAAAAGTGAACAGCGAAATTTGTCCTTGTACAACCTATCTTTTGTATCATTTTTGATTAACCGTTAGTCGTAAAAGCCTAAAGCAAATTAGAAATTCTATTACAAGTACTGTACATTTCTAAAACCTTGTCATTTCACTAACGATTGGAGTTAATATCATAAGTTATCTATGAAAGTGTGGGACGTGAAATGCACGATTAGCGGTATCTGTAAAAAGTACACAGTTATTCTCTGTTGTAGCTAATTCAAAATCTTATCCGAGTTGTATCTGAGATATGAGTAATTGGATTTTAAATCAAATGATACACTACAACTATGAACTGATGAGGGAGGCGCAAAGACCTCATGTTCAGTGCGCTGGACTGGGTCGAGAGGTTCAGGTCTTAGGCTAAAACTTTACTCTCTTGGCGCCTGTCTCCACCCAGGAGAGTAAATGAGTACCAGTGAATTGTCAGGGATGCCTAATGAAATGCTGAGGAGTAGGCTTACAATGGATAAGTTCCGGCTGCGTCTGCCACTAGGCTGGAGTACATTCAATGTTTTTCTTTTACCTCATCTTATGAATTTGACTTAATACTAATTTTCCTTGAATTATTCTTGTCTGAAGCACTGGCAGGGTGAAATGCGTCGACATTGCGAACGTTTTGAAAGGAGCAAAGTGTAGAAATGGTCAGTTGCTGAGAGGAACATACAGTATTGATGCAGTACGTCGCACTCTGCCCGGTGACTTTCGTAGGCTGCTGAGTTTAACATCGAAGGTTTGGAAGTTAACATTAAATACTTTTATCCTCCCTTTAGGCCATGCCGGAATGACTTTTTGCGTTTTTACATAACAATTTAAACACGAGGGCAGATTGGGAGAACCAGAGATTATGACGCAAACCTGACACACATTCAAGAATTCTCTCAATTCTCGAGTTGGCTTTGAGACGATTTTAAACACGGAAAATATACTATAAAACATTTTTAAACATAGACACGATTCTAAAACGTTTTAACTGCGTTTACATGCTCCCATCTATAGGCACATTTAGCTGCCACAGCTTAGTGTAATAAAGTCAAACTTGTAGGCGCCCAAAAAGAATGCCAAGATAATCACTCAACATAGGTTGACAGCTTGAAGCAAGTTTGACCGAATGGGCGTATAAAAAAGAAAAAAAGAAAACCACGCCTTTTACCCTACAATTGACCTCTTAATTTACTAAAGCTCGCTCAAATGTGCTATTGCCATTGACTTTGGGAGATAAACATAGATTGGATTTTACTTGACGATTATTCTAAGTTTTTTATTAGTGGTTCTGTTTCATGTGACCGTTCAGTACATGTGGAAGTTTGTACAAAAAGACAGTTGATACTCAGAAAAGGGTGGCCACAACCGCTTAATGGAAGTGACCACTTAATAGAAA